TGAGGACCAAAAGTCCGAATCCCAGGGCGAGGAGTCTAAGGAGGAGAAAAAAGAGAAGAACGAAGAAAAGGTTCCGCCACCACCCCATGGAGACAAGTCTCCTTGGCAGGTCTTCCGTGAGACTCTGCAGACCGAGTTCAAGGCCTCCAAAGAATGGGAGGAATCCACTAAAGCTCTGGCATCCTCTGCTCACCAATTTACCGAGAATGAGAATGTGAGGCGTGCGCGCGCTGCCTACGAGGCTGCGTCAAACGCTACGACCTCCAAAACCTCCACAGCCCTTAAGACAACCGGTCAAGTCATCGGAAAGGGAGCTGCTTGGACCTGGAACACCAGTGTTGTGAAGGGTGTTCGAAAGGGCGTCAACGCAACCGGAGAGGGCCTCGAGAAGGCCACGAGACCCGTTCGCGAAACCGAAGCATATAAGAGTGTGAAAAACGCCATTGACGATGGCAGCAGCTCGCGCTACGGTGGTTGGGTCGAGAAAGAGGAGCGTCGCAAGCAGAGACAGCTTCGGGAGGAGCAGGACCTCAAGTCTGGAAAGACTATTCGCGTGGAGGACAGAGTTGAAGACCCCAAGTACGTTACCGTCATGACGATATTGTAATTTTGACGTTTCTGACTGATGTTCTTCTCTAGTGCCGGTACTAACATCACCGTCCACAAAGATTCCGCCTGGAAAGATTCCTGGAAAGACTTTAAGGACTCCAACCCGATGATGCAGAAGCTCTTCGCGATCAAGGAGAACTACAACGAGTCCGAAAACCCCCTAATCAGCACAGCGCGCAGCATCTCCGATCGTGTTGCTGGCTTCTTCGCCGAAAATGAGACCGCCATGGTCATCAAGAAGTTCCGGGAAATTGATCCCAACTTCCAGATGGAGCCTTTCCTGCGCGAAATGCGTGACTACATGCTGCCAGAAGTCCTGGACGCTTATGTCAAGGGAGATGTCGAGACACTGAAGCTCTGGCTTTCAGATGCCCAATTCCACGTATACGCTGCACTCGCGAAGCAATACACCACTGCCGGTCTCAAGTCGGATGGTCGCATTTTGGATATCCGCGGTGTGGATATTTCTCACGCCCGTATCTTGGACCCCGGTGACATTCCCGTATTTGTCGTCACTTGCCGCACACAGGAGATCCATGTTTACCGCAAGATCAAGACCGGCGAGCTTGCCGCTGGTACGGATGACAAGGTGCAGCTGGTCACCTACGCCATCGGATTGACTCGTATCCCTGACGAAGTTAATAACCCTGAAACTCGTGGCTGGAGATTAATCGAGCTACAGAAGGCTGCCCGTGACTACATCTAAGAGCGCAATCTGTCCCTCTTCATTTATACTGCCACACCTTTCTCTATCTTATCATGGGCATACTCCCCTTCCACTCCACCTCTTTCAACTGTACAATACAACTGTTTGATATCAAGCCAGGTGGATCCTGGCACCTGTTACGGTTATGCCTGTTCCAGTGACTGCGAATTCGGGCCTTCGCTGGGTAATCGGATTTTCCTTTCTTCATGTATTAATGCTTCATTTGGTCTGACATTTTGCCCCAAGTCTTACTCTGACGACTCACGGTTCAGTCCACTCAAATCTGAATGTTCCATCCTTCCCATAGACTAGGACGCGCTGGATTTTATCTGATGGCATTTCTCTGGTTCTTGAGGTGTTTTCCTGGCGTCTTTGTGCATTGTTGTTTCCACTCTCCCCTCGCCACCGTGTATGACTGCATTGGGTTGTTGGTTTTGGTTTCTGTTGGGGCCTGAGGTAGGTCACCAACATATGAGGATCCTGAAAATCATGTAAATATATAAACAGACACTTCTAGCCTCCAAATTTTCTGCTCCAAGCTCGACTTCGTCCTGGCTCTACTATAGCAATATATATATATATCGGTGACGTGGTAGAGGGTTCCATGCAATCGGACAGCGTTGTGCTTTTTTAAATCATTCAGGCTACAGATATAGAAAGCTGATAGCTAATTGAAATCATTATAAAGCATTTGCTGTTATCTGTTTCCCTTCCAAATCATTATATTGTGGAGCTCCGTGAGTGGAAACTGGCCCAGGACATCATGCCAAAGAAGCTTAATGCCATGTACCAACTCAAATGTCTCCGTCAACCTCTCCCATAGCAGAGAAATGGGCAATATCCTCGCAATTTTTCGAGGTGGACGAGTGCCTGTCCCTCATCCACCACTCTCCCTTCATTGCCAGCGGATTCCGGAGTTCTCTCTTGTGGTTTCGCTGATCAAACCGCTTGACGAACGCGTAATAGCTATCACATAATCTGAAATGTCTTCGAATCTCCTCTCAACATTTTTGCCATTTGGCAAGAGTCGATCATTGCCAATTTCCTTCCCGGCAATTTGCCTGAACTGAGCACTGTGGTCGACACAGCGTCCACAGACACATCTGATTGTCGACCCTATGTAGAATCCCTTGGACACCTTGAGCTTCTATTAAATGGCGACGGAGACCAGATATATACTGTGCGGACTATCAAGGGGCTGGCCTTAGCCTTTGACCTGCGCCCGCATCTGCGCAGTTTCCTTTTGTTGATGGACTTTCGCAATGACTGAGGTGCGGCGTTGATCCAGTGATAATGAGTCTCTTTGCTCCGCTGAATGCTAGGGTCCAGATTGGATGCAACAATTTCCAGAAGCAGAAGACTTCCTTCCTGGCGTGCCTCAATGATCGACTGCAGCAATGAATAAAAGGAGATGGAACCGGCTGGTTATGATGTACGGCAAGGCCGTTAGTGACTTAAGTTGACTTCAGTGTTGCCAGAGATACCTTTCCAGTAGAAAGTGGGACGTCAGGAACTTCTGACGGACGTCTGTTGACGGTAATGTTGCATAGACGGGCAATCCAATATAGGAGGTTTTGATATATAGGCCAGATATAGCTACTTATAAGGTCCTAGACTACCAAGAGAGAATGAGGAAAGAAAAGAGAACTACAGTGCTATTGCACGAACTAGGCTCTTTATAGGCCTCAAACAAGATCTGATCTCAGACAGGAAGCCTGAACAACCAGGTATCAAGAAGACGACAAAGGATGCTCATCAGACACAAGCGTCTCGTTTAAGGAAGATCTACAATCCTTGATGGCGATGAAGCTGGGCTATAATTATAGCCACGTATAGCTTGTTCTCTAGCACGACCCAGCAGAAGACGAACCACGCTTGTTTTGAGCCTACTAATAATCCTGAATCATGGAAAGAAAGCCTTGGTCCGGCAAATGAAAGACAACGAGATGAAACTTGGTCAAATAGGCTGTACCTAATTTCCCACATACATGTAATTAGTGGGTAGATCAAATACAGTATAAATGGATGGACACTGATGTATATCCTTAATCGACATTTGATCGAGGTAGATATAGCCAAAATGGCATCTACTAGTGGAGACAAGTCCAAGAGGAAAGGAAGCGACTTTTTTTCTTCTTCTAAGAAACGCTTTGAAAAGTGAATTTGCTACATGGTATATCAGATTGCGTCTTTCAATTTCATGGCATCAATCATCGAACCGGAAATTTATTTCTGGCCTCCAGCACCACCAGCACCGGCGCCACCACCACCCATCATGTTTCTAGCCCTGTAAGCCAATTGTCAGTAACGTGGTTTCTAAAGCCTAGTCCTGGGAATATTTGTTAGGCTTACATATCCGCGAGGTTAGGATCGCTCATCAGGCTGGACATATCTGGCATACCACCACCCTGGCCGAAGCTTTCAGCCATCTGGCGGAGGCGAGGGTTGCTCATCAGGTTGCTAAGCATATCGGGGTTGCTCATAAGATTCTGTGCCATGCTGGAGAACATCGGGTTGCTCATCAGGGAGCCCAGGTCGGGCATACCACCAGCACCACCGCCGCCACCACCACCAAGCATGCTAGCGAGGGAGGAAAGGTCAGGCATGCCGCCGCCACCACCACGCGAGGCACCAGGAGCAGTGTCCAGTTCCTCAGATGGAGGCTCGGTGGTCCGGGTGCTCTCTTGAAGCTTCCGTGTCGATGTCTCCAAGCCACGCTTCATGGCCTCACTGCCACCGTTGCCCTCTGCCTCAATGCCCTTCTCGTATGCCTCCTTGGCGGCGTGGTAGTCACCCATATCGAAGCGAGCGAGACCCAAGCGGCTCCACGCCTTGGAGTACTTGGGGTCAGCGGCGGCAGCAACCTCAGCATCGTTAGCGGCCTTCTCGTGCTGACCGGAAGCGGAAAATGCGGCGGCGCGGTTGGAGAGATAGATGGGGTTGGCGGGAGCAATCTCGAGGGCCTTGGTGTACTGCGCAATGGCACCGGCGTAGTCCTTCTTGGCCATGAGAGCGTTGCCCTCGGACTTCAGCTTATCGGATTCCGGTGTGGGTACGCCAACCTTGGGCTTCTCTGCCTGAGAAGACCCAGCTCCTGCGTTCGATGGCGGGGTTGACTTGTTACGGAGCTTCTCGTAGACGCTGTAGATTCCGGCCAACGATTGTCCGCCCACAGCATCCTTCACAGCAGCCCCATCAGTGGGGTCGACTTTGAAGGTATCCGCGATACAAGACTGAGCAATCTCAATGGACTCGGCATCATCGGCGGTGAGAGTGCCATCTTTCAGGCTGGAGCCGAGGAAATCAATGATGGCCAAGGCCAAGCGCTTGTTGCTTTCTGTTGGAGCCTGCCATACATTAGTTCCATGAATCGATCACAACAGGCGAGAAGCTTACCATTGTAGCAATCTTTCAATAGATATAAGTGAAAGATAGACAGCGTTCAGAAATGAGCGAGATGGAGGAAAAAACAGGTGAGGCAATGCGGGGGAATAGCTTCGGCACGTGATCGTAGCTTATCGTTCCCCCAGCCTGTGTGCATCCAAGTTGCTTGGACTTGATATCTTTACATTTGAATTTGTGCTTTGAGGGTTCTTGTCTGCGTTGCTGACAGAGAATTGGTTCCTTGGAGATGACTCCATGTGAGCTTCATTGTCCAACTTAACCCCTGAACTCGACCAGAGCCATGTACTGGCCTCATGGAGTTCCCCGGGTCTACGCGGTCAATGGACCCGATATTACCTATGTCCCCTCTGACGAGGATCGCGAGATCCTAAATGCCACCCCAACAAATGGCTCCGATGTCATTGGCGAAAACGCGGAAGCAAAAGGGAGCGACGCGCAACATGAGTCCCCAGACACCCAACCCCATGAGTCGCAAACCAACTCTTCCCCGGACACTGAGACATCAGAATGGGGAAGTGAAGCTATTAGGGACATATGTGTCTCTCGATCTGGTCAGATGTTTGCCACGATGTCAGAATCATCAATTGCTCTCTGGCAGACTCGGGTATGTCCACAGCGATGTTATGGTCCATGAAGAATGTCTGAGCTGGATACTGACGATTCTGGCAGCCCACAGCTGTTGTTACAGCAATATCTCGATCTCGATTCTCCATGAAAACATACGGTCCGAATGTTTCACTCCTTATGCACCCAGATTCGACAATCCTGGTTGTACAGACCCTCAATGGGTACCTACTCACATACTCTGTGGCATCGGATCCAACAACTCAAGTCTACCAGCAGCGATTTGATCAGTCCACACACCATCGTCGTCAACAATTAGCCCAGTTTTCAGCAGTTGAAGAGGCCAATGTGGTAAGGGACATCAGCATCCGCTTTCGAATGGCCATCAAGATCGAGTCGGGAATCGTCAAGGCGCTGGCGCTAGATCAAGAACTGATTGTCGCTACTGTGAAACCACCAGCTATACAGTGCATTCGGTGGACGGCCGAGGCGGGAGGAACACAAACTACATCAGAGTTACTGAGTCGCATCCTAGGGATCTCAAAGAAAGTCTCGATCGTAGACATGGTTTATGATCGTGCGATGAATCTTCTTATCTGGATTACCAGTAGTGGCCATGCTTATGCCGTGCAGCGAGATACAAGTTTACACCAGGATCCTGAAGCAGCCAAGAAACTATTCCACGGGCATTGCTTCCATAATCCGCAGGATGACAGCGAAAAGGCTGTGAAGGTGACGGTAAACGCACGCTTCTCTCTGTTGACTGTGAGCTGCTCAAATGGTGACGTCTTGGTTTACACCGCAAAAGATTACATGGGCAACATTCCACTGTCACAAAAGCTCCATCTACCAGCATCACCCAGAACCACCGGGGCTTTGACTTTCATGAGCTATTCCCCGGATGGATACTGTCTCTTTGCTGGCTTCGAACATGGCTGGACAACCTGGAGTGTATTTGGAAAGCCTGGTGGAAACAGCTTTTCGGTGGACACTACCTTGGCGAAGGCCAATTCGGAGGAATGGTTAACTGGCGTGTCAGACGGGTGTTGGATTGGCGGCGGATCCGACATCATTCTCACTGGACATAATGACCGTCGCCTGTGGGTTCTTGAGACAGCCCGCAGCGCTTTAACTGGTTGCTTTTCGTCTGCAAATCTCGCTAGAGGCCTGCTGCAGACTGGGACTGAGTGTATTCTCTACCGTGGCCACGATCTCCCAGATCTCATGACAATCTCAGGAAAGGATTCGCTGTGGCACCATGCTCAGTATCCTCCGGCATATCTCCATTCCCAGTGGCCGATTCGATCTTGCGTCGTGTCTCAGGATGGACGGTATGTTGCAATTGCAGGTCGGCGCGGCCTTGCACACTACAGTATCAACAGCGGCCGATGGAAGGTATTTGAGGATTCACAGGCCGAAAACTCCTTTGCTGTGCGAGGGGGTATGTGCTGGTACGGCCACATACTGATCGCAGCGGTGGAGAGTGATGGATCATACGAGGTACGATCTCTCGCCAACCCGCATTACATTCGTTCATGACTGACTTTGATTGAAAGATTCGTCTTTATTCGCGCGAGGCTTCTCTCGGTAACAACTCCATTATGTTCATTGAATATCTCCCATCGCCAGTTGTGTACATTGGAACTTCTGGGGAAGATTCCCTTTTGGTTTATACGTACGATAACATTTTGTACCATTATATCATTAATTCGACACAGCCTCAGATCACTCTTGTCCCGGTTGGGCAGATCGCTTTCAATGGGATTGTCCGGGCACCTACTCGTGTTCGATCAATCAGCTGGGTATTGCCCGAGGAGCAGATGCGTAAGTTAGCTTGTCCCTTATGCACTTGTCTGGAAAATTACTGACAACAATGCAGGAAACGGCGATCCATCTCAAGACGTAAAGGTCGCATCGGTGATTCTTCTTGTGGACGGTAACTTGGTATTGCTGCAGCCCACGGTCACAGATGCGGGTGATCTCAAATACGACATGCGTGTCATATCGCATGATGTCGAGTATTATATCTTGATGCGTGACCAGATTTCGTTCAACTTTTCTTCCCAGGTTGATGAATCCATACCCGCCAGTCCCTCTGTTGATATGGCACTGGAGCCACCCCATAGAAGTCTGTCCCTCCGGGACTCTCTTTGGATATTCCGTGGCCAAAACCTGCTAGCTTGGAATGACGTCCAAGATGTTTTGCATGAGGATATGGTGCCGGCACCACTCAACGTTCCCTTGGACTTTTATCCATTGTCTGTTTTACTGAACAAAGGCCTTGTTCTCGGCGTTGAATCGGAAATGATGCAACGCCGCGATGTAACGTTCACTGTTCTGAAATTTGCCATCCGGGTAAGTTGTTATCTTTATCCATACCATTCCATACTGACGTGTGCGTCCCAGACACATCTTTTCTTACCATATTTCCTCCAATATGGCTTGACTAGTATTGGGACACCTGCAGCTCTCGCTCTCTGCCGCCACTTTTCCCATTTGTCTTACTTCGCTCATGGATTGGAGATCCTACTTCACCATGTGCTGGACGACGAAGTGGACAATGAGAGCCGAGCAAATAAAAGTGAGGACCCACAAGCACGAGAAGAACCACTACTCCCAACTGTCATTTCTTTCCTTCAAGCCTCGCTGCCCCCAGGGAGTACCTTGAAATTGTTGTTCAATGCACAAGGAAAACAGAGCTTCGGTCATGGCGCACACTATTCACCTACCTACCTCCGCCCAAGGATCTATTTGAACAGGCCTTGAAACTTGACTCCCTCAAGACCGCAGTTGGATACCTCCTTGTGCTGCAAGCCTTCGAGGATGAGGAACAAGGGCATGATGGCCGCATCGAAGAATACGTTGTTCGTTTGATTGCTCTCGCCTCCCAGAAGGGAGATTGGGAGCTGTGTGCTGAGCTGGCCCGATTCCTTATTGCTCTGGATGCTTCGGGTGAGATGCTTCGGCGTGCAATTTCCCGAGTTGGTCTGCGATCCAACTCGCGGTCTCCTGCACAAGGCGCGTTCTCTGGCTCGGCACCCCGGTTTGGTCCTGGAGGTGTTCAAGGTCTAGGCTTGAACCTTCCAATCAGGTCGCCGTCATGGAGCTCTCCCTCCCCAACATCATCTCTTTCACCTCTTCCAAGCCGGCAAAATGGTGATGTCCCGGATGAAAATCCATACTCAGCGGACGAGCAAGATAGATAATTAAGGAGAGTTTTGTTGATAGTAGGAGCAGTCAGATAATATAATTTCACAAGAATTTCCCAGTAAGTTCTACAAATTTCAGCTGCGTGAATCCACGGCAAAGGAAAATGGTATAACTCGGTGTAATACATGCCCATGGAAAGAGCTGATCTAATTTGATAACTGTTGATCAACATCACCCGTCTACGGTGGAGCTTCCCTAGATGTCATATTCAATCGAGAGCACGGAGATTCGCGGGAGCCAGCTGGTTTCAGGAACGAGGCATATCAAATTCTTCGATTAGCTACTCAATTATTATGAAATTGACTACAGACAACTACCCCAATCCACAGTGTCTAGTGGGTCTGTCCTCAAGCCATGTCGCATAGTAATCTTCCTTCCTTTCTGTCTGACTTGGATTAAAGGCACACAGGTTACAAATGACTGGACTTCCCAAATGAGGCCAATCAGATCCGTTCGCATCGGCGTGAACTGCATCGCCTTCGCTCCGAATGAGGTAAATAGCAATCATCATTAGAGGAACAGGAATCACCTGGACATCTGTATTGGCTTTGAGTTGATACGTGGCCATTCGTGTTTGCCACTGAATAATCGACATCAACGACTTCGCACTTCAAACTCTCCACAAGACCACCGACATAGGCTATAGGACCCCTATCCGATCTAGATGCCTCGAACATGGAAGCATGGGACCGATCGAAAGCTACTATTGCAGTTCCGCATTTTTTGTCACTGGCTCGGATGATTAACATCCATTGCACTGTATCAGATTGAACATTACACTTTCACCTACCTGTAGAGTGTGCACATATTTTTCTTGCCGGATGCTGCCTCACAGGGGATATATACGGATCCAACATTGCGATTACTAGCATGGATTAGTCCGGCTCGACAAGGACAGAAGGAAGTAAACCTACTATTGTCTGTCGAGCGCTTGACAAGAGCCATCAAGCGGTAGTTCCTCATTGTGAGCATAGAAGAGTTGGTTTGTGTAGATACGTGGCTTCGTGGACATGTCAGTTTGTCCAAGGGTCACCAATGGGTGATACACCAGAGCAAAAATTATAATACTGGAGACTAGCATAATGGAAAATTGGACTTGTGAATACCAAGGAGATGACTCGAGTCGATCATGAGGCATGCTGGGTAGGCACTTCCGCGACTTTATATACTATGTCTCAAGTCCGGGTTATAGTCCGGGCTGACGTAGTTTTGCGTAAGGCTCGGCTAGTCTGTACTAAATTCTAGAATCCCAAAAGTCCACCAGGGAAATAATGCGCCCAAGACTAGGGACACCCAGCGTGAACTTGTTACCAAAATGTTTCAAGCCAGGGCTACCCCGATTCGACAATTCTATAACGTGGGTGCATGAACTGGGGTCAACCGCAGCTTCAGGATTCAATGCCCTGCTAGCTCTTTGCGCTGTTCTGTACTTTTCGATGTCCTAATTATTCATATTGCCATTATATACAGAATAAGCCTCAAAGCATAAGGAAGTAAGCCATTGGGTGGGTATCAATCATCAACGAGGAGAACTGGCCAGCAATCAGAAGCAAAGAAGCTACCACATAGCATCGGGGAGTACGAATCTTCAACAGATCCGAAGAATCCGAATCAGAATGAACCTAGTCCCTAGTCAGATGGCTCACATGATTCTACAGTCCATTGGGATGACCTGGCATGAAGGATTTGATCACCGCTTAGCGTGATGGAATCAATGTGATTTCTTTTTGCAAGTTATTGAGGTCCAAAAGGTATCGGCATATATAGCTTACCCGCTCCTATACTATGAATTGGAGAACTCGAGAAAGGACTCATGAGAAGCATAGAACATTATTATCAACACGTCTTTTACCTATGCACATCAATTCACCGCATAAAATACCCGGTATTCCCGGAATGCTTCTATATCAAATTATCAATTATCATTTCAGAAAACATCACGCACCTTTGTGAATGGGATCAAGTAGTTGATGTCGTAGGAAGTGGCTCAATATCGAATCGGAGGTGTATCTTATACTCACGACCGAGAGTGTGAATTCTAGCGATACGATGTGTACCTCTCTCCCAAGCCCCTATCACCAGACAAGCCGCTGCTTTCCCAAGCTTTGTGCCCAGAATCTCCTTATACTCATCGGTATCATATTCCCATACTTGCCTCTCAATTTCATTTCCTCGAGGCCAGTCCACATCATGTCTCGGGTATAGGATTTCTTGGACGTATGGTAAGGTTTGATTGTTCTGGACATTAGTAAAATAAAGATACTTGAGAGTATCGATGGGATGATCAAACTTATATTGAGCGATAGCAATATCTGACCAGTGAGGTCCAGTGTATCTGAAAATACTTTCACCGATGATAACGCCTTCCGCGAAAGTATTTTGATATTCGGATTCCCTTTTATAGCCATCCTTGTCATAACCATGGAGTAAAAGTTTGGTGTAGCGGAACTTGTAATTTCTCGTTGGAAAACCTAACGGTTCCAAGTCATCGATGATAGAGAATGGCGGGTTGTCGAAGTGGTTCTCTGGACAATGCAACCTCTCGTTCTTATTTTCATTGTTGAGTAAGTCGACCAATGATTTTCTTGCTCGTCCACATCGACATCCGCCTAGAGTTGGGTCAGCAATCCATTCTTGGTATTCGGTTCCTTTTCGGTGATACTCATAGACTTGTTCATCCGAAACAGGGTCTCGCTCATCATCTAGCAGGGAAGATGGCGTAGGGGCGGCCTTTCCATCACTAGATACACTGCTGTCATCGGGAAGGGGATACGGAACTGGGGATAGTGGGGATGACGGGGCGTCTGGGAGTTCTGTGGAATTCGTAGACATTACGGCTTCTGCGTAGTCTGGGGGACCAGAGATTCGACGTCGTCGAGTTGAGGAGGGATCACAGTCATTATCATCGTCGTCGTCGCGCCTACGCTTGTATGACTCTGAGTTGGATGTCTTTGAAGTTCGTTTCGATGACATGCGTAGCTGTGATGGTTGGTACGCCATTTTATGTTAGAAGACTTATATTGTCTGATGTTGTATAGAAGACTCAGAGAATTATGGATGAGGTCGATCGTGTTTTAGAGTATTGTATCTCGAATGAATATTTGTAATGAAGACACGAAGAACTCTATAATTATATAGTCCTTCTCAATGGTCCTTCATAAGTGAGTGAATGTGAGCTATTAACAGAAGAAACAAACAATCTGTCGACAAAAATAGAATACTCCAGGACCGGTGTATGCCATGAAGATATCTAGGTATTAGAGGATCTAACACAAAGAGAGTAGAATCACAAAGGGGACAAAGATAGAGCGACAAAGAGGTTGGGAAAATACGAGGGCAAAGAAAATTGTTTCAGGGAACAATGGTCTTGTATGCAGGTTAAATTAAGCTTGAATCTCAAGAACAATAAAAGTAGACATCTTCTATCATTAAGATCAAAGGATTATTTGAAAGCATTAATCTTAGACCAGCTGCTACCTGAAAAGCTATACAAATAGAATATTACAGACTAGACTCAAAAGCTTGGGGGATATTATATTAAGAAGCAGGCTCCCAAGGGAATCCTTCTATATCTCATCCAACCTTGAAAGTGTTTTCCCGTCAAGGAAGAACAATAGTGAGGCGTGTTTGATGGCATTTAATTGGGGATTTTTTTTCAAAAGAACCACTGTTGCCCAGGGTATGGGCAAAGAATACGCAGTCCATATCTGACCATCGAGCAAGCCCTCCTCGAGCTTCTCATCTACCATGACCCCCATAATTGCCTATTCGGGTAATCCTAGATATCCATCCTGGAAGATCTGGCTTGTTGAGGGGCAATAAGTAGCGGGAGGAAATCAAAAAAACTAGTACAACTAACGATTTGAAAGGAGAGTATTCAAGCGCGCCAACTCCGACAGAGACTAAACAATACAACGTAGTTAACCCTATGTCCTCCCGGGCCAACTTGTCAAGACGTGCACTCATATCCGCATGTTTGGTTTCGATATCGTGGCACAAGTCGCCGGAAATGAGACGGTCAGGTTGTCGATAAACTCATTGAACTCCCCCAAGGTCGTTATGCATGAAAGCACAGCTACCCCTAGGCTATCCACCCCTCCACAATATCTGCAATTTCACTTTCATTCTCCCCTAAAGCATCATCGCCATGGCTGACATGAGATCACTCCGCAATCATCCCGTTTGGATCTTAGTAAGATGGGACATGCACCGTTCGCGATCGTGTAAAGATATCCTGGAAACGTGCGCCTGCTCCGTGTCCCATACCAGCCGCCATTAAATCATTCAATCCTGCGCCGAGGTCACGGCCCAGCCAGCAATTTCCCCATGTAAGCTCTGCATCAAGATGTTCCCGAACTCGGCGCATGCGGGACAGGTCATCGGTCAAGACCACAGCCCCCTTTCCGTTGCGATTGTCATTGCACAGATCCACCACTTCTTCTTCTCTATCAAACGAGTAAACAATTGCCACAGGACCAGATAGCTCCTCCTGGCCCAAGGGACTCTCAGGGTGTATGTTGCTTAGAATTGTCGGACCAACCCACAAACCATCATTCGGATGTTCCTCTGGGATCTCACCAATCTCAAATGTGGCATGCTCTTCATCAGCCCGAATAAGATAAGCTCGAAGATTGTCATACTGCTTCCGAGAAACAACTGGGCCCATGTCCTTGGCTGGCCGGTACTTCTTAAGGACCAATCGAATCAGCTTGGAAAGGAAGACCTTGTAAACCGATCGGTGAACGTAGATGCGAGAACCGCCGAGACAAACCTGTCCACTGTTTTCAAATGCCGCATAGGCTGCTGTCGAAGCCGCGCTTTCAAGATCGACATCGCCAAAAATCAGTGTAGGACAACTTCCTTGGAGATCGAGAGACAGGCGCTTGTGAATGTCGGCAGCAGTTTCCTCTCGAATCTGAATTCCTGTCTTGATTCCTCCAGTAAGTGAAACTCCCCGAATGGCAGGCAATCCTACCAGAGTTGAACCGGTGCTAGGTCCATTTCCGAAAATGATGTTCATAACACCAGGAGGCAGATCGGCGCGGCGAAGTACTTCGGCAAACACTATTATTATAGTAAGCACAGTTATTCATAAGCCCAGAGATGTAATAACATACAAAAGGCAGTCATGCTAGTGTGCTCGCTTGGCTTGGCAACACCCGTGCATCCAAATGCGAGGCAGGGGGCAATCTTTGATGCCAAAAGGTACAGTGGCATGTTCGATGAAGTGATGATTGCATAAACTCCCACTGGCAATCGGTGTTCGTATATTAGGGTTGACTGTTTTGCGGTTCTGTTGAGATGAACTGCATTGGTCTCCTCCTGCAAAATGTATCTAGCAAAGTATCTAATGTATGTTAAATCCACTCATATACAAAAGGTAGATGAACGAACCGGAAAAACTCAATAGCATGGTCAACTTCCGTGCGAGCCCGATGAAGCTGTTTGCCTTGGTCAATGCTTTCCCATACCGCAAACATGTCCTTCTTGTCTTCCATAATGTCCGCGATTCGGAACAGAACGTCGGATCGCTGGTAAACAGATGTTTTGGACCAGGCTGTGAAAGCCCGAGCTGCCACATTCACAGCATATTCGACGACGTTCTCGGGACTAATAGGCAATTTCAACAAGAGATAGCCTGAACGAGGGTCAGAGGAGTCTATCCATTCCGATGTATGCGAACGATCAAGGAATCGATTCTCGATAAAATTCTGAAGACGAATATGCTCGTTCTCAGGATTGGTGACATAGTCCATGGCTCGGCCGATGGTGTCCAGCTCCCACAGCGTAGAAATGGTGCCCATGATGAATGTCAAAGAGTAGAACAAGAAGTACCTTGCCTAGTAGAGAGAGGTTGGGATTAGAGTAATGCCTGTGTCTACTGGCTGATATAGCAACACACCTGTGATTTGAATGTCAAACTGGGTCAAACTTAAGGAAGTTTAAGAGAGAAGAATGAAAGAAGGCCAGTCTATGAGAAAAATTATCAACCATAATAAAGCAAGACGCGAGACGCGAATCGCGAGGCGCGTGATACTTGTCAACAGGCCTGAGACTATACAACAGCCCTGGCGGTGTGAAAATAAAGCCCATGCTCATGTCTCCTGTGCCCATGTCATCACGCACTGCAGTTCCTTCTCTGCTTCTCCTCCCTCTACACTCATTGGAAATTCTTGGCTAATTGGCTCTTTGGTACCTTTTGATCTTCCCGATCACCAAGTAATGGGTCTGGGTTCAACCCCTTGAACCAGTACTGGGTCTGGTGCCCCCAAATTGGGTCGAACTGAGCCCGGGTTGGGTTTGGATTATGACATTTTAACCAAGACCCAGACTGGGCTGGGCTCTGGGTTATGACAGTTGACCCAAAGCGGGTCGTGCAGAAGTCTGATAACTTGTATAGCCAATATTGAGGTCCTACACTCACGCTCTATGATGGTTACTCTACTGGTATAAAATCAGAATGAGTATGATCCCAGATCATGGATTACCTTTTGCTAGTATAGCGAGACGAATTGAGCAGACTCAAGCTAGGGAACAAGCACGTTGAGGAGCTTCGCCCGTCAACATCCCATCATATAGGTGCTTCGTATAGCTCCACCGTGCGCGAAAGAGCATAGGGCTACTTGCTGCTCATGGATCCAGCTTAATTGTCTTGATCTGAAGATGGAACTTTAGTGTCGTGAGCCATCTCTTAAGACCGTACATTCTATAATGACTAGATTCTCGTTGTTATTCTTCTAGAACGCACACTTGTATCTTAATTGCGAATGGCTTTTCAGCCCTCTCGCTTCATCAATCAGTGCTGTTAATTATATGTTCATTCTTAAGGGTAGAAAGCATCAAACATCCCGTATGATGTATGGGCTGTACACAGAAATGAATACACGACGTCGACATATACTACCACGTGGGGTGGACCCACCTTCCCCTTTCGGAAGCACATGTTCCCATAAATTGAAGACAAACGCAACCTCTTCGACTCTCCCACCCAGTGACTGAGTAGTGGGTTTACACGGTTTAAACACGCTGGCAACCCCAGCTACCGGGGTTCAACCCGCTCAGTCCTCGCTCATAAAAAAAATCCACTAAATGCATTCCCAACTCTTCGGGGTTGGGCCGTGGCCTAGGCATAGGTACTGGCATGGGAGATATCAACCCCCTCTTTTTTTTTCTAAAAAAGAAAAAACACAGAATTTTGCATACATTGAATTGACTAATTTAGCAGTCTTCGCAGAGTATATAATTGCCAAGTTTATGCGATCTGCAGACAGAAACACATTTGTGTAACTTATCACGTGATATAGATCCACCTTCCTTTTTCGGAAGCATAAGTTCCTATAAATTCAAGACAAACGGAACTTCTTCGACCCTCCCCCCCAGTGGCTTAGCGGGTTCACTCGGCTTAAACATACAGGTAACCCCGGCTGCCGGCGTTTGATCTGCTAAGTCCACGCTCATAAAAACATTCCACTTATGCATTCCTGACCCCTTAGGGTTGGGCCGTGGCCTCGGCATAGGGTACTGGCATGGGAGATATCACCCTTTCTTTTTTATCTTCATTCTTTTTTGCTCTTCATATGTCTCCCTTGTTAGCTCAATCCCTTTTCACCTCTTTACCATATCTATATCCATATATCTAAGGGAAAACCAAAGCGTTGAAAAACATCATTTAGGTTTGTAGCAGGTGACTAATACATAGTTTTGCAGGCAAGAACAAATATTCAGGCATCAACACATAAGATGGTGTCAATCTCTCTTTCTAGAATGCCGCGTATGGTTCTATAAGCCTCAGACCAACTAACACCTTACTTGCAACTAATAGTCTCCCCAATGCTTATCACTGTGCCATGATCTCTCACAGAGTTTTTGCCCCCTAGTTCACATCCTCACGATCCTGCTTCTCTGGCAAGATAATCGGAAATCTGTGGCCTTGAGCAGTGATTAAAATGCCCCCAGGCCATCATTTTGAAGAGGATGGGTTCCTCCAGGTCAGACGGTTTGGAAAAATCTCTTCCCGCCGTTCAAATTATTGGCTGTAAGATTAAGTCGAGTTACTCAGGCTGAAATTCATTTTGTTAAAGACAGGGGGGTTACAGGCTCACACTAGGAATAGTTTCTGCTTTGGTCACGACAAAGCCAATCAAATTCTCGTATACTCCTATCTTCTTTGTTTCTTTGAATGTCCGGATCAAATTTATTTAATTCAACGTGCTTGACAATGCCATTCATCAAGTTCACATTGTTGCATATCATTCTTATATGTGTATGTCTGCCTGTAGCACCCTGTTGTAGCTTCTCGGGATCTGGGAGGTAGGTGGGCTTGCTAATTTCGGGCTCAATGTCCCCCTTGACACTCTTGGCAGTAAATGTGAGTTCATCGAATTGGCTTTGGTTAGAGACTTCAATGGAACCAAGCACCCCAGGGCCCGCGCAACTTTGTTTGTCAAGTCGGACGCGACCAAGTTCATCTGCGTAGGAGCTTCTCTAACCTCACGATCAATCTGCACATTCAAATCAATATACTGACTTTGGATAAACTCAGTGGACTGCTCAGCTTCAGCGGGCTGGGAGGCTTCGGTAACGGCACGAGCTCGGTGAGCTTGAAGTTCATCCTTGGCGTTCTTCATAGTCTGTTGCTGGAGTTTCTTGTATTCAGCCTGTGCAGAAACAATCGTGTAGTACACCCTGCTCGGGCCATGCCTAATCCACCGTATGAACCTTTCGTAGTCCGCAACATCCCGCTCTAGTTGCTGAATCCAGGACGGATAGGTATGGTGAGAGAGGTTGTGGGAGTTTTAATTACCTCCAGGTTTGCCAAGATCGGATGAAGCAAGGTCAGGCTTGAATACCTGGCCCTCCGCACTGACGAGCGACTCGCATATGATAGTTCTCTTTGCCATCTTCGTAGGGCTCTGACTGATTGTAGAATGAGTCTCGCTCGGCCAGTCGGGAGCGGTAGGTGGGGCGCTTCGGGTCGGTCCGAGTGTTAGCGTGCATGTGTGGGGACAGGTACAGCTGTGCAGGAGAAGATGATGATGGAAAGGGATGAAAGCAGATGTAGGTGAATGAAAGAAAGAAGAGAGATGTGAGGTCTGATGATTATAGCGTAGGTTTTTATATCTGATTATGTTTGCTTTGCCCGGTACATGGCTGTATACTATGAGATATGCGCATTACCCCAACATTATCTATGGAAGCAATCGGGGTGTTTACGGTTATTTAGATCATCTGATAGCTGCGATTGTGATGGCAACAGAGGCAAGTGACCATATCTGTTTGACAGCAAAGCCACCTGGTTCCTCCGATGTTGAAGTTCCAAAAATGTTCGCTGCGCTTCAGCTTCGGCTGCCCCAAATTCCCCCAAGCACTGGGCTGCATCAGCACTTCCAAACTGAGATCTCTTCAAGCTCGGCATTAAGTTAGTTTCCTGTACTATATAAATTGACTAGCAACGGTGACATGGGCCCTGTTGACGACCAGCCTGTCCGATTAGCTGATCCAGAAACACTGATGCTGGCTCGTGATGTTTCGTTCGATCATCTAATATTAGTCTCCCTTTCATTCCGCTAAGTTTTCCTACCGGTTAATGCTTATCCAAATGCCCTCTGTACCAATCAATGCTTAGCTTTTATTCATCAAGCGGTTATTCGGTGACACCTGAACTGTCCGACTATTTTACGGTGTCGAAGCCCGCATTAGTGATTCCGAGCGTAAGATGGTCACGCTTGAGTCCGTCCATTAAGTTAAGGAATTCCTACGCAACTATCCCTTAGACTAGGTCTCCTCGGGGCACACTATCCTTCTCTCGTTATATAAGTCTTTGGCAGCGCACAATGCTGCCGAAGTGGACAAAGATAGTAACCAGACCGTTCTCGGAAGTCTTCGCGTAAGGAGATTGACGTGATAGCGCTTGACCTCACCGTTATGGATAAAGACCTATCGGAGCCTCATGACTTGCTTGAACTGTTGCCCTCCGGCAATTCAGGTCGGGTAAATCACCCACGAACTCCCGTCACGACCTCACCGACTAGTCTGACGACGAAGCTACCTCTCACGTCGAGATCACCATTGGATCTCTCAGCGTCCAGGCTCAGACCAAAACATGGTCTCCCTTACCACCTTGAACAGAGAGACCCAATACAGAAGAGTGTCACTGCTTAGTTCTTGGAGTTGGGAGTTTCGCAGAATGCTTTGTCAGGTCTGTTCAAAATGAAAAGTCTCTTATGGGGTCCGGCATCTTATTCGCTTTACTGGGTATTTAGTCGTACCAAATATGCGCATCATCTTAACATTGTTTAAGAGCATATTAGGGTGCTCACAGCTACATAGATTATCTAAGATCATAAGAAGGTATCTCGATTTTATTCGATTAAGGTGCCCTATGCGTGGAAGATTTCTACCTTTCACAGCTAAGCATAATGCTTAAAACTGACACCGAGATACTGAGAGATTCTGGATATAGGCAGTCTCTTCTACAACTAGACTTAGCAAATGACACACACTTGGACAGGATACTCAACTACGGACTGTACGATAAAGACAATGATTGGATCAAGAACTACATGACATACCTAGCCATGACATTCTTGTACGAGATCAAAATTTGGCGGAGGCGAGACTGAATAGCACATTGCTCTGCGGTTTCCTATGTACGTTGCTAGACTTGAATTTATCTCATAGTCTTTCGACATGATGAAAAAAGGTACGTATGCAATAACAGAGAATATGTAAGCTAAGACCAGTTCTCAAATCTTTTATTTAATTTGAAGCACCGTTTTCCCGCTCCTGCAACGTTTCCCGAACTTTGGGAAGCACAAACCGTCCGTAATCAATGGCATCGTTGAGATTATCATATCCCCGGATAGAGATAAGATCCGCACCAAGATCGACATAGTCAAGAAGGGACTCCACAATAGTCTGGTGCGATCCAACCAAGGCAGTAGAAGCACCACGTGCATTCGTTGCGGTAACAGTCGGATACCAAAGAGCTCGATCCTGGACCTCGCCACGAGCAGCGATATCAAGAAGCCGCTGAGAGCCCACGTTCTGTGGGGCTGGCGCGTTCGGGGGAGCCTTTCCTTGCCCTAACGCGCGATTGGCAGTCAGAGCATCGAGTGTTCTGTGTGCCTTGGCCCAAGCAAGTTCCTCAGTCTCCGCGACAATCGGACGGAACGTCACCCAGATGCGAGGTCTATCCGATTCCGGACGACCGGCCTTTGCTGCCTCGGCATAGATGCGATCAATTTGCTCTTTTGTTTCTTTCAAAGGTTCACCCCAAAGTCCGAAAATGTCAGCGAGAGAGCCGCCGACGCGGTATGCTTCGTCGGATGAGCCGCCGACTGAGACGGGGATTGGGCCGTTGGTCGGGCGGACGCGGTTGCTGAATTGTTTAAACTGATAGTATTTGCTGTCCCAGTCGAATGGCTCGTCGGACTTCCATGCGCGGCGAAGGATCTTAATGTAGTCTTCGAGACGGCCGTAGCGTTCGTCTTTGCTTAGGAAGTCGCCTTCCTTGGCTTGCTCTGCGTCACTGCCTCCGGCGATGAAGTGGACAACCACGCGACCGGAGCTGAGTTGGTCCAGGGTGGCTAACGCCTTTGCTGCGACTGTGGGGTAGAGTGTGTTGGGTCGCAGAGCAATGATGACCTTGAGCTTTTTGGTCACGGACAGAATGGTTGCTCCAAGGGTGAATGGATCATATGATGACGAGTCGTAGGGTACTAGTGTGTAGTTGTAGCCATAGTCATCTAGATTGCGAGCGTAGCGGACGAGGTACTCTGGATCAATCGAGGCGTTGGGGATTGGATTGATCTCCGTAGATGCGTTCGGGAACGTGAGGCTGATGAATTCCGGCATCGTGACTTATCGACGTTCTTGATTTTCTTAGATACTATTTTATCTCTCGTCTTACGGCAGGTCGATCTTCTTTTAATAGTTCCGCATCGCAGTATCTCCGGGATGATTTGGCATCGTCAAGCATGACGCAAGATGGTTAGCGATTGCGTCTTAGCACGCAAGTCGATAACCATATTCTTCCCCGTCAGATCAGATGTTCTACTTAGGTTCCCATCATAGCGTAAGCACTTGTTCTTCGGTCGCATCAAGCAATAGTACGACAACTAGAAGACATTGCGCCAGTATTGCGCAAGATGATCCATGAGAATCGCAATCCGATGACTAGGACCCGCACGGTAGGCCTATACAGAACCGGCCGAGATCGCAGCCTAGTTATGGGGCTAACTATTACAGATTATAACTCCCTAATAACGAGGTTGCCGGGCGGATTCCGTTCATGACACCAGCAATGAGACACTCTTCGTCGTGATATAGTCATGCGGGTATGGACTCACACCAATGTGGTGCTTCTTTGTCTAACGGCATGTGCCAGCTGACTCTAGGCTATATACAGAACTTTTCGAAAAGTTCTTGGGGTTTCAAACAAAGAGTTGAATGATTTGTGTAAGTTCTTTGAGTAGCAGGTACAACAATATATATCCCGAGGCTGCAGCCTTATCCCAGATGCAAATGAGCCGTATCTATTGAAAATGTCCCCGGTCACCACCCATAAGCTCTAATTGAATCAGGACTATGTGGGTTGCTATTCCTGAGTCTGTACCCCAGTGCAGATCAATGGTTGAAGTTATGGTTGGGCTCCAGGACTGGCCAAGACCCGGCAGATCGGTCCTTCGAGACCTCCCGACATCACCTTACCTGTAACTCTTTGTACTTCGAAATCCGCAGCCCTACAGATATACCTCTCGAGCACCGGCGTATGTTCGCAGCTTTCCTGAGCGCTTTGCTGAGGCCCTGATGCCCGCCCCCGCGTGGACAGATCATGACTCAGCATTCTACGATTCCATCCAGCCTTGTCTATCCATATGCCACCCTCAACACAATTTCTATAGGCTCTATCGAAAAAAAGGACGTATTGTTTTAAATCTTGATGTGCCTCCAACTTGACATCATTCGTATGTTGAGGCCAATAAGAAAAGCGATCAACTACTTGAGAGGCGCACGATAAGACGCTAGTCCCAATTAGGGTGCTACGTCATCGATGGGAGATGGGTTATATCCCCGACATATCTCACTCGCTATCATCTTCTTATACACATATCTCCATTTGAAGAAATCTACTTGAAATCAGTCATTATGCCACTCGTTGTTCCAGGAATCAACTCCTCAATGGGCGACAAGCCCGAGTGGCTCAACAAGCTTATGGGCAAAACGATTAGCGACACCAGTAATGAGACAGTATGTCAACTTTGATAAATCATGGAAATCTAACATGATATTCTAACTTTCAAACAGTCTTTTGCGAAGAAAGACCTTCCTGAGTCTCACCGGATATTGAAGCCGGGTGATATGAAGACCCAAGATCATGATCCGAACAGGTAATGTCCCATTACAATGTGCCATGAAACCAACGGCTATTTTGCTGACGGTGTACGATTCTTCTTAGACTTAATGTCCATGTTAATGATGATGGGACTGTTCATGATGTGAATTACGGTTAGAGCTGAGAGATAATGACGATGCGAATCATGAGAACAATTGAATCAATTTAATATCTATTGCATAAAATCTATTGCTATCCTCAACCACGTCGATTGATAAATCACTCGGCCTTCCATCTCAGTAGAGTAAGCGAGTGTCGCGGGAATTTATAAGTCCCACTTCCACTCCAGGTCGACTCCTGGATCCCCACTTCTTCCTTGCCCTTCATATTCGTCACGAATAAATCACTCGCTGTGACCGTGAACACAGAAACCTCTCCCTGAGGTCCCTCAACCCGGCTTTCCAAGTCTTCAGTGTCATGAATATTGACCACAGCAACATTGACAAATCCATCATCCCCCAGAGTGGCACTGACATCCAACCAGGGCGTATCCTTGACACTTCGAACCCACTGAGGAGCGGTCTCACCCTCGTACGTTCCACAGGAAACATGACTGCTAACGGTCCAACCGCGCATGTATCGCGAGAACAGCCAAAGCGGCCACCAGGTCGTCTGCTTGGTAATTCCCTCTGGGGAAGTCATCAACGGCGAGATGACATTAACGGTCTGCGCGATACAGGCCATGCTGACATCCTTGCTCTTTCGGACAAAGACGTTCAACCAGACGGCCACGGCGAGTGCGTCAGAGAGCGTGTAGCTTTCTTCGGCGCCTTTGCTTCCCTCTGCACGGATGGGATCCCAGACGTTCCACTCGTCGAAGCAGATCGTCGGGCGAAGTTGCTCGGGGGGAACTTGGTTCTCAACTCTGGCGAGATCGATCAAGGAGGAGGTGATTTCAATTGCGCGCTCGGCTGCTAGTGGAGCTGTCACATTGGGGAGGTGGGATGATGAAGATGTGTAAAGATGGATGCTGTGCATGTCGATCAAGGGGACTGTGCTGGTTGAAAGTGCAGAATGGGCGGGTACAAGGCACTTGTTGAGTGTGTAGTAATCCCATGATGCGGTGCCATCTTGGCCGCAGAGGATCAAGACGAGGGTAGGATCCAGGAGTTTGAGAGCTGGGAGAAAGTTATGTTAGCGCGACCTTTGCCGTAATGGAAGGATGTATTACCTTTGGCCCATTGAATCGCCTTGTGAGCATATGCTTCTTTGGTCATTTGCTCCACCTGCCAGGGACCCCAGCACTCGTTTCCGAGGGCCCAGTACTTGACCTGCTCGGGTTGTTAGATTGCAGCTCAACAGGTTACACTGTTATCTGAACATACATTATAGGGCTCCTCACGGCCATTCTTTCTTCGCAGATTAGCATAGTAAGTATTACCAGTTCCATTGCAGTACTCAACCCAGCCCAAGGCTAAACCAAACATCAGTATACCATATTGTCAAAGCTGAGTTGAATAAGAGACATACCTTCATCCAGGGTGCCGGTACCGAAGTTGAAGCAAAGGTACGGCTCCGTGCCTAGAGCCTCACACCATTGCATGAACTCATCAGTACCAAATTGGTTTGTCTCGGTTCCGAGCCAAGCAAGTTCGGGCCTGGCAAGTCAACGTCAGCAACCTTCTGGCAAACTAAACTGAACATGGGAAGCCACATACCGTGCTGGCCGCTGATCCCTAGGACCAACACCATCGAGCCAGTGATAGGTCGCACAGAAATTCCCACCGGGATACCGAACGACAGGGATGTTGAGCCCCTTCAACGCCTCCAAGACGTCCTTGCGGAATCCCTTTTCGTCGGAAAGCGGGTTTCCGGGATCATAGATGCCACCATAGATACACCGTCCCATATGCCTGCGAAAGTAGTTAGTTCATGTCACGACAGTGGAATGCCGAGATGTCTTACTCGGTAAAGCCGGCATAAATGTTCGGGTTGATCTTGGAAATGCGCCTCGACGGGTGCACGGAGATGAGAGGCGTCTCATGGTCTTCCAACTTGGTAAAAGTCGTCATTTTGTACGTTTGGAAGTTTTGATTCTACTGTTTATGTTGGAGGCGTCTCTGGCTAAATAGGTGATTTAAATGGAATCCAGTCCACCGGGAAATCTGTCGTTAAATCTTCAAGGGCGCGATTTAAGTACAACAATTCAGAAAGAATATCTCTGATCAAAGGGAGATTTATGGAAATAACCGATTGGGACTTGAAGCGGCAAAACTCCTGCGGGGAGAGTTGAGAGAATCGAGTGAGTTGTCTGTTAGCGCTAGTCATGTCCGTTGTGGCTCCCGGAAAAACGAGACGAAGCCATTGAGTGAACTTCCTGAGTCAATGGTGGACAAATAGGCCAATCAGTTGGCGATTGACCTTCACGATACCCCAGGGGGTTGGAGATCTTCCGTCAATCACAGACGAGATCGCACGCCACATTTCTTTGCCAACTCCTGGTTGCGTATCCTTTGGGAAGCTCCTGATCCCGGACTCATTCCAGCGATAGAAACAGGATGGGAGACGATTGGTGAACTCTCCGCAATTTCCCCCGGTTTACACGCGAGGTTAGTGCAATTTAGACCTTGAGTTGTATAGTATGCGATTCTCCGAATCGGTTACCCCATTTGTCGCCATGTGTTCTTGTGTTCAGTATATGTAGAGAAGCTCCCCCGGAGAAGACAATGTGGAGATAGATCCTCAACCCCATATTCAGCTATAATATATCCACTTGAAGCCATGCGTCTCTCGCCAGCATGGTACCAGGTAGGGAGGGACACCCACATTAAGAAGACTGAGCTCATGTTTTGATATAGTTCCTGGTCGGTGTCTTTGCGTCTCTTGGGTCATTCCTTTATGGATGTATGTTTCTCCAGCATCCCTTCTTGACACACGCAATCTAATACAACCGCAGATGATCTGGGTGTTATCGCGGCGGTGCTTGTCTGTGAATCATTTGACAGCAAGTTTGAGGCAAATGATACCCAAACGTGAGTCTCGCAGATCATATGAGAATATGAAAGATACCTAACATTCTCCCAGGGGATTGGTCGTGTCTCTATTCACCGCTGGTGCATGTGTCGGTGCTGGGCTTGCCGGTCCCAGTGGTGATTACCTAGGAAGAAGACGGACTATCTCAGTGGGATGTCTTATCTTCACTCTGGGAGGTGCCCTTCAAACCGGTGCGGTAACAATTGACTATCTATACAGCGGGCGATTCCTGGCCGGGCTAGGGTATGTGACCTTTCAAACAGAAAAACACCCAAACAAACACTAACATTGATTATTAGCGTTGGTTTCCTCACAATGATGATTCCTCTCTACCAAGCCGAGATCTGTCACCCCAGCATCCGCGGTCGAGTTACAGCCTTGCAGCAATTCATGCTCGGTATTGGAGCGCTTTGTGCTGGATGGATTGGATATGGAACGTACACCGGTTTCGCACCGACCAACACTGCGCAATGGCGACTGCCTCTCGGTTTGCAGGTTGCTCCTGCGGTGTTCTTGGGTGTTTTGATTTCTTTCTTCCCCGAGGTACGTTTAGCTGCGCTCGTATCAATTTAAATGACTAATGTTTCTCTAGTCACCTCGCTGGCTCATCGATCACAATCGCGCCGAAGAGGGATTGCGCACATTGGCCAAGTTACATGCTCATGGAGACGAAAATGACGCTTGGGTCCAGGCAGAGTTTGCGCAGATCCAGGAAAGCATCACCTTTGAGCACGAGAACGAGGCAAAGTCATATCTCGAGTTGTTCACCAATCGCTCCTCTTTCCGTCGCCTGTTCCTTTGCTGCGCGTTGCAAGCCTCGGGCCAAATGACCGGTGTATCCGCCATTCAGTAAGTGTACAACAATTGACCACCGCAGTTGGTCAATATAGAAGCACCCAGCTGACACGCTCCATGAACAGATATTACTCACCTCAAATCTACGGTCAAATCGGTATCTCCGATGAAGACACATTGAAGTACCAGGCAATCAACTCTATCATCGCCTTATTTGGACAGTTCCTATGTATGATGTACATTGATCGCTTCGGCCGTCGCTGGACTCTAATCGGTGGAAACCTCGGCAACTGTTTGACCTTCATCATCGCAACCGTGCTGCTAGCACAGTTCCCTCCAACAACCAACAACAACGGCGCTCATTGGGGCTTTATCATTATGACTTGGTTATACAATTTCTCCTTCTCCGCAACCTGTGGTCCTTTAACCTGGATTATCCCGGCTGAAGTATTCGACACTCGCACCCGTGCCAAGGGTGTCTCGATTGCTACTATGATTTCGTTTGCTTTCAACACGATGATTGGCCAGGTCACGCCTATTGCAATGACGCGGATTGGATATCGTTTCTATATTCTCTTTGTCGTCTGCAACTTCACCAATGCCCTTTTCTTCTGGCTGTTGCTTCCTGAGACAAAGCGCGTGCCCCTTGAAGAAATGAACCAGATGTTCACAAATGCCCCGTGGATCGTTCCTGGGACGAGAAGAGAGAATTATATGAGTCACGATCTGGAGCGGAAGGTTGAGGAGCAGGAAGTGAAGCAGAATGCGATGCATGTGGAGTAGAACAGGCTCATAGGGAGGACCTTTTAGAGAATCCTCGCGTTATTGGAAAGTACACTTGGTTTGGGATCGAGATACAATTGTGAGGTCGTTGCATGTGCTCATGGAGTGGACTGTAAATAACGAAGAGTGGACACGGCTCGGTTATTATTGGAGAATACTGCAGTTTTTGAGACCACTGGGCTTCGGAATATATCACGTTACAGTCTCAGCTCATTCTTTGCTCCTGGGGTCTTGACTATATCGGCAGGGATATGGAATTAGCATAAAGGCCCTAAAAAAATACTAGAGGATGTCAACACGGGAATATGGAGATGATCCATAGATGCCGATGAGAGGCAAGCCATGCCTTCTATAATCCTTGTAGATAGATTTAGTTCTTCAATCATTAATTTGATCTAATCATACAGTCCTAACATAGATATTAGTGTTGACTAATGGATGTTGACCGGTCATTCTGAATCCGAACTGTATCCCCCCAATCCAAGCGAAACCGCAGGTGATTTCGTCGGGCTTTTGGTCTTTACTTGCGGTTTATCTGTATCTGTCACGACCTCGGCCTGCGTGGCGGGATTTGTGGTTTGAGATGCCGTTGCAGACGCTGCAGCTGCGGCTTCATCAGACTTAGAAGTCCCTTGGTCCAGCTTCTTGGTACTCAAGCTCCCAGCGTCATCTTGTTTCTGCGAGTCTTTCCCGTTGTGTGTGTCCTTCCCAGCGGCATTCTCTGTAGCTGAAGCTTTGCGCTTCTTCCCTGGAATCAATAAGTCCCTTTGTTTATCGCGCCGTCTCTTGCGAGCCAGTGCAATCCAATCTTCTCCTTGCCCTTTTCCTTGCCCGGGTGCATCCGACGAGGCGGACTCAAGTAGAGCCTTCTCCGCCTCCTCGCGCTGTCGGCGGAATGCTTCAAGTTGATCCGCCGTCTCCTTTTTCACAGCGGCCTCCTGGGCGCGCGTTGACTCGAGAACGGAATCTAAAAATTCGACTTCGTCTTCGTCGAGGGAGCGAAATTGGTTCCGGAGACGGGATTTCTCTTCAAAAGCTTCTTGTTTGGCCACTGTATAATAACCGAGGAAAATCACCCTAACATGTTAGCCAGGTTCCCTGGATGAATGGTCTACTTATTTCTCCGTTCAGGGCCAGGCATTGGAGACAGGGGCCAGGCGACCGAGTTGGGCTCACTTTTATTCCGCTCCAATATCTCGAAGAGACTTTTGCCGCCCTCCTGCTTTCCTAGCTCGGCCTTCCGCCTCCGCTCTTCCTCCAGCTCCTGTTCTGCTCGGAGCCACTCATCGTCCCGCTCGATGGGTTGCTCATTTGTGCCGGCTGAAACGAAACCCGATGACATATTGATGGGGCTGGATAAAGTGGTATGGGGTACGGAGTACGGGATGCAGCACTCGGGTATAATGGTCGGTCGGAATGCGAAATTATCCGGCGTCAGGGGGGCCGGGATGGGATGTGGGGGTGTGGAATAGGCCGAAACGCGGGCGAATAATCTGTTGAAAGAGACCGAGAACTTTCCGTATTCACAGAGAACTCGGAGAATTGGAAGAATTGGGTTGTCGATCACAATTGAAAGATGTGATTGGAAGAGTTGAGTGGAAATGTTGCATTTAGCCAGAATGATGGTCTTTGGTGGTCCCTTGGTGGTCCTTGACTTGGTTATACCCTCAAAATTCTGCCCAGGGCTCCAGTATGACGATGTAAGTGATCGATCACAGAGTGGATATTGGCCAGTCGGGTAATTCTTGAACCCTTTTTGTCCACGGGCTCTTGGAAGAAGTTGAGAAATCACGTCCAATACGGGTCAATTGCCCCCCACCTCCCCCTCTTCCTCCAACGACATCATCGCGCTACTCTTGGACCTGCCCACTTTATAATTGCTCAATATATAAAGGCCACTTGGCCCCTTGAACATCTTCGTTATCAATTGTTCTAAAATACATCAAAATGTCGAATCAACACACTCAGTAAGTCATTGGAATGGAATGCACTTCCTCAGATCATCGCATTAACCTCTCTCTCCCTCTGCAGAAAGACTTACACCCTCAACACCGGCGACAAGATCCCCGCCATCGGTCTGGGAACATGGCAGTCTAAGCCCAATGAGGTCCGCGAGGCAGTGAAGAACGCCCTCCTCGCCGGTTACCGTCACATTGACACTGCTCTGGCTTATGGCAACGAGGCCGAGGTCGGTGCTGGTATTAAGGACTCTGGCGTGCCCCGCGACCAGATCTGGCTCACCACCAAGTTGGACAACACCTGGCACCACCGTGTGACTGAGGGCATTGACTCCTCTCTCAAGGACCTCGGCACCGACTACGTCGACCTTTACTTGGTCCACTGGCCCAGCTCTACCGATCCCGAGGACAAGTCCAAGCACCTCCCCGATTGGGACTTCATCAAGACCTGGTAAGTGAACAAGTGACTCAATTAATTCATCCAGTGAGGAATCATTGCTAACTCATGTTTCATTGCAGGCAAGAAGTGCAGAAGCTCCCTGCCACTGGCAAGGTCCGCAACATCGGTGTCTCCAACTTCGGCATCAAGAACCTTGAGAAGCTCTTGAATGACCCCAGCTGCAAGATCGTGCCCGCCGTCAACCAGATCGAGCTGCACCCCAACAACCCCTCTCCCAAGCTGGTTGCCTACAACACCTCCAAGGGCATCCACTCCACCGGTTACTCGTGCCTGGGCTCCACCGACTCTCCCTTGTACAAGGACCCCACCCTCCTCAAGCTTGCCGAGAAGAAGGGCAAGACTCCTCAGCAGGTCCTCCTCGTTTGGGGTATCAGCAAGGGCTGGAGTGTTATTCCCAAGTCGGTCAACAAGGCTCGCATTGAGGGCAACTTTGATATCAACGGCTGGGACTTGACTGCTGATGAGATTAACGAGCTTGACAACCTTAAGGACCGCTTCAAGGTCTGTGGTGATGCTTGGCTCCCCATCAAGGTCTTCTTTGGCGATGACGAGTAAATATGTCCAAAATTATGAATGTTTTATGATGATTACATAGGCTTTAGATACCAAAAGAATGATTTCGATGTGACACTCGTCAATTCTATATTGAGTATGTACAACATAACTTGCGATAAAATAGCGTTGCTCTCCATGGGAAAATACATGTTTAGCGGCAGACATGCATAAATCCATTCCGATGTCATCATAGCGTCAAACATAGCATACAAGACAAACATGACAAACATGACAAACATGAGTATTTTTGGTCACGCCGGTGGCGTCACATAGCCACTGCGGAGCCTCGTGTCTGAGGCGGAGAGATAAGGGCGTATCCGTACCCCATCTTCAGGCATCCTTCTCTTCATCTGTTCCATCATCTTCAGTTATTCATCTCTGAAATATCATCATGGCGCCTTCAGCAGGGCACCTGCTGCTTCCTAAAATATGGAGAGTAGCAAGGTATGTCTCCCTTTTTCGTCGCCTTATCAATCATAATGGAGCCATTGACAAATATCCTCCTAGGTTTGCCTACGCAAAAGCCTCCAAGGCTATACGTTCAAAACTACCAGAGCCTACACAATATCATCCGGTGCGATATCAACCAGCCTATGCCCGAATCAATCCTAGCCAGCCAATCAGCCGTGCCGCTGCCATCCGTCAAGCCCGCAGTCGCCACTTCTCGACCCGTGCGGCCGGTGCCTTCGCCTCTACGATTCGATCTGGACTAGGTGCCGATGGCGCCGCCGCTACCCGTACCACCTCTCGCATAGTGTCGAATATCAGTCGACTGAGTAGCCGCGCACCATTTGCTTCTACTCTTCGTCCCAATCTGACCGGTGGCACCCTTGGTCGGACTGCGGGGGGGATACGCTGTTGGAGCTGGCCGTTTTGGTGGGGCTAGATATTTTTCCCACGGGCCTGCAGCACCAGCACAGGTCATTCAGAATGTGTCGCAGGGTGTTCGTGCTTTCTTTCTGTCGGGGCAGAAAGTCCGTTTCGACGGCATTGACCCCCCGCACTGGAGAGAAGCGGTATAAGTCAGTCAGCACGCTGCAGGACCAGGCAGAGCGAAAGATGAATGCCAATGCGCACAATGCACCGGGCTCTTTTATTGAATTTCAGGTTTCCCCGACCATCACTGCCCTCAGCGCCGTTGGTGGTCTCGGTAAGCAGGACCGCTCCGCCTCGTGCGACTCTCTGAACTCCGAGGGTCTCATGGATCTGCTTTTTGCCGATTTCGCCCGTGCTTTGAAGGATTTCTCTGCCGTCATGAATGATCTCAAGCGTCTCTCCTCACTTGGTGATCTTCCAATCTCTCTTCATGACCGATCGACGATCCGGGTTCGCTTCCCTGGCTGTGATGCAGAAACTGTAGAGCAGTTGTGTTGTGAGGCTGGGATTCAGCGAGGCCGAGTCGTGCAGGATGAAGATTTCGATCTTCGCACTGGCGCTGATTTGGCCCTTCTGTTCCCCTTTGCACCGAGCATTGCCACTTCCTCCGACACAGACTATTACTTCGAAAAAGTTCCAAAATTACACTCGCAGTATCCAGCGGATCTTGACTGGCAAGGGATGATGACACCAGAAAGCTGCACGTCATCATCGCCAGGTAGCGGTCGGGATTCGGGCAATGCCATCAGTTTCGAGGACAGTGAGCTATTTGGTGCCAATCCATGGAAATCTTCAACCAAGAGCTATTCTAGTATCAACATCAGTGAACTTGGAGATCAGCCTTTCTTCCCCGAAGTCTCCTCCGCTGGCGAACCAGAGAGTAACTCTTACGAAGGCGTGGAGGGAATCTACAAGTTCTTGGCTGAGTGTGATCAAGCCAAGCGTTGACCGGATGTTTCGAATGGATGATATTCTTCTCGGTCACTTTCTTTCGTTCCTTTCCTTCCATTTCTTTTTTTTTCTTTTTTTTTTTTTGGCACATATCCCAGGCTGAAACCGGGATTACATGATGATGAAACAGATACCACTCCACTCTTTAACACCTCTTGTGTTATACTCGATTAAATGAACTTTTATTCAAAATTGCTTAAGAAAACAATGTCACTAAATAAGAACAGCTCTAGAGATAGCCGGTCAACTTGATTGGGTCTGGTCAATAGTCTAAAGGGACGGTGACATCGTCCGGTCCTTTTAATTTCCTGAGATGTGCATGTTTCGCCTAGGGACAGTCGCCGACTGATCCGGCTGAAGAACTCACGGTGCGGGGTCCGGGGTTCCTGGCTTATCGAAAGGGAATGGCTTCCTTGGAATTGAGAGAATTGTCTTGCTTCTTCATTTCAACCCTGTATAGTGTCTGATAACATCTACTCCAGTGCCGTTTCTCTAATTTGCTCAGGCAAAATCAACTTTGACATCCCTTCTGCCTACCATCCTGACAGCCAAGGAACATCCTCTACTATATTGCATAGTAGTAATTAAGCAGCCAAGATGAAGAGCTTATTCTCGCAATGTGGACCGAGCCTAATATGGTCCTCCCGCGCCGAGTCTGGGGATGATCGACTACGACTACCCTGTTTGGGGACGGAGGATCATTTCCGCGGGGGGGCTTTGAATGACACTAAAACCCCTCCCCTTGACCATCTAGGCAACTTAGACTGGTTTCAAGGCTGAAGAATACTTTTGTGTTGACAGGTGCTATGTCCCATCTACCCCAGACAACAATGTACAGGCAGACTGAACCACGTGTAGGGCAAAACACGGCATTTCCTGACGTCTCTGCCGTACATGTGGCTTGGCAATGTCTGGAAATGGTCACTTGAACGAAAATGATTCTGAATCTTTTCGAATACCTCGAGATGGTGTGACATTGTCTTCGGGTTCCCGGCTTCAATCTCCGCAAGGGCGACAAGACATCCATCTCGCTGAGGTATATAAAGAGATCCAATTCCTGTGCAATTATTGAAAGTACAGAGCAATCAGCAACGAGCAACATCCACATATATTCCTTACAAGACTGTCAATATGCGGTCTTTCATTCCATTCGTGCCTCTGCTGGCTTCGTCCGCAGCGGCGGCTGCAATCGACGTTGCTGCTCGCGCAACTGTCACCACTGCACCTTCGGCGGATGCCAATCCCTTCGAGGGATACCAACTATACGTGAATCCATTCTATGCGTCCGAAGTCTCTGCCTCAGCCTTGCCATCCATGACGGGAGCGGCTAAGGCCGCCGCAAGTGCTGCCGCTGAAGTGCCATCCTTCTACTGGCTGTGAGTTCATTGTGCTGATTTCACATATACTCTAAGCAGATATTAATTTTGTTTTACAGGGACACTGCCGACAAGGTGCCAACAATGGGTGAGTTCTTGGCCGACATCAAGGCCAAGAACGCAGCCGGTGCTAGTCCCCCGATTGCTGGCCAATTCGTTGTTTACGATCTACCTGATCGTGACTGCGCTGCTTTGGCCAGTAACGGAGAGTACTCCATTGCTGATGGCGGTGTTGCCAAGTACAAGGCGTACATTGACTCCATCCGCAAGATCCTGGTCGAGTACTCTGACGTCCAGACTATCCTTGTCGTTGGTGAGTAGAATCTACTGATCAATTGCTTTAGCGTGACTCATTGCTAATGTTTCCAGAACCCGATTCATTGGCCAACTTGGTTACCAACATGGCTGTTTCCAAGTGCGCTGGCGCACACGACGCATACCTGGAGTGCACTAACTACGCTGTTACTCAGTTGAACTTGCCCAATGTTGCCATGTACCTCGATGCTGGTATGAATCCATTGAATGTAATCAATATCATCCAGATATGCTAACTATCGATATAGGACACGCTGGATGGCTAGGCTGGCCCGCCAATCTAGGCCCCGCAGCTGAGCTCTACGCTGGTGTCTACACCAAGGCCGAGAAGCCCGCCTCTCTGCGCGGCCTTGCCACCAACGTTGCCAACTACAACGGCTGGTCTCTCACTACCTGCCCATCATACACCCAGGGAGACGCCAACTGCGATGAGAAGAAGTACATCAACGCTCTTGCTCCCCTGCTTAAGACTGCTGGCTGGGATGCCCACTTCATCACTGACACCGGTATGTAATCAAGCAACTTTCTAAAGCAGCATCAATCGACTTCCTCTGCATGAGATTCCATGCTGACTGTTTTGTTCCAGGGCGCAATGGAGTCCAGCCCACTAAGCAATCCGCTTGGGGTGATTGGTGCAATGTCATCGGAACCGGTTTCGGTGTCCGCCCCACCACTGAGACTGGTGATGCTTTGGCTGATGCCTTTGTCTGGGTCAAGCCCGGTGGTGAGAGCGATGGTACCTCGGATACCAGTGCGACTCGCTACGATGCCCACTGTGGACTTGGTGATGCTCTTAAGCCTGCTCCTGAAGCTGGTACTTGGTTCCAGGTAAGAGTTTCCTATTTTATGGTGAATGGTTATATAATACTAACTACATTGCAGGCCTACTTCGCCCAGCTTGTGGAGAATGCTAACCCCTCCTTCTAAATTTGTGGAAACACTTTGGATGGCTCCAGAGCTGCTACGTATACAGAACGGAGATGATGCATTGAATGCAAGGCTTCATTCATGATATCGAAATAGCAGAAATAAATTTCAATTTTGAATCATGACCAAACCGTGCAACGTGTGAATGGGAGATCGTACAAGATCTGTCTCGTACACCAATTGGTGTCCAACCGGCCTTTGTAGACCCTCGCATAGCAACACCCATACGCAAGGCACACAAAAAGAGGTAAATAAAGACCTGTAGGCAATAATGACCACGGAGACCAAGTTGCCACAATATGACGTGGACCACCCTGAATTAAAGTCAGGATGTGCTCCACGAGTCACTTAAGGAATGTTCAGCCCTTAATCCACACTTACCTAGGTAAACGTCCACGCCCCGGACTGTGGTGTCGCAAGGTGCTTTTCTACCAATTTGTACGGTCAATCGGCGTAATTTTTTACCACCATGGGATTGGTGTCGCAGATTTCGAGTAAACGTGGGTATTTCCCGTGATTGATAGTCTAGACTTAACTCGACACACTCAGCCAAAAAGACAACGGCCTTGCTTGTTGCCTACTTGGAGATTAGTCAAACATCTTTCTTTGTCATGCGTGGAGCATAAAGAAGCTCTAGGGGACTCACCGTCTATCATGACCTCAGTTGAGTTTCTTGCTCTCACCTGTAGAGGTGTACATCTTCGTTCGTCATAGCTTGGTAAGGTATTCAATCAAGTCACATTGCACCCTGCGAGTCGAGATATCCCCAGATTGTAGTTTCGGATTTTGTTTACTCCGTGATATCAAAGGGACAAGGCATGGGTCGCCATTATCAGGGCACAGACCACATTTGGCAGGTTTGCTTCTTTATTTGGACTTGATCTATGCTTCACAACTTCGATATCAACGGGAGTTTGGGAGTAGGGTCTATTGGTAGCAAAACGTCCGCAGAAGCTGCTGGACATAAAAGAGCTCGCGATGTAATGCATCCACATACTCCTTCATATGCTGACGTGTATTAGGTAGAGGAGATCCGATTTCTGGAAAAGGTTTTTCCATGCAGGCTTTTCATGTCAGGCATGGATCCAATACGGTTGACAGTGATTGTCACATTCTCTAGCCAGGGGTTATAGGCTAGCTTCGAAGACAGTTCGAACCATGTCTCAAAAGTATCCTTAACAAGTCTCGCAGATATATATATATGACCTCTCACAATAGTAGTTCGAGTATACTGAAAGAAACGAAAAACGAAATCCTCAATGCTTGGAGGAACATTTAGAATTGCTTTCTCGATCCTAGCTAGCGGCCCTGGTGTTGAGAGTCTGGGAATTACCTTCAAAAAACAAAGCCTGATGTCCTAAATGAGTTTATCACTTCCTGAAATGCTGAGCGAAGAATATACACGGGGTCGCTTGGCAGGTACCAAACTGATACGGAGCTGAAGAAGCTGTAACAGATAAGAAAATTATCATGAAGCACTGTACAAGATACCCTGCATGAATGCTATAACAATCTTCAGAGTTGGAAGTTGTTCGGTAATTGTATGCTAATTAACCGACCAGACCAAGAAGCACGTGCCAGGCACGTGGGACGTCCATCGATCGCTAAAAGGCGGTCTGAGTTTGGGGCATAATTCTGACCGCCCGCTAGACGAAGATCATCGATAAGGATTGCGGGATATCTTCCTAGGTTGCCCACCACGTACCCGAAACAACATCATAACTATCACCAATTCCTTCACGAAAATCCTGTGATTATTCAAATCATCGTGGATAAAAAGTCATCTGCATTTCACAGTTCTGCAGGTTTGGGTGCTTCAGTGCCCTGGGTTGATCACCCCACCTAGCTTTCAAAAGAACATTCTGAGAGAGAGACGCACATTTGTGACGATATCACGAGATTATTACGAGACTATTACGAGACTACCACAATGGAGGACTTCAACAGTGAGACAGACAGCGACTACACAAGCTACTGGCGTGACTGGGTAAGTGGATTTTCTTCATGTTTCCCCTTGAGATGAGCGAGGCGTTACGGCAGGTGCTGGGCTACTGTGGGTTGGGGGTCAAAGGGATGTTGAATGGAAGACAAGAAGAGGTCACCGTGTGAAATAAGCACTACGCTCTGGCGTTACCTCGATTTGTGGTTGCCGCGGCGTACCAATACTTTTTGGCGAGACAACGTTGCGATCATGGACTTCTTTCGCATCGTTACGCCGGCTCCTTGTCGCCGCGGCGATCAGGGGACTTGTCACCATGTTGCCCCCGGCGATCTGGATACACGTACTGTGCGCTGCCTGCGAGACGCAAATATAAATACCTCGTGTTTCCTTCTGGTCTTCTTCAGCCTCTTCTCTCAACTACTTTGTTTTCTCTTACCGTTTTCCTGCTTTACTTCATTCTCTGTCTCATCATGGAGCGGGATCCATTGATTTACTGCGCCGTCGTGTGCGTGCTTTCTTGCTTGCAAGTGTTTATCGTGGCATTGTTGCACGCTGGGATACGAGAGTCGCATGCTGGCCATTTTCTTCCTGCCATGATCTATCTTTTCATTACGATGTGCCTTGCCGAAATTTTCATAGTTGTGCTCCAAGCTTACACAGCAGCCAACATGGATGTCTTGCCTATTGTTGTCAATCTCCCTTATGACCCCCGTGACCCCCCGGGCTCGGGTTTCAATCCTGGTGGGAATGGAAACCATCCCAATGGTTATTCATTCAGCATCTCACGCCGTGGCCCCGGACATGGAGGGTCCTCGACGTCTCGCACTTCCTCTTACACCACTTCTAGCTCTAGTCGATACAATCGCGCTGTCTTTATCATAGTTGTGCTAATCGCAATTATGTATTTCCAGTTTGTCTCATCCCGCGGCAATGAATACTTTTGCGAAATCGACGAGGACTACTTAACTGATCGATTCAATCTTACTGGGTTGAACACTGAAGTTTCATACTACCAATACGCTCTTGATCTTGTGACCGACGTTTTCGACCTTGATGCCGACGATGATCTACGTGAGCAAATTGAAAAGTCTGCCCGTCATCTCTATGGTTTGGTTCATGCCCGGTACATTGTTACCACTCGTGGTCTTGCCAAAATGGTATGTTGAATCCCCATATTTGTGTGACTGTTGTTCTCGAGAATTAACGTACCAACCTCGCTGCAGCTCGAGAAGTACAAGAAGAGTGACTTCGGAAAGTGCCCACGTGTGATGTGTGATGGACACGCACTGCTTCCCATGGGCGAGTCTGACCTCCCGAATATCAGCACCGTCAAGCTGTACTGCCCCAAGTGTGAGGACATCTACAACCCCAAGTCGTCACGCCACTCGTCCATCGACGGTGCATACTTCGGTACCTCGTTCCACTCCATCTTGTTCCAGGTCTATCCGGCTCTGAATCCTGAGAAGAGCAGCCGCCGCTATGAACCCCGGATCTACGGTTTCAAGGTCCACGCCGCCGCTGCACTTGCCCGTTACCAGGACAACCAGCGCGAGGAACTCAAGTGGCGTCTCGCTGAGGTGGACATTAACCACCGGTTCATCGAGGACAGCGAGAGCGATGACGACGCCCTCGAGTATGAGGAGGAGTACGGTGTGGGCCAGGCGGCCCCAGCCAAGAAAGACACCGCCCGGGCATAAGGGGGTGATCTGAATCTGAATTTCACTTTGTTTTCTTTTCTTTTTTTTTATGCCGGTGGAATGGATAGGGGAGTGTGTCCTCGACCGCCCCCGGTCAGAGATGATTTTCCTCTGACTGTATTTGTAGTTCTTAGCCCTGGCGTTATGGAATCCATCCACGTTTTGATTTTCATCGCTGAGATCATCAAAATTCGTCACATAGAGTATATCGTAGTCACGTCTCTATTAAGTAGGCCCGGCTCTCACAGAACACCAAGACTATCTTCAGACGGATCGAGCACCTGAGGGGTGGGTCGGATGAATACGGCGAGTGTGCTGAGAGCAACATGGCCCTAGCTAGTAGGACCCTTCATTTTGAGTTGAATTCATTTACTAGTCAAATACAGCGAAGTACCGCATAGCTTTGATTCCATCACTGTAATAGAAGTGATTCTAAAGTGATTACGAGCGTATACTAAGAGATGATAGATTCACTACTGAACACAAAACGCGAGGATTTGATTCCACACGATCCATTTGCAGTCGATGATTGGAATATTCGACAAGTAAGTATTTATGGCAAAATTAGAAACTAGGGAGCTAGCCCCATTTCCTGCAATTGTTCGAATGCAAACGTTATAGCGCGAGCCAGTTGCTCGCCATTCTCCCATGCCTCATCGTGAGCACCGCTAATCGACAAGACACGGACCCGTCTATCACCGTGTGACAACTCTTCCTTGGGTATCTGTGCCTGATTCTGCTCCCAGTTCTTCAAAGCCTCCTTCATGGCCTCCACCTGAGACTCGTCCACCAGCCCATCCTCCTTGGAATGCGCCAGAACAGCCAGCCTTCCAGACTTCCACCCGCCTTCAACTCCACGAGAGCCAACCATCTGAGCCGGCGACACACCATCCCAGAGCACCTCATCCGTCCCAAACGCCCCCTCAATAAACTCATGATAAGCCGAAATGTTAGCATGTGTATCCCGCAGCCGCCGTAGATCGTAAATACCCGCCACACCGACAATGGCAGTGGGTTGCGCCGTTAATGCAGGTGGCAGGGGACCAGGGGAGGCAGAGACAAACCCAATACTATTATCGGGATTTTCGGTGGATCCGACGAATGCCTGTTCACGATGATGTGACACAGCGCCCATCACAGCTTGAAAGGCTAGCGTTGCGCCGCAACTGTGGCCAATCAGGATGTAACGCGAACCAAATCCGTATGTATTTTGGAGGAAGGCCAGCGCTGCCTCCACGTCGCGGATGTGATCGGGGTGTTTCGCATCTCGTAAGTCCTTCGGCGCAGTACTTGTTGGGTTTTGTGGGTAATTTGGGTGTGCGCTGAGACGATACGAGATCGACGCGAATCCGGAGATAGGTAGGCCTTTGTCGCGAAGTATCGATTCCGTGGCATTGAACGATGCCGATGTGATAGTTGGATCCCGCCAAGCACCGCCACGGATGAAGCTAGATAGACGTTAATTATTGCTTTTGTGGCAGGACTGTACTGGGACTCGCGCACATCACCCAGTAACCATCTTTCCGTGGAGCTAAGGTTGTGATATCGATCGTTTGTAGATTGTGGACTCGACCATAGGCCACTGTTCGTGTAATTGATTGATCTGCCATCGTGTCTTGAGGAGTTTCATCTTGATTTATGGGGAAGTGGGACATGGCAATAGATTACGGGCTGGTTGGACATCGTGCAAAACCGGGTACCATTTGACTGTCTGTGATATTGTAAGTATCCTGTAGCTTTGCTTCTTCTAACGTCCTGATCGTCTCCAGCCATTTTGTGTGATTTTCTTTCCCTGTGTCTGTGATTTTCCAGATCAAAATATAGTTAGTCTCTGATCGAATGAGAATTCTCCGGCAGTCTATAAAACTGTAATATTACTGTATTGACCCCCCCACTTGCACACTGAAAGGATGTCATGAATTTCGGTGTGTAATTTCAACACGCTAAGCCCGATCAGGAATGCATGGTCCCTTTCACACAAACCCTCCAAGTCCACACGTCTCGACCTCAACAACCGTCCAACTGTTGCAATCTTTGACAATGGCCGAGTAAGTGATGATTGTTTTTTGCGTGATGATATAATGCTAACTGACTTGCAGAATTCCAGCTCCCCTCGCGGCCGTTCAGGTCGAGGCCTTGGTATGGGCTCCCCGACGAAAATCTCCCCCAGTCCTCACCAGTCAGAAATACTGACGTCGGATCTTCCAGGTGGTGATGAAAATCATCAAGCACTGCTCCCAGGCCTTCCCCTCCACTGCGACTGGCGCCATCGTCGGTATGGATGTCGATGGCACTCTCGAGATCACCAACACTTTCCCTTTCCCCGTCGTCGAAGTCCCCGCCGAGTCGCACTTTGACAACGCCGCACCCAACCCCGCTGCTGCCGCTCCTCGTGCCAAGGCAAACGCCGCCTACTCTGCAGAGATGATTCGCATGCTGCGCGAGGTCAACACCGATGCCAACAGCGTCGGATGGTACACCAGCGCCAACATGGGCAACTTTGTCAACATGAATGTGATCGAGAACCAATTTTACTACCAGAGCCAGTTGAACGAGCGCACAGTCGCCCTCGTTCACGATGTCAGCCGCAGTTCCCAGGGCAGCCTCAGCCTCCGGGCCTTCCGCTTGTCATCCAAGTTCATGGCTGCGTTCAAGGAGAACAAGTTCACCTCCGAGGAGTACGTGCAATGATCTGGGAAATCCCAAAAATTCTAGACACATGTATACTGACAAGAATTATAGCCTGCAAAAGTCCAACTTGCGCCACCCCGACATCTTCGAGGAATTGCCCGTCAAGCTCCACAACTCCCACCTGATCACCTCTTTCATCCACCAGCTGCAGTGCCCGACCTCCACAGCCTCCACTGAGCTCCCCCCTCCCTGGCTGCTCTTGAGTCCAGCCCCTTCGCCAAAACCTCCACCCTCACTCCCAACTTCGACAACCTGTCCCTCAGCATCGATCCCTTCCTGGAGAAGAACTGCGATCTCCTTCTGGACAGCATCGAGACCCACAACACCGAGGTCAACAACTACCAATACTACCAGCGTGTGCTCGGCCGCGAGCAGCAGAAGATCAACGCCTGGAAGCAGAAGCGCGCACAAGAGAACGCCACCCGTGCCACTCTCAACCAGCCCCTCCTCCCCGAGGACGAGTGGCAGCGTCTGTTCAAGCTTCCCGCCGAGCCCAGCCGTCTGGAGAGCATGCTCAACACTAGCCAGGTGGACCAGTACGCGCGCCAGGTCGACAGCTTCGTCTCATCCAGCACGGGCAAGATGTTTGCCATCAAGGGCAACCTTCTGCCCAACGAGACCTCGAACTAAACGTTGATGATTGTGAAGGGGAGAGACGACGCTTCTGGGATTGCATGACCTTTTTACGGCGTAGGGAGGGAAAATGTTCTCTATTTTGGATGTTAATATGACTTCCTGTTTCTTTTTTCTTCTATGAGCGGAGCTGAGTCTCTGGGCATTAAACTCCTGCGTTGTATCGACTTATATTCGATCATAGAAGGGAATCTTTATTTTGTTTAAAATATAACAAACACTTTGAACAGGTCAAATTCTTACGTATGGTTTCTACAATAGGATAGTCTACGATGGAGCAAAGTGATCCAAGCCAAAAGCAAGGTTTTATTTTTTTCTATGAGACTAAGAAATCGGACTAGGAACTCACCAATCTATGGAATCAGACATCTGTGAAATCGAGCATCTGTGAAATCAACCATCTAGGAAGTCGGACCTTTAGGAAATCGGACATCTGTGAAATCAGCCATCTAGGAAATCGGACATCTAGGAAAACGGACATCTGTGAAATCAGCCATCTATGAAATCAGACATCTGTGAAACCAGACACCTATGAATGCATCTGCATGCATAATCCCTACCATGACTCTGGTTGGCTACCGGGCAGTCGAACCTCAAGGGGAACGGCAGCCTCAAGCTCATCGGCAACTCTATAACCAATAGTGGGATCTTCGTGCTCAAGGAGGCTGTCGATCGCGAGGAGGAACAGAGGCTGAAGAGTGGTGCAAATCTGGTAGAAGACAGTGTCACCGACGATCAGCGAAGACTCAATGCGGCTAGGTGCCATCAGAACAAGCTCTCGAATCCGCTCAACCAGCTCAAGACGACGCTCGGGAGCGATCCGGAGGCTCTGGACCACGATCTGGACAAGACGAAGGAAGTAAGCTCGGTCCCGAGCGTGAAGACTATCACGGGCGGCGACGGGAGGCATGGTGAAAGGGTAATAGGGATGATGGGAGTAATAGAATGTTAGTATGGATCTGTAGGATCTGTGGTTCTGTGAAGGCTGTGAAGGCTGTGAAGGCTGTGTGATCTGTGTGATACTGTTGCTTGGTGAGGAGAAGATATCGAGGTAGGAATCGAGGCTATTTATGCAATTCGAGTAGTCGAGTTCGAATACTCGATCAAGCACTGCCTGAAGATGAGAACAATAAAGGTATCAAAGAGTCTTTGTTTAGATGTTGTCTTCTTATTCCCTGGATCAACTTAAGAACAAAGGTCTTTGAGACATAAATAGAACGAGAAGAAGGGAGTAGACAAAGCGAGGAAACAATGGCTTTTGCACCCATGAAGCTTTACAAGACATTGGATGATCAATTCTCATGTGTGTGGCTGTACGTTGAGGAATGGCGCGCGGAGCCTAATTTACATTGCAGAAGTCATTTAGCATCACTGATAGTTCGCTATACAAGGTGCGAATCAAACTCTACACAAAATGTACCGATTGAGGACGAGCGAGGCTATCGAAACTTGAAAAGATGTCAAGATACTATCTGATTTGATTGTATCAGCTATATAAAAATACATGTGGGCGAACAATAGTTTTTGCAGCCCGGCAAATGTACATCTTTCATATCTTACAAGTCAAGAGTCGATGAGTATATACTCAGTTTCTTTAGCTGTGGTGGATGTCATTTACCATGCTTCCCCGGTGACCTTTAATGGAACATGAAGCAACCGATGGCCAAACTTCGTTGGTGAAGGAAGATGCCCAGCTCGAATGTTAATCTGCAAAGATTGGTGGAGCAGCTTGGGTGCAGCCAATCCTGCATCGCGTTCCTTTCTCAAGGCGACAAACTCTTCCTCGGAGATACTATCGTTGAGATGTTTATTCAACAACTTGTGATCCTGAACGCTCACCCAAGGCACAGGGACACCTCGTTCTGCCGGGGGATAATCATGACCGGTCCAGATCTTGAAGCGATCAGGGAAGCTGAGAAGCTTCCGACCCGATTGGTAAAGATCATTGGCATCGCCACCGGGGAAGTCACAGCGTGCAGTGCCAATGTCGTAATGGAAGAGAGAATCACCGCAGAATATGTTTTCTGAAGTAGGTCTTGTCAGTATATGCGTAAGTGAATGGGTATTTTTGGTAGATCATTACCTCCGATCATGTAACCAAGGTGATCCGGGGTGTGTCCGGGTAGATGAATCGCCATTCCTTTCAGGTTGCCAATAGTGAAGGTCTCATCGTCGTCAAACAGCTTGTCGAAAACACCTGTATACTCCTTTGGCGGAACACCATATCTTTCGGCGAACAACTTTTGGACTTGTTCAATGCGCTTGCCAATGCAGATGGGGGGTTTGTGATCTTGCTCCTGGGCAAGGCGTTTTTGAAGATAAGATGCTGCACTCAAGTGATCTGCATGAGCGTGCGTTTCGAGAATCTTGTCGATCTTGTAGCCCTTTTCCTTGACCGAAGAAAGCAACGAGTCGGCTGCGTGAGTAGTCACAGCCTGAGTGGCAGGATCATAGTTCAAGACCGGGTCGAGGATGACAGCTGTTGATGTCGACGGATCGGCAATGATATACTGCCATGTTGAGGTTGTGGGTTCGAAGATGTCGTGAATCACAGGATCAGTAGATGTACTAGATGCAGTGCTGTATGAGACTTGACGTTGGATTGGATGCCCGGTAGGGATGGAAGATGAACGTGGCGAGAATGGTTTGTTCAAGGTGTGAGTCGGCTGTCTTTTTTGTGATTGACAAACTGCCTCCTTGGTCGAAATGCCGTTTCTCGAAGATTTCGAGTGAGATACATGTGTATGTGCCACTTGTTGTAGATGACGCAATTGCCCAATGCTACCCAGCATTGAAGTTTGAATGGGCCTGCTAGACAGTCTGGAAAGATCTGACGACCATTGGCGGCCGATGCTCAGTGATTGCTGTCGAAAGCTGATCATGATCTATTGTATCTAAGTAACAAAAGTTGTTGAGGGATGGAATGTTAGAACTGTCATGGCGGCCATACTTGAAAGGCGTGGGTCGGCGATTGGCGAATGGCGATCAAAGTCGGCGAGCATCTAGGTCGGCGATTGAAAGAGTCATTGACATTGTCTGATCAACGAGACGATCCATGGATCCGTCCGGGGGTTCCGACTGTCATCCTCCGGGGAAATCTGATGGCGAAGTGCATTTTTGAATGTTGTGAACGGGCTTGGATCCCATGTGGTGAAGTGAATCAGTGTCACACATCGAAATCAAAGTCCACAAACTACCAATTAGCCCGAAAATGAGAGATAGTATACCCTGTTACGACAGAGCGACTGAGAAGGTGCCCTTGATGTAATGCACGTGCATGCTCATCACTTTGCTTTTTCTTTTGCCAGTAATGTTAATACCGATAAATAACATCGAGTGACTGATAGTAGATGACTTTTCCCTATCGTGTATTGAATTGGCTGTATGCAGTTGAAACAATACTGTATTTTAAAATTAGTGACGTGCATGCTTGTGCATTGCATAAGGGGACCTTCTCGGGCAGCGCTGTCAGATGTATGGAGTCCGAGTCAACCAGATCAGAGGTAGTAAACATGAAATAGGCCAATATTATAGGCCGTCTGCTTCGAGGAGAAACCCCGAAAGCGTCGGCGAACAAGGCCGATCCCCGAGATCGGAAGGAGTTAATCCGGAAGCACGACATCGTAAGTTCAGCGAACTATTTTATATGCTTCGAGGCTCTTTTTCCAAAGTCAGATTTTACAGTCTATTCAAAATATGTTTCAGCGTCGCACAGTAGTTGCTGCAAAGCGTTCCGCCGCTCAATGGAGGAGTCTCGCAACAGCGTCTCCCGTGAGCTCCGCACGCAACCATAAGATTGTAGTGGTCGGCGGTGGTACTGCGGGTCTCACCATCAGTCACCAACTACTGCACTCTGGCAAATTCGCACAAGATGACATTGCTGTCATTGATCCAGCTGAGTGGCATCACTACCAACCCGGCTGGACACTGGTTGGCGGTGGCCTCAAGGACAAAACGGAGCTGCGCAAGCCATTGAAGAGCTTGATTGATCCCAAGTTCAAGTTCTATAACGAGGGTGTTGGCGCCTTCGCCCCCACCGAGAATACTCTCACCCTTGAGAATGGCGACAAGATCAACTACGAGCAACTCGTCGTGGTGCCCGGTATTAGCATCAACTATGGCTCGATCAAGGGTCTCCCTGCGGCTCTTGCAGACCGGAACTCAACTGTTTCGACAATTTACAGCTACGACACATGTGACAAGGCTTTCCGCAACATCGAAAATTTCCGCGAAGGAAATGCCATCTTCACTCAGCCAGCCGGTGTGGTCAAGTGTGCGGGTGCCCCACAGAAGATCATGTGGCTTGCGTTGGATCACTGGAAACGAGCTGGCCTCTACAATCCTCCCAACCCCTCTGACTCGCCCGTCAAGATTAGCTTTGCAACCGGTCTCCCAATGATGTTCGGTGTGCCCAAGTACAGCGCCGTCCTCGAGCAGATGCGCAAAGACCGCGGCGTGGAGGGATTGTTCCAGCACGATCTCCTTGCGATTGATGGCAAGGCCGCCATTTTCGCCTCCCCCGAGGGAGAAGTCACAAGACAATTTGACTTGTTGCATGTCACCCCCAAGATGGGTGCCCATGGCTTCGTCAAGAACAGCGCTCTGGCCAACGAGGCTGGATTCGTCGATGTCGACGACAGCACCACCCGCCACAAGAAGTTCCCCAATGTCTGGTCTGCTGGTGATGCTTCCAGTCTGCCCACATCTAAGACTGCCGCAGCGATCACTTCCGAGGCACCGATTCTCGTCCACAACCTTTTGCGAAGCATGGAGGGTAAGGAACTCGATGCTTCTTACGATGGATACACCTCATGCCCGCTTGTGACTCAATATGGCAAGGTTCTTCTTGCTGAGTTCAAGTATGGCGGAGTGCCCAAGGAGACATTTGGGGATATGTTTGGTATTGACCAGGCCGAACCCCGTCGTGCGTTCTATCATCTGAAGAAGGACTTCTTCCCTTGGGTGTACTATAACTACATGATTAAGGGCAACTGGGGAGGACCAAAGGGCTTCCTATAAAGGAAAATATGGAGACCATGTATATTATTCTTTTTCTGCGATTAGATGGTGGTATGGTGGTACCTGGAGACTTCTTTTTGGTTAGAGGTTTGAATAAAAATCTGCAATTATTGATACAACCACCATGGAAATTCTCATAAAGGCGTGTTTTAACTCAATATAAGAATAACTAGTTGAACTCGGGAGGTGCAGTTGTTGAAGCAAGGCTGTTCTGTCCGACCTGTTTGTAGACGCACGTGACATTTATATGGATGACGTCATCGCTCATCATATCCATATCGATAAGCGTTGATCTGGCCCACGAATTCCCAGGTTGTTTACGAGTTGACTTTGTCGTCTTCGATGTTGGATATTTACAATGCTTTTACCACTGAAATTTGAGCTCCTTAGTTCTGTAATCTCTCCATGTACAACACTAGTTCCGATATTTGGGTTGTGAGTCTGTCCAGTCCAACTACACGCGCTCCTAAATCTGTCCCATGATTCATGTTTCAAGACTTCGATGGCTGACTGAGATAAATGGTTTATTAGGCAGGCGCATTTGCGGCAGTTGTAGTCGATTTTGTGGCCTACCCCATCGACACCCTCAAGACCCGTGTTCAATCACCAAACTATGAGAAGGTTTACAAAGATGCACGCACAGGAGCAGTGCAGCGCAATGTACTCTTTAGAGGACTGTATCAAGGTGTCTGGAGTGTGGTTTTCTCGACGATTCCAGCTTGTACGTGTTTACTCAGATTGATGAATCGAAAACGAGGAGCATTACAACTGACGATCTCATTTACATCAATCCAGCCGGTGCATTCTTTACCACATACGAAGCTGTGAAAAACATTATGTATAACTCCTCAACAAGTAATCCCACTAGCATGACAGGTGGAAAGAGAACCGCTCCAGAAGGTTCTTTGAACAGTCTTCGCTTGCCTTTTACACATTCCCTCCCTACTCCCATTATGCATGGAATAGCCTCTTCAACGGCGGAGATGGTATCATGTCTCATGCTCACGCCGGCAGAGGTACTTAAACAGAATGCGCAGATGATTCAAGGTCGCCAAACAAACAAGTCCGCCATGGGACAGGTACTACTGCGATTCCGACGTCATCCTTGGCGTCTATGGAGTGGGTATACGGCACTGGTCGGTCGAAACCTGCCAACTACAGCTTTACAATTTCCCCTATTTGAGTACGTACGATCAAATCTGATTGACCGCTGGAGGCGACGCAAAGCGAGTCGCAGCCATACCGGGCAACCACCATCGGAACAGTCAGAGCAACTAGTCGAACGGGCCGGCTTGACGGGTATAGCTGGGGCAATTTCGGGAACAGTTGCGGCGACTGTGACCACCCCGATCGACGTTATCAAGACCCGTGTCATGCTTTCGGCAAGTGATGCTGGTGCTGGTTCACAAGATCAAAGTACTAAGGCTGGTGCTCCTGGGCGTGGAGCAGTATCTTTGGAGAGGCAAACCAAGATCAACACGGGTAAATCTCTCATTTCTGTTGGTCGTAAAGTCATAAGTCACGAGGGCATCCGTGGGTTGTTCAAGGGTGGACTGATACGGGCCGGTTGGACGGCGATTGCATTAGGCATGTATCTCAGCCTGTATGAAGGAGGCCGGTTTTATTTGGAGAATCGGCGGAAGGAGCGGGACCGTATCAATGGGAAACTCGCAAAGCAAACCGACGAAGGAGAGGAAGTCATCTAGTGGAAAGAAACTGTGTGTTGATGAACCCTTTCGTCATGCTGCCGCCGCCTTCGTTGCAAAGGCTCATAGATACTCAAATTTTCCATCATTGAGACTATCAACTCAGTTCTGAAAGTGCTTTCTCTTTGTTTTCAAAGGCATTATTGTGTTTCTATGATTCCATTGTAAAGACACAGTGAATTGCTATTGAACAAAGAAGAGACCCCCACTCTGCAAATTGCATTGTATCTTGGTTTGTCGAGGCTATCTTTGGAAGATTCCAAGTCAAGAGAGAACAAAGGGTGTCTTTGATCCCAGGTATAATAGTATGCCGGGAACCTTCATCTATATAAATCGTATTCCCGCCTGCCTACAACCGATATCCAACACCCTACTTTTATATTTCATGCCTCTATCAAACCTTTTCAAGCTCTTTCAGAATTCAACCATGTTGCCCTCATCTCAAGTCCAAAACAAACGTCAGGGTTCGGACATCCCTATGGACACCTTTGTGGACACTGACGAGAGCTGGGATGCAGATGACGAGGCCTCTGACTCAGACAGCCCTACCGATGCTTTCAACTTGATGCCGATGTCAGAGGTACTAGGACTCAAGTCCAAAAAAGAGGTCCCCCGCTTATTTCGTTTCAGAGTCCGCCGTGAGGAAGACAAGTTCCTAGGTGCCTCGGGTAAGTCTGATGGCTGGATTAACATCTCTCATTTCCTCTGGACCATGTGTGCTACTCTTGCAGATGCCGGCAGTGATCGGGAATGGACAGCGACATTCGAGAAATACCGACCCCAGTGGAATAAGATCCAGGTGCAGGTGAAGAGATACGGTTTTACTCAGTTTTCCTCTGAGATCCCTCCTGCGCCTGTTGATCTCGCGTTGGTCCAATTCTTTGGGACACAGTATGACGGACAGGTCAGGGGATTCGAGATCGAACAAGAGGATCTCAATACTGTCCCTGATTCTCAGGATATCTGGACACTCTGGCGATATATTATTGAGACACCCGCAGATCAGATCAAAGAGTTTAACGTTACACTCAGGGATACTGGAAAGCTTATGGGTCAGTAGACTGCAAGATAGATGAAGCATTTTCTATCTGTGAGCGGAGGTTTCTGCTGTTGACTCGAGTTTGTTATTGATACTATTTCTTTTCAACCAGACATATATACATTCCTTTACCCTTGTCAAATTTTTAGCTCAATATAGTTTCACATGTCGTTTTTGTTTTCACTATACTGTAATGTTACCATATAGTCTTCTTTGTAGATTCAGATTTTGAGTAACTCTATCTCTAATAACTTGCTGAGAAAACTCTGGTCTGTTGGTCCATGTAACAAATATACAGCAGCAACAAGAGGTCGTATCTATGGCAATTTCGAATTTCAAAAAGCTCGGAATATCTTATAGAAATTTGGACCTCAAACATTATATCCAGTAAATATGAAGGGTGTATAGCCCCACACATCTTACCTCATGTCATAACCCTTCATGGGGGGACCCAAGGAGACTGGACTTCTCAGGGTTTCATAGATCACCTGAGTACCGGGTGTTTTGCCATCATTCACCGCATATAAAAACAAAATGAGTGTAAACTGAGCAAACACACGCAGACCGCTCACTTCATATGTGAGACGACACTGCTAGCTACATTGAGAACCTTAGAAGTAGTATGAATTGTACAATCCTACGCTGGGACCCGCTGCTTTGCCATTACTCACTTCACGCGCTACTTCCAATGCATCCATTCTACCACGATTTCAGAAACCTCACTCCTGTAACAAGCATGAACTGATAGATGGATATTGGCTGGATGAATATGAGAGCTTTAAATTCCGTGACTGCTAATTTACCAGATACTTTGTTACTAGAAATCCTTTTACCCAATGAAAGACCTGCTTCTGAAAAGAAAACCTCGGTCAATTGCAATGTGCCCAGATATGATATCCTCCCTATAGCATTTCACGAGTCTTACAACAATGGCGAGACACTCAACACGGCTAGCACCGTAGATCGAGACTGGAAATGATATGCAAAAACCCCTGCCCTGGTGTATAGGCCCAGAGTCAACTGTGATCTCTCCATTCTGAAGACGTTGAATTGCGAGATTCATCAGTTCGTTGTCAGAAGAGTGGCGGTCCTTGTCCAGAAATCTCACTGTAAACCACAGCGTGCCTCGGAAAAAGTCATACTCATCGATGGTAGGCAGGCCTTCACGGAGAAATACGGTTCGTGTGGAGGGCATATTTTAGTTTCCTAGCAGCGACACATTGGCTTTTAGTGGCCGATCTCACTAAAGAAGGTTGAGATTCCGTCAATTTTTGCTTTGGTCGCGATAGTGAGTATAGCTAGCCGCCTAAACAGTTAAACACCAGATAATGAGCGACATATATGCGTTCTTTGACTTGATCAGGAACAAGGACTTTCATTGTTTGGTCCTTTCATTCTGAGGTATGACCTGTAAAAGAAATTGACGCTTTGTTACTGAATTTATACATCAGTCCCAGGTCGGGAGTTCCACCCAAAGAGCCCGAAGAAAGAAATGGAAACAATGAAAAGATAAAGACTTTGTTCTCTCTCAATTCAAATAACCTTGGGCTAAACCATAAAATGGTTCTCATTCCCGTTAAATTCTAAGAAGCAGTCCACTTGTCAGGTTATCCAGACTACAGAAGCTAACCATTGTGATTTTAGATAGGTAGGTCCATAGGTCCCTTTCACCATCATCATGGCTAACGGAGACAAGAAGCCCATCAAGCCCGGCCCCAGTGGGACAAGGAACAACGGTTTTATCACTGAGCGCGAGGTTGACGGCGAGCGTCGTTCGATCCGCATTTACCACGACGGTCGAGTATCGCAGCGCGAGGGCCCCGCTGGTCCTATTCGAACACTGACCAACAGCACTGGAGCTGCCTCCAAGGCCGAGGCTGTTCCCAAAGCTACGACTGTTCCCAGGTTCGAGGATCTTAAATGTGATGCTGAAACTGCTGCTGAGATCGTTCAGTACTGCGGTGAACTTGAAGAGATCCTAGCACAGCTTCCCGCAGAGTACCATGAGAAAGATACTAACACTATTTCGAAACAGTGGAAACGAATGGGTGGAAAGGACCACACAGGAGAGTCTGATATTCATGATTAGATCATTTTTGGCGGCCTATCCACACTAACTGTGACTTCAGAACTAACATAGGATTAAACAACAATATCAGAGAAGGTAAAAAAAAGGATTCCTCCGTAAAATGTATTATCAATGTAAAACTGTAGGAGGGTAAGCGGCCAGTTATACGGCTCTAGATTTAACGACATGGGTCCCACTACTAAATAAATGAGACACCGCAAACACCCAATGACTTCCTAGGCCACTATAAGAGACAGATAATGTCTACAGACCCTATGGGGGTTGAATCAGGTACCTAGGTCATCTAGTATCGGCCTGAGGTGTCATGGGGAGACTGTCGCACCTTCACTTTCACTTTGCCTGCACGTTTTTTTGCATTCTACAATAAGTTGAATGTTTTATAATCCGTGAAGGCATCTCTAGGATCCTCGAGTTGCCTAGGAAGTCGACCGATAACAATGCCTATCGAGGCTTTCGCCTTGAGATAATCTCTAAGATATTTCCTATAGTGTTCACACCTATTGAAACTTCATCTAAACGTCATATCAAGACTGTAAGGGGATCTCAATGATTCAACAGAACATCCATAATGTATCACAGCGCCGTAAACCCACGAGTTAACGGGGATGTCAAATAAAAAAATTCTATCATATCTAGCCCTCGGCTTTGTTACCTGTTGCATCTCAAGACTGATTGTTTTCGCCCCCATCGCGTGGACCACAAATCTCAGCGAGACTCACATATACCACTCCCGGGGACACAGACGCCAATCTCCTGAGTGATCTGACTGGATATATCCTGGACTTATTTTCTGAGATTCTAATATCTTCATTTCCAAAGCAGTGGATGGTTACTCGCGAGTTAATCAAAGGTGCCTATCCACCCAATTTCGCTGGCGTGTAAAGTGCCAAAAATGAAGCTTTTGATTTCTATACAAATGGAAATATCGCCACCTTTTTAGGCGATTAGTAAGTGTTCATCTATAAAACCGCTAGAAAATATAATATTACCTCTCTTTTTATAGAGATCAAAAGCTTCAATTCCAGTATAAATTCTTCAGAGTGACCATGACTCGAGCGGTGTAGAAAGGGGTCCCCCAACAAAGCCTCCGTGGGCGCTCCAGGACTGAGAGCGGATGGCCCGGCGTAGTGTTATTCCGTGCTGAAGGTGGATCCTCGGATTAGAAAGCGGTCAAGATTTAAGGCCAATATCAGGCCAGATTAAGGCACCAAGGCCTCAACAGGACGCTAGTCTTAATTAGGAAAGGCCGAGATCTAGTCGACTATCGGTCTCCAATTATTGGGCTCAGTTGCTTTGTCCCCTCACTATCTGAGGATCTTCACCCGTTTCCCTTCTCTGTCTACACACTACGAAACGCATTGTGTTTGTTGTTCTCTCCACTTTCACTATCACTGTGGCCAATCGAGTTGCAAATATGGACGACGAGAATGCAACACTGTTGAAGGCTCTCCACAGCGACCTTTCCCGGAAATACCGATACCATGCAGCTGTGATTGAGACCATCTGGAAATCGTTTAGCCCCAATGAACGAGCAAACTGTTTCAAGGCTGGAGCTGCAGATGGTGCTGTGCTGAAACACCCATTGGACCGGTCTCTGGGAGTGGTCTACAAAATCATCCCGGAGTTGAATTTGAACGACATTATGTCCAACCCAGACTACCTGTTGAACATCCTCAAATACCGAGCCACAACAACCCTCTTTGAGCAATACTGCAACGGCTGCAATGGCGGCCCCGGAGATCATGCTATCATTGAAGAGTCAGTGCGCACACAGGGACTAAAGCATGTCAACTCCTTCAAAAACTGCTACACTATGTTCCAGGACCCTATGTATGCCACGTCTTACAAAATTGTGGCTCAAGAGGCCCTGGCCGTTTTTGAACCCGCTATCCGTGCTCGCGTGTGCATTCCGCAGTCGGTTGGAGAGTTTGTCATACAAAGGCAGATCTATACCTTGCAAACCCTCAACATTCTCATCGAAGATATTCTGGATCAGGGATCGCAGAGCCGAGCCCGAGAGGCCCCAACCTCAAGAAAGGAAAAAAAAGCCCACCGACAAGGGAGCGGCGGCGGCTCTTTCAAAACCACCGACCCAGCGCCCCCAGAAAAAGCTGACACTTTCCGACCTGGTCGTTACTGCTCGTTATAATCAAGATACACGCGAAGGATATCTCAATTTGCTATCCAGTGAGCCTGTGGTGCTTGCTCACGCTGTGAATATTTGGTTCTTCAGCCGCCCAGAGCTCGTTCCTGATGAAAAAGGACGCCGATTGCCCGTCCACACGGACAAATACATCAGCGGTGCTGTCTTTGAAGCGGTCCACAGTTCAATACAGGGAGCTGCTATCTGGAAATACATCGCAAGTATTCTTGAGCAGCTTCAGAGATCGGCAGGTGACACGGCGTGTCGCCCTCTTCTCCTTCAGGAGATCTCCAACATCTGTCAACTTGAGTTGAACCGCGCGCAAACTCTTCTCAAGCGCCATATTCAGACCGGAACTGGATCTAAGTGGTTCAAGCGAACGTCCAATGCATATGACAACGCCGGTAATCCGCGTGTTGGCATAAAAGGCAAACCAGAAGACCTTACCACCTCCGACCCTCAGCTTTTTTACCTGTTGCGTCTCTGCCAACCAAAGCTCACTGTTCCTACCGCCGTAAAATGTGTCAAAAGTCTCAACGAGTATCACGAAACCCACGCTCGGGACCTGGAAAAGCTGGGGGAGAGAGAGGCCGACGCATTGGCTGATCTAGCTATCATCGTTAGGTTTATCCAGGAGTTGTCTTCTGTGATTCCCATTCCTTCATTCTCGAACAACAAGGGGCAGCTGTTCGCCTTGAAATCACAGGAGCTCGAATCCGAGTTCAACCAGGTTAAGGATCAACTTGACTTACTCGATTTCGTCGTTCCTATCGACAACCTCTTAGAGCCGGGAATGGCAAATGGAGCTTTGAAAAAGCTAGACGAATTTGTGATCGAAAAGTCCGGTACAAAAATGGGATTCCTGTACCAAGACATGGTCATGGACTGCTTGTCTGCTCTTCAGGGCCAATGCAATGAGGCCAAGGCCAAGTTGGCTCAGGGCCTAAACGCTGAAATCTCTTTCGCTCCAGCTATGAAGGCCCCGGAATCGACCGCGGTTCGAGTCGAACAGCGGAAGCAAAAAGAAAAGACACGTCCCTCGCATTCGTCTATCTATGACATCGTTACACCCGCAGAACCGTCTACTCCGCAGCAACCTTCTTTGCCACCGCGGACCTTGAAGGTAGATGAGTCGACAGCGGAGACCTTCTCACAGCTATTTTGCAGGTCTCAATCGCGTGGCTCAGTGCCATGGGCGAATTTTACGGAAGCTATGGGGAAATTGGGGTTCTCAATCTCGCCAAAGTACGGCTCGGTTTACACATTCTATCCACCGGATAGTATGATGGTAGATCGGTCGTTTACTGTGCACCGACCGCATCAGTCGAAAATCGAAGGCTATCGTGTTTTAACGATGGCCCGACGACTGAAGGGTTTATATGGATGGAACGAGGAGACATTTTATGTTGAATGAGTACAATGAGTCAATGAATCAACGCATGAGGACAAATCCAATTCCAACCGCGTTTCAAACATTAGACATTAATTCAAAGCGTCCGAAAAGACCTCGCACTCCCAAATGAGAGGCATATCTCAGAAGACTTCAAGATACCATGCGAAGTACTACTAGCATGACTACCCAAATGATTAGCAAAAGCCAGTACAGTGCCGCATAAGCAGTTGGGTATGACAGTAATTGATATTTTGATATTCATGATCAGAACAAACTATCGATACAAACAACAAACGATCGACGCAGATAAAGGAATCATTTAAGCAAAACTGCCTTTCCAGCCTCCAAGTCCTCAACCTCTTTCTCCAGCTGTCGCCGTCTTCTCTTTGATGCCCTGCCTTCTCCGACTATCTCCTCCAATCTCTCATTTGAGAGGTCATTGACCCATGACGGAGAGAAGAGTTTCATGGGTGCCTCGGGACCAGTCACCAAAAAATGGTCCGCTGCCTGCATGCAAATATTGTCCACAAACCTCTTGCGAGCCACCTTGTAATACGCGTCCAGAATATCATGAATATCACGAACAGTGTGATCGACGTTGCTCATGTGGTGTTGGTGAACAAGATCACTCAGTCGGACAACCTCTCCGTGTTTACAATCGTCGAAAGACTTTTTAGCGACAGACGCATGCAATCGCTTTTGTCGACTGAAAAACTTAGTTAGCCTGGAAGCTCTTGACGTATTCAAGCCTGGCGGACTGACCATTTCTCAAGGTTGTCATTGAAGTAGTGATTCATAGTAATTGGGGTTCCTTCGCGTTCAATTCTTAAAAGAAATTCGACGGTTGACATTGCCTGTTTGTACTTTTCAACAAGATCTTCCATCAGCAGGGACATGATTTTCGACGAAATCTGCGTGTCTTTGGAAACGACTTGAAGTGATTTGCGGATGAACGCATGGACAACACTGATAATATCACTTATGTAACCACGCGCAATGATCGGCCATTTGACCGACTGCTTCTTCATGAGGGTAGCCAGCAAGGTATGGTTGAATGTGCCGATTTCAAACCCCCTGGAGTTGGAGTAAACCCTTTCAATCCAAGAAAGGATGCCCGTTTTGACGGAAGGCTCCACAGGTTCAGAAGCATGTATGATATCTTCAAGATCCTCGATTTTGGGCGTTTGGCGGCTTGGATCCCAGTTTTTGCGGCTTTGCATGATATTTTGCGGCTTTTCAGTATCGGCGGTATTATTGCGTGTTTCTTCATGATCATCAACCCTCACATTTATCTCTTCGGGGTTTGACCGGAAAGTGTAGGTGTGACCGCAATTGGCGATGTTGTGTGAAAAGACATCATTCCTGAGGGAGACCAATGTAGCTAGTCGTAAGTCCTTGTCTTCATCGAAGATGTCATTGACACCATAGTTCGTTGCAAGAGCGTGCTGCGTAATCTCTTGGAAGGCTGACACAACATCTAGAAGAATCCGCCTCTGTTGCTCTGCTGTTTCTCGCTGAACTCCGAGAGATTGCAATAGGGTTTTCGAGTCTTTGAGTCTTTTGATCACTTCAGAGCGCACCTTTATACAAGAGTTAGCGTAATCCGATATCATTCTTGCAGAAGGTTTATGCTTACCGAGGGGAACTCGCGGCGGACAGTTGATGTGAGGAGTTCTTGAAGGCGAGCCATCAAAGATGCAATCCCATAATTCTCAGGCGGAACACGATTCCAAGGAGCATTCTGATAAAATATTCTTTCTTCGAGATCTCGGTCGGCATCACCAGCCTGAAGCTGCTCTTGGCCGAGGTTTCGAACCAGGATCCATCCTAGCTGTCCGTTCGAATTCCCATCAAGAATTAGCTGGATCACATTGTGCTCGGCTCCTTTGTCGACGAGGTCTGGTTTGGTAAGAATCCGCAATGTTCGTTCTCCTTCCGGGTCGATCTCTCTGGCCATCTCAATGATTTCCTGGGTGGCGATATCGACATTTGCTGGAACCACAGCCAACATGATAGATCGTTGGTTTTGCATGTAGCGAAGAACCATGTTCCGGACAAGCATGATATCAGTCTTCGTCATTCGATCCAAAGTCGTATTCTTGAATATGCCAGGGACATCGATCACGCTAAGGTGACTCTCGCTCGGCCCACGAATCTCCAGTTGAAGCACGCTGTTCGAAAATGTCGGCTTTTGATCGCCGACACTTGAAGAAAGATTCATGACCTCGTGAACCTTGAGATCCATAGTTAGTGTAAACTGCCAAAGCACAATCAACATGTACATCATACCTCTTTCATCGTGCAACTGAAGTCGGCAGCATTCAGTGACTGCAGCCCCGCGGCCTTCCAACTCCGTAGCTTCTGGTCCTCCTCTGCATTCGCATCTGAGGCAGGGATAATACATGCCGAGATTTCTCGTTCAGTCAAATTGGCATTACGACGAAAGATAATCTGGGTCGCAAATCGTGTGCAAAGGCCGCTGTCTCGAGGGAAGTTCAACTTGGTAAGACCCTCAAGAACCGAGCTCTTTCCGCTGGACTGATCTCCAACTACGACGAGTTGGGGGAGACTGACATATTCCCCCACGTTACAGGCAAAAAGTTTGTCAATCTTCTCAAGTAACGCTGGGTCAGCCAACCCGAGGGTCAGCGTGTCTGTTTCTTTGATCGCCATGGTTCTCGGCGCAGGTGACCGAAATGGTAGGATATGGCAGAGGTGGGATAGGAATTGCGATAAAATTCTCAGTGGAAGTAGATGAAGGATGGACTAGAATCAGAAGATGGAAAGAGAAGAAAAAGTGAAAAAGAGAAAGAGAGGAGAGACAGGGAAGATGGAAAGGTGAAGAAGGGCAGGAGCCCAAAAGGGAAGGCACACAGCTTTTCGGCCTCAATCTTATGGCAAACCCCCATAGGAACTCCAAAGAGAAGAAGTCGTGGTCCAAGTACCAACATATCATTAAGTGACCTTTCATCACTATGGCCGAGAAGCAGGTCTATTTAATCGAACACTCAAAATGAAGATATGAATATATATGTAGTTAGAAATGTAGCTATGATCCTTGCAATACTGTCTACAGGATAGAGAAAAGATGGTACAAGGGTATCCATTGCTATTCGACATTTATTCATATGCCCAAGGTATTCACCTAAAACCCCGGCTCCACCAGAATATTCTCAATAATGAAATGAACACACATGTCGCATTTAGGGTTGATACCAAGTCTCGCGGCCAGTTGGGGCAGCCTTAGCTGAAGCGCAGCGCACATTTTCGGAACTTCCACATTGTAAAAACCAGGTGGTTTTGCTGTCACGCAGATATGGTCGCTTGCCTCTGTTGCCATCACAATCGCAGCTCTCATCATTCGATTGAGGTATTCGCTGCCATGGTCACGGAAGTTGACTTTCACTTCTGCAATGGTGTCGGACTTCGGTTGATGTCTGATAAGACGGGATTGTTCTCCAAACCATGAGAGGAAGGCGGTTCGTTGATTTTGAAATTCGGTGACAGGATCGACGTCGGACATTCTGGGTGTGAGATTGATGTGAGACGTGGGATGTGATTGGGTGATAGATTTGGAGTGCGCGTCTCGAGTTTTGCACTTGCCCAGCGTAAGAGAATTTATGGCGGGCTTTGAGAAAAGCAGAGGTGAGGACTTGGGGCGTGGATGATAGAACAAGATTATGTCTTGGGGGAACTGGACTGGCGAGGTCAGTTGGTTGGACATGATGGATGGGATGCATATAGAAGGTTCATCATACCTCGATGAGGTGAGAGGTGGGGATATTTGGTCCTATCCAATTGGGAGGAGACTTTGATGAGAGCGACACATGTCTTGGGGTTGAAACTGTTGGAAGGATGGCATTGAGATCGTTTTGTTAGAGAAAGAAGGATATATTAGAGGTCATGGCTGACTCCTTGGGGTTTAGGCACTTTCGACTTTGAATTTGTAGTCAATCCGACCTCATCGCTATCACTGACACCAAAGAAACCTGAACAGAATCATAAACAATCCAAATTGCATGCATTGCCTGGTCATAATATCATATGAGCTTCATACATGTCATCATATCGGGTACCTAGGGCTTTGTGAACTTTCATCACCTTATGAATAACCAAAAAAAAAAAAAACAACAACGCTATAACTAATATCCATACAAAACGAACAGAGAACAAGCTTCCACAAGGAGAAAAAAAAACCAATGTTTTGGTTTACAGGTTCGTCAATTTGCGGAACCAACTTGGCTTCTTAGCACCAGAGCTCGGCAGAGCATCTTGTCTGCTCCCAGGCTGAGACCTCATTCCACGATCACGTTCATAATCACCGCTCCCAGAGCTGCTCTTCATACCATCACGACGAGAGCCACGATGTCGGGAACGAGCATCATCAATCTCTTCCTCATATCTAGCACGACGACGTGCCTTACGGCGAAGAGCGCGGCGAGCCTCCTCATCCGACGAAAGCGAGTGGGCATTGCCGCCTTCATCGGCTGCAAGGGGGGGGCATATCAATAAGGGTGGGGACAATTTCCGGTGGCTCCGGAGGCTCATCACTTTGCTGGTAAACCCACGAGGAAATCTTATCTTTTCCACCGCGGCCAGGAGTCAAACCACCAGTCATGAGCGGCTCCCGATATAGCTCAGGAGCGACCTTGGATTTGCGTCGACGAGCGATCGGTTCTTCAAACGCGCGGGAACTATGAGCTCCTCGACGGCTTGTCTCACGCTCGTCGGCATAGAAATCATCAGGAAATCTTTGCTCACGTTCGCGACGTCGACTCGCTCTCGTGGCCATCATCTCCTCTTCGCGCATTCGCCGGCGTTCGCGTCGCTCTGCCGCTCTAGCTTCAGCCGCCGCTTCGGCTTCAGCTTCGCGAGCTGCTTGCTCTTCTTGAGCACGACGTTCTTCGCGTGCAGCTCGTCGGGCACGCCTTATCTCCCGTAGACGGTCTTCTTCACGTAGACGTTCTTCCTCTTCTTCTTCGCGAGCACGTTGTTCACGTGCTCGCTCCTTTCGCCTGGCGCGCCGCTCCTCAGCTTCCCGAGCTTCGTTTTCACGAGAGTCAGAAGGTGCCTTGCGGGATCCGCGTCGTGCATGTCGTGCTGCTCGCCGAGCTTCCGCTTCTTCGGCTTCTGTATCGCCCCCTGGCGCTGCACCGGGAGCGTCAGTCATGAATCCCTCGGCGTCAGTGTCTGGTCGGACGGATCCCCGGCGTCGATCATCGCGGCGCGCTCTGCGGGCGCCGTCGCGTTCAATTTCTGCCGGGTATCTTGCGTCGTCGTCACGATACGAGCGCGACTTCCGTCTTTCAGGCATCTCTGGGCATTCTGGACGGTCTGGGCGTGTGGTTTTTCTGAGCGAATCCAGAAGCCCCATTAATCCACCGCTCTCCTGTTTCTTCGGTGGTGCGGTGTTGGAGCGCTTCAGACGACGTTCTCTTGGGTATGCATCAACGAAGGCCATATCCTCTGGCCCTGACATGATTTCTGCGGTGGGATATGCTCGATATGGATCAACCAGGACAGCATCATCCTCATCGTCAGGTCTGGGGCGCGGCTATGAACAATCTTCAGTCAGTACAGCGGACAACGAAGACTCCGGCTATCCCGACATACCTGTCTCCTTGACTTGCGCCTTGAGCCTTTGGATCCCTCTTTAGGTGAGTGACCCTCGGCATCCTCTATATCGACCATTACGAGGTCATCATCCTCGATTGCATATGGGTCTCGGCCTTTTTGAATGAGGTTAGCTAGGCCAAACAAAATATTCCAGGGAAGTGAGACATACCTGACTTGCGTCTGTCCGTGCGCGGGCGCTCACGCCGAGACCTAGAAGGATCCATGCCCATCAGCTTGGCTGCTTTGTCAGAAACGTCAGGCTTCTCATCCGGTGGTGAATCAGCAGTTTTATCATCTTCATCAAAAGATGGACGTCTGGAGACGGGCTTTGAAGATGAACCGGGTTTGCGAGTCGATTTGCTTTTGGACTGGGGTGTACCCAGTACCATGTTGGCCAAGGCGACGCTACGTTGGTTCTTCGAGGGCCGCCCCTCTCGTTCTCGGCGCTTTTCCCGGTCAGACAAAGACCTTTCCACTTCTGGATCAGGGTCTTTGGGTCGAGATTTTGTAGATTTTGACCGCACCGCAGGAGAAGTCTCTTGAGTAGACTCTTTTGTCTTCGCAGGTTCCACTTCATCTTGGACCTTTTCCCTCTTACTCAGCTTTTTCGGAGGCTCCGCTTTCTCCTGAATTTTTTCCTTCTTGGTCAACTTCTTGGGAGCTTCTGTCTCCTCTGAAATCTTGTTTTCCTTCTTACTCGACTTCTTTGGGGGCGGCGCTACCCCCCAGAAGCCCCATGAAGAGGTACTCGTAGTACGCTCAGGGCGAGGTCGCTCCTTCTTGGAGGATTTGGGAGGCTCTTTGGTAGGCTCTGGCGGAGCCACAGGAGGACTACTTTCGTCCTTCTCTGGTTCCTCGGCAACAGCCTCGGGTTCAGGTGCAGTTGCAGGCGCAGGCTCAGCTTCAGGCTCAGGCTCAGGCTCAGGCTCAGGCTCTGGCTCTGGCTCAGGCTCTGGCTCCGGCACTGGCTCCGGTTGATGTTCTACTTCTGGTTCAGGCTCTGCAATTGGTTCAGGCTCCAGGCCTAGCTCACGTGTTTCCTCGGGGGGGTGGTGGAGTTGGCTCCCTGGGAGCGGCGGCCGCGGCGGCAGCGGCAGCAGCAGCGGCAGCAGCGGCTTTCTCAGCTTCGGCCTTTTTATACTTCTTGAGTTCCTTTTTTGACATCTTTGAAAGATCTGGCGCTGGTGGCTCGGGCTCCGGTTCCGGTTCGGGCTCAGGCTCTGGTTCAGGCTCTGGTTCAGGCTCTGGTTCAGGCTCTGGCTCTGGTTCAGGCTCAGGCTCAGGTTCGGGCTCGGGTTCATCTCCAAAGTCTGGGAAGCTTCCAGGGATAGAGTCCTTAGAAACTTTTCTTTCTTCGGACTCAGTAGCCTCTGCAGTTTTAGACTTAGACTTTGAACTCTTCTTCGACGGAGCGGGCTCCTCAACAAGAGGTTCAGGCTCAGGCTCTGGTTCCGGCTCCGGTTCGACCTTCTTTTCCTTGGATTTGCTCTTCGAGCTTAACTTTTCTGCCTTTGCCTTCTCCTTCTTGGCCTGCTCCAGGGCCTTGATACGCTCGGCAACACTAAGCTTGGAAGACTTGCTCTTGGTCTTCTCGGGGGCAGGAGGCTCTGGCTCAGGCTCCGGTTCAGGTTCAGGCTCAGGCTCCGGTTCTGGTGCTGGCTCAGGCTCAGGCTCAGGCTCAGGTGCTAGCTCTAATTCAGGCTCCAGGGGGTTATCCTCAACATCAATAAGCAGGTCTTCCTCTGCTATAGGGTTTGCCTCCTTCTTTTCCTCTTTAGCTTTCTTCGTCGATTTGGTTTTACTCGTAGATCCACCAGTCAGGCTCGACCAGAAGCTTTTCGATGCTTTCTCCTCTTTGGGAGGAGGCTCGATAGCTTTCGTGGTCTTCTTTGAGCCCTTGGAGGTTTTGGGGGCGAGCTCAGCCCAAACATCGTCGGTGTTGTCATAGAAAGCCTCCGGCTCTGGGGACAAACCCTGAGCAGGCGGTGTCGGTGCACGTGGAGGAGGTTCCTCGATATCCTTGCCCTTCTTCTTCTTTTTCTTTTCCTTCGCTGGCCCCCAAATGCCCCATGAATCGTCTTCAGCAGGTTTCTCTAGCTCGGGCTCGGGCTCGGGCTCAAGCACCGGTTCAGGTTCAGGTTCAGGTTCAGGTTCAGGTTCAGGTTCAGGTTCAGGCTCTGGCTCTGGCTCAGGCTCTGGCTCTGGTTCCAGAACTGGCTCAGGCTCGGGTACCGGTTCAGGTGTTGGCTCCGGTGCCACAACTGGCTCAGGCGGCTGATCGGATGGCAGCTCGAAGTCCTTCCCAGGAATAGGGAGACCCTTGCGCACCAATTGTTTTTCTCGCTTCTTGCGCTCTTTGGACGATATCTCGCGCCAGTTTGCGTATAGAGGATCATCAGGCACCTTTGGCTTTTCAGGCTCGGGCTCTGGTACTGGTTCGGGTTCAGGTTCAGGTTCAGGTTCGGGTTCGGGTTCAGGTTCGGGCTCCGGCTCAGGTTCTGGTTCCGGAACAGGCTCGGCTTTCCCTTTACTTTTCTTCTTGTCCTTTGAGACTCCCCAGGCGCCAAAAGGGTCAACTGGTTCTTTAGGTTTCGGTGGCTCATCGATGATAGGCTCCGGATCCGCTAAAAGGTTGATCTTCTTTTTCTTCTTATCTTTGGTTTTCACTGGAACACCCCAGCCCCAGTCATTATCTGCCTCGGCTGGGTTTTCCTCGGCCACCGGTTCGGGTTCAGGTACAGGCACGGGTTCAGGTTCGGGCTCCGGTTCGGGCTCAGGCTCAGCTGCCTTGGCTGCTGCCTGCTCTTCTGCTAACTTTGCTGCGGCTTCGTCCTCATCTTTCCATTTCTTTTCCATCTCTTTCTTCGCTTTACGCTGCTCCTTCTTGGAGAGGTTCAGATACCAGGCTTCCTGCGTGAAATCGACTCTGGGTGCAGGTGCAGGCGGAGGCATAGGAGCCTCAGGTGCGGGCTCTAGATCGGACGTCCCCTTCTTATTTTTGTCTTTGATCACACCCCAATCACCTCCTCCCCAGCCATCTTCTTGCTTGATTTCGCCGGGCGTGGAGCCAATGTCGAAATCGAAATCACCAGTCTCGGATACTTTCTTGGTTGGCCCCCATGGGTTGTTGTCTTTAGGAGCGTCTCCAAGAGGATCAAGCTTGCCACCAGTATTCCAATCTTTGCCCCATCCTCCAAAATTAAACCCAGTTCCGCCGGTCTTCGGAGCGGGACTATCGAAATTCAAGTCCAATTGTGGTGCGCCCTCATTAAGACTTACGTCCTGGAACCCCCCAGGAGGTGCAACATTTGCCTGTAATTTTACTTAGATGCCCATCTTATGTATTGGAGGAGGATTGTCTTACCTTCCCTTTCTTTTTTTTCCCTACATTCGTAAAGGCAGCCCACGAAGAATCTCCCCCACCGTCATCCTCCGCCCAACTAAGATTATTGGCAGCGGAGGCTTCAGCAGCCTTTCGTTCTTCCTCCTCCTTAGCCAGTCTCTCTTCTTCTTCCTTTTCTTTGGCCAGTCTCTCTTCCTCTTCCTTGGCCAATCTCTCTTCCTCCTCTTTGGCTTTTCTTTCTTCCTCTTCCTGTTCCTTCTTCTTTTTATCCTTCTTTCCGCTTACATTCCAATCGCCCCAATCATCACCGCCATCTCCCCCTCCCCCGTCACCGCCTCCAGCCCCGCCTGAATCACCGCCAGCCCCGCCGGCATCACCGTCACCGTTGGAATTGTCATCACCTCCGGCCGGTGGCGGCGGCGGAGAAGGGGGAGCAGGAGGCGGTGCTGCTTTCTTTGCTGCCGCGGTTTTCTTTTTCTTATGCTCTCGGTATCCAATAGGATTCTCAAAGTCTATGCGTACATCCAGCGTGCGATCTTTCAGCAGCGAAGGAGACGGATTATGCGATTTTTGACGAGGTTTTTCGGGGAAGGCAACATTAGATAATTTGCGCTGAGCGAGCGGAGGTAGGCTAGAGTATTCGGGTGGAAGATCATGAATCGCATCGTCGTATGGGGGCGGAGGCTGGTCGTACGACGGTGGGCTTGGTAAGTGAATCAGAAAGCGAGGACTCAATCCTTTTTGGTGCACCCAGCTATTTGGTAGGCAGAAACTCGCTCGGTCACTGGAGAAAGTAGTCCAGAACTCATCGAGGGGTTTCTCCTCCATATTCGCTTTTCGTATGTAGTATGCGTCATTTCCCGTTTTGTCATTCTTCCCCGCGCATACGCGATAAGACCCCTCAATTGCTTCCATTTCGAAATTCACATGCGCCGAGTTCACGGCCGGTCCGATCACTGGATTGGGAACTCAGCGACGTTGAATAACGAACTCATCGGTGGTGGGTTGGATCCGAGTCCTGGTGGGGGGATATTGTCCCAATCAATCACAGGCGGTATTATTTGGCGCGGAGTTGCGATAGTGTGATATTTGTCTAGTGACGTTGCGCGAGCGGGTGTTGCGAGACTAATAAGCAGATAATTCAAATCAAATTCAGGTCAGATAGCCTCCCTGCACGACCGGCGCGAGTTCAGGTGTTTTTTTCCTAGATGCTGATAGATGTTATCTGTATGGAGTAGGGGACGGTGACACAGTCTGGAAAACTGAGCCTGCTGTAAATTGAACACAAGGAATTTCAAGGAGTCAAGGGAGTCAAGGGGAGAAATAAGGAAAAGTTTCGACTGGGGAGGGGATCTTCTGGAGAGGCAGGGATAAGTTCAGGCGGTGGAGGTGAAGATCATCCCATTTAGCCCGCAAAGTTTCAACTGTATGTACTCCCTCCGTACAATGTACTTGTTTAATGTTTGTTGTTTCATTGATGTAGTCCAGAGTGCTTTGATATTAACATAAAGCTTCCTCGGGTCATCCTTGAACAGCATACTCCTTATCTATATAAACACACCTGGGAGAGGGCAAAAGAAATATAGATGGCTGGGAACAGAAAAGGGTCCAGTGCATACTCCGTCCCTCTATGGAGTACAAAGAATGGAGTTAAACCTGGAACTGAGGATATGTACTCTGTACATATGTATACCAAAATATGTAGGTGTATATTTTTCTTACAATATGCATGCGCGTATACTCGAGAGGTCCAATGTCGCACAGACCCTGCGATAAACAATTCCCCAATCCCATGGTTCCCAATTTCATGTCCATGGATTGGAATCATGTGCACCATGGTACTATAACCAACTTTAAATCCAATTGCATGCATACATTACCGCTGTATAGATATAAATCCAGTACAACTAGACTGAAAATCTCAGACCTCAATGCAAGGTCTCCGTTCTGCTGTACATATAGTTCCGTTTGTACCTGCAATGTTTGCACCCTCGAGTCAAGCCCACAAACATGTGTTTTACGGAGTAAGTTGCATGAAGTTCTCCGTCAATGCTAGAAAATTCTCCTCGAGCCCAATTACACAATGCAAGCCCAAAATTATAAGAGCCACCTGCAAGCGCAACACATCATTTCACACCGCCACTTGAGCTTCGGAGCGAAAAAAAAAAAAGAGCGCAGTGCGGGGTTAGTGGAGAGTCTACAGCGGAAAGGATAGTAAGGGTCTTCTTCTCTCGGACTCATTTATTCAATGGAGGCGATTTCATGGAAGTGAATTGGAACGAAGATGGCAAGCTCGCCATGGATTGATAATGATATCCCATCGTGGCGCTGCCACAGTTCGATCAAACAAAACACAGCCAGTATTGAGAAACACAGTTTGACAGGCGAACTACAATACAATAAGAAAACAGGAATCAGGCCATATGGGGAGGGGAATTGAAAACATATGGTAAACTAGCTTGGAAGACCAATTGAGTTAACTGCTTACCGAAGAAAATCTCAACTACTAGGTCAATAACTCTGCCTTCTAATGGAAATTCCTGGCAAAAACCAAGTCCACCTCAGGCTCAGGTTCAAGTGGAGTCTTCTGAGTCATACAGAGAGCTCTTGGGCGCCGGTTGACCGTACACCTGCTGGTGCTCTCGCTCATACCGTTCGCGATCTTCGATTTGCAATTGGTGGTAGCGCTAGATCCACTGTCAGCTTCTGCAATTCAGCATATACCGTTTCGGTGAAGGGTCCTCACATCTTTCTCCGATTGGGGTTGTCTACTCCATTCCTCGGCAATGGCCGTGAAGGTCTCTGTGCCGGGCTTTCCCTGGTAGCTAGCGGTATCGATACGGTCCGCCAGGTACAAAATATAGGCGGACTTAGGTTTCTTGGGCTGGCGGTCATCTTTGATGGGAGTGTAGTTCTTCTTGCTAAGACGCGAAAGAGTTAAGCGGGCAGTGTTGGCCTCCTTGATTTGGAGCGGCGTGTGCGTCTTGACCCACGCGTCATAGGCAGCGGCGTTAGCGACTATATTCGCCTTGGCCTGGGCTTGGAGTCTCTGGATTTGAGGATTAGTATGCCGCTGCTATCGTAGACGAAGAGGGCCAAGGGTGCATACCTCCAGCTCAGGACCGCTGATGGATTTTCCATGCTCAATGGCAACCAGGAATGCTTCCGGTTGCTTGTATTCGCCTTTAATCTCGTTCAGCTTCTCACAGACAGCAAGCGTGTACGCAGAGGTGGGCAGTCTCTTGGGCTGCGGGACCAGACCAATCGCCTTAAGCTCTTTGATATGAGCGTTGTGTTTCTTGCGATTCTGGACTTCCTGTTGTTTCTCGCTGAGCACTCGTTTCTTTTTGGATTCGCCATCGGTTTTTTTGGCACTCTTCGCCTTGGGCGCCTTGGTCGTCTTTGGAGGGGTAGAAGCAGTCGCGAACGAATTCGATTGGAACAGCGACTGAATGGAGAAAGGGGATTGGACTTGTGGTCGCGTCAGACCAGAGTTGGCTGCCAGACAAACGCGACCAAGCTGGTTCTGCAAGTCGATCACGCCAGTACGGCCAGGAACAGCACCGCGGTGCAGGGTGCGGAGGAAGCCCCCCCGAGCTGCCGACTGCCAAGACATGATGTGATTATCGAAGCCTATTGAGCTGTATTCCAAGGTTGTGTCAAAGTATTGAAACCAATGATCAGACGATTTAGCAATCAAACCCTCAAAAGCTAGAAAACGATAGGGGAGCTGTTGACGCAAGCGGAGCACGAGTCGCGCTTGCTGCAGTGTACCTATCCGTATCGGGACTAGCTTAGTCACAAGGAATTATGTAAGCTGTTTCTTCATTCCAACGGTTTGCGCAAGTGACGATGCGATAGACAAACACCTCCCACGATCTTTTTTTTCCCGGTGGCCTAAGGCCTCAATTGTCATTTCATACCCTTTCTCGCGGGGCGCTTCCTCTTCCCCCTCTCTCTCTCTCTCTCTTCCCTCGCACCGTGTCCCGGGTGCTTTTGCGTTCCAGTAACACTCACTAATCGGCCTGCAACAATGGCTCGCCACGGGGACACTCGCTCACCATCACCTGTAGGCAGCACATACTCTTCATCCCGACGGCCTCGTAGAGAGGATGATCGATATGACAGAACCAGGCGGGATGATGGGCGCGGTTACCGTAGATCCCGCAGCCCAGAGGTACGTGTGGCGCATTGCAAACTCATATCTGATCCTCCAGTCTCTGACTTTCCTTGTCATATCCAGAGACGATACCGTGGGCGCGACCGACCCCGCGATAGAGATTCATACCGCCGACGAGACCTCCCCATAGACCGGCGTGACGAAGATACTTATCGGCCAGCTCGCAGAGACCGATCCCGAGAACGGCGTCGAGATGATGACCACGATTTCCGCCGCAGAAGTCGTGATAGAGACTACCGTCCCAGGCGAGATGATTCCCGCGATCGGGACCGCAGACGGTTAGATGATTCTGCTGACTTGAAGCCCAAGTCTAGACGGGATGACAGCCGTGATCGTGCTCCGAGCCGACGGTCCAGGTCTAGAACCCGGGAGGTAAGCTATCCGCACCTGGCATCATGCCGAGGTATTGATATTAATTGTACCCCGCAGCCTTCAAAGCCGTCCACACCGGCCCCAACTGCTCAGACAGACGAGCAGAAGAAAGCAGAGAGACTTGCCAAGCTTGAGGCATGGAAACAGAAACAAGCCGCCGAACGCGAAAAGAAACAAAAGGAACAGGCATCCCTTGATCCCAAACGGATCCTCGAGGCGATTGACCGTAATACAGTTGCGCCTCCAGCTGCCCCTGCCGCATTTCCCGGAAAAATGAAATTTGATCCAAAGGCCATCGTCAAATCATCCACCACGACCACCACTACTCCCACCGTACTTGGTACCGATGTTGCTGTCCCGACATCTGCCAAAACTCCGTCTGTGACAAAACCCCTCATACCTCCTGCTGCGCCTGCCACACTCTCTGGTCCATTGAAAGCGAAAGGTAATGTCAGTGGATTTGGCCTCGGTGCGAAACAAAGTTCTGAAACAGATAAACCATCTGCTTCTAAAACTCTGGGCTTTGGCGATGGCGATGAGCAATCTACACGTAAGAAGCTCGAAAGATTGCCAACCCCGCCTCTCGATGTGAGTGCACAGGTGGACGATGCCGGTGAAGACGACGATGTAGACATGCAAGGCGACGAAACAGAAGAACACGCGGCAGCGGCAGCGCATGCCGCAGCTGAACGCCGAGATGAACGGCTCCAGGGCCAGGTTGATGACGTCCATATGGCGGAGCCGACGAATGCGCAGGCCGATTCTACCCCCATGGATGTTGACGATGCTGAAGAAGTTGATCCCCTTGATGCATTCATGGCTGAGCTCCAAGACTCCGCGCCACCTGAAAAGAAAGTCGGGGCCACCTTTGCCAAGAATAAGACACACCAACAACCCGAGGCGATGTTTAACGACGACGAGGATGTGGATGTGACTGCAGTCGGTGATGAGAAAGCCGAGGATGTACTCGCGATGGCAGCAATCAAGAAAAAGAAACGGGAAATTCCTGATATCGACCACAACAAGATCGAATATGAGCCATTCCGCAAGCAGTTTTATACTGAACCCTCCAACCTTGCCGAGATGACAGAGGAGGAAGTAGCAAACTTACGCCTTGAACTCGATGGCATCAAAGTTCGCGGTGTGAATGTCCCTACACCAGTTCAAAAATGGTCGCAATGCGGTCTCGGTGTGCAGACATTAGATGTCGTTCACAAGCTTGGATGGGAAAACCTCACATCCATTCAGGCGCAAGCAATTCCCACGATCATGTCCGGTCGCGATGTTATCGGCATAGCAAAAACTGGCTCAGGAAAGACTGGTGCCTTCTTGGTACCGATGTTTCGACATATCAAGGACCAACGGCCCTTGGCTAGTATGGACGGCCCCATCGCTATGATCTTGTCGCCCACCCGTGAACTGGCCACCCAAATTCATAAAGACTGCAAGCCTTTCTTGAAGGCCTTGGGTCTTCGTGCTGTTTGCGCGTATGGTGGAGCGCCTATCAAAGACCAGATAGCTGAGCTGAAACGAGGCGCAGAAATCATTGTATGTACTGCCGGCCGTCTCATTGATTTGCTAGCCGCAAACCAAGGTCGGGTCCTCAACCTCCGCCGTGTCACATATGTTGTTCTAGATGAGGGAGATCGCATGTTCGACATGGGCTTTGGTCCACAAGTCGTGAAGATTATGGAGAGTATCCGACCGGACAGACAAACCGTCCTTTTTTCGGCCACGTTCCCTAAGAGTATGGAAGCCTTGGCCCGGAAGACTCTGAACCAGCCAGTGGAGATCACAGTGGGTGGCAAGAGTGTTGTGGCTCCCGAAATCACACAGATTGTTGAGGTTCGTAATAACGACCAGAAGTTCGTCCGCTTGTTAGAGCTTCTGGGAAATCTGTACGAAGACGACGCGAATGAAGACTATCGCACGTTGATTTTTGTGGACCGCCAAGAGGCAGCAGATGACTTGCTGAAGCAATTGATGTATAAGGGTTATCCTTGCATGTCGATCCATGGCGGAAAGGACCAGATCGATCGTGACAGCACGATTCAAGAGTTCAAGGCAGGTATTTTCCCTATTCTGGTCGCAACGTCAGTTGCTGCTCGTGGATTGGATGTCAAACAGCTGAAGCTTGTTGTCAACTATGACGCACCTAACCACTTGGAGGATTATGTCCATCGTGCCGGCCGTACTGGACGGGCTGGTAACACCGGAACCGCTGTCACGTTTGTCACCGAAGAACAAGATCGGTATGCCTTGGATATTGCAAAGGCTCTCAAACAAAGTGGACAGCAAGTCCCCGAGCCTCTCCAAAAGCTAGTTGATGGGTTCATGGAGAAGGTCAAGTCTGGAAAGGAGAAAAATTTCTCACGCCATGGATTCGGTGGTAAAGGTCTGGATCGTCTTAATATGGAACGTGAAACTGCGAGACTTCGTGAGCGGAAAGCATACAAAACCGGGGATGATAACGACGAAGAAGATGAGAAACTTGAGACTGAGCAGGAGTCAGATGATCGATTCAATAAGGCCTTTTCGGCTGTCCGATCCACTGCGGACCCAGCAGTCCCATCGCCTACAGCTTCAGTTTCTGTGCCAGGTGTGCCGAAGGGCATTGATCTTGATGGCAAGATTGTCGTGCATCGTACAGAGAGAACACCGGCAAACGCTTCAAAGAACCCATTGGACAAGGTGGGCTCCGCAGTTGCGGAGATCAACGCACGTTTGAGTCGTGCTGGTGTAATGAGATCAGGCGTGCCTATCGACAATCGGGGACCTGATGCCGGAGCCTTCCATGCAACGCTGGAAATCAATGATTTCCCTCGTAAGTTATTCCATATCACTCCCATCTTGGAGACAATCACTTACCGTTTACTTTCACGTCACAGAAAAAGCACGTTGGGCTGTCACAAATCGCACAAACGTGGCAAAGATCCTAGAAGCATCTGGAACCTCCATCACCACCAAAGGCAATTTCTATGCCGCAGGGAAGGAACCTGGTCCTGGTGAGCTTCCCAAGCTCTACATTCTGGTCGAGGGCGAGACGGAGATTTCCGTCACTACCGCCATACACGAGCTCAGACGTCTTCTCAAGGATGCAACACTTGCAGCTTCAGAGGGTGAGGCTCGTGCTCCGGTGGGTGGCCGCTACAATGTTCTTTAGGTCAAGCTTGAGTTTATGAAAAGCTCCAATATGTATTGAATAATTCAATGATTGTACGATATTCTTGTTTCTTCCGTTCATGTAGAAGCTGAAGCTAAAGATTGCCCTGATGGTTGTGCTCATCCGTGGAATTGGGGACACGGCTGCTCAATTATTGGAGTATTCAAACTGACGAGTATACAAGGCACTTAGGTATCAAGACTTCACCCCTCTGCAAAAGGGGTTTGAACCCTGTGCGCTCTGGATCTTGCCAGGCCGATAAGCACCATTACATCATCCAATACATATATAACTACATAGTCATCAAAGAGATGGTTGGTTCCACAATTCCACTAATGAACAAAAAGTTAATAAACTGCGATAAGAAGGCCAGACATACGCTATTAAAAGACATAATAAGCCCACAAATAGAACGCTATTAAGAAAGATCCCCGGGATATAAAGGCAGTCATGATCAAATCGAAATGGCGCATAGATGTCTACTCCCATCTCCTTGCAGCCTCAGCCCCATCTACATCTCGCGCGGCCCTCTCTGTGCGACTGACTTGATCCAATGTCTGCGAATGGGTCTGTGCTTTCTGAGCAGCTAGCTTTGAGCCCAGTTTCCCTTTATTGGCAGATGCGCCTTCAGCGCGTTTCTACCAGTCCCACAAGTTAGCAATTATAGTCATGCGCAGCAAGCTTTCGGATGAAATGAGATATTATACCTGTGCAGCAATTGCAGCATTTGCCCGTGCTTCGTCTGATCCGGGAGTGCTGCCATTTGTATTGCTCTCACCCAGAGTGCGACCAGGTGTAGCCTTCCAGTTTGTCTTGGCCGGAAGTGGGGCACGGGTTGCGGCACTCGTCCCTGAGTTGGTGCCAACCACACGGCCTGGTTGGCTGAAGGGATCGGTCTCATTGGAAGAACTGGAACATATGTTGCCCATTGTGATTGTGTAGCGAGTTGTAGGGATCGGAGAGTTTGTTGCGGTTAGTCTTGAGTGGCGAAGGATAGGACGGATGTTGATAAAAGCGTCGGTTACGCTGCCAAGCAGATCTTCAAGAAAGCCAATTAGATTAAGCAGGCTCCTTCGAAGTACATCCCGCAAGTGCTATGCTGACTATGAATCAATTTGTCCAGGGGTATGTATGTTGTTCGCGGGTTATTGCAAGTGGATGTTGGAGCAGTGCGATAAGCTGATAGTCGATCCGGGGCAAAGGCGGTGACCGTAGTCTTAACACTGATTTCAGTAAGCCAGTCTGCGCAATTGAGGGTAGTAGCATCCATTGACGCCTGATATGAGACAATTCTTTAGAATATACCGGCGGAGGTGAAGTTCTACTATAAACCGGATACAAACCACAGACAAACTACCGGATTAGAGCTGTCGGGCCAGAGGGGCAGAATTGAAGCTTAGTCAGAATCTCCTTTGGGGGAAATCACCTCCGCGGGGGAAGGAATTCTTCATCGGAATGCTGGGGAACATTTTCCAGCTTCTATTGACCCCAGCTCTATGATTCCTGCGGTTTCGACTCTATATCACACATATATTATAAGATTTGCCGACGTTGATCGCCAAAGCACGCTCTACGATTCGCTCGAAAATCATGACGCCTAACCCCCAAGGTCCTCATCCTCTACTGCGTCCCGAAGGTCCTCACAGCTGCACTGAGGGGTCTGAGTCGACATCGAGTTATGCCCCCTAATCCTCCTAAAATACTTTCGATCCGATCCTGCATCTGCAACTCCAAGGTCCTCGTTTTTGCATTTCCTGTCGATCTCGGTCAATTCTCCGATTGCGCCTATTCTCAACCAGTCCAGTCCAAGCGTGTGACCCGATTGTGAGACTACGCCGTGAGACGATATCATTCGGCAGTACAACCTGAACTTCCTCTTGGGAACGGCGCACACACTAGGTGGCGCTTTGCCTCGTGGTTGCGTGGGTTTTGCTGTACAATATTGTACCTGGCCGAGATTCATTGTCCCGCTTGCGGTCGCACACGGCTCGCTTCCTCGACTGCATTTTCCCCATATCGTTCGCTGTACACCCTTCTGGGACGACACTGTTTCTGGCGAGCCCGCTTTGATTTCGGCCTAAAACCTTCGATCTATCACCTGAAGTGAACCGTGCACCATGGCCTCCCAAATACAAGAAGGCGATTTCTGCCTTGAATGCAATTGGGAAGCCTTCCACATCGATGGCAAGGCTACGGTAGATCCCGCGGGTAATGCCTTCCAACATCATTGGAACTGTTCAAGCTATGAGACCCAGGCACCGCTTCCCCATTGTGAGGTCGATGAGGCCTGTTGTGATGTAGACGACTGCGCGCTGGACTGTGGGTCAGTATGCAACGGCTTTATGGGCTGTGACACTTCTACCGTATGCTCAGTCACTCATTGCGATAATGACAACTGCGATGATGATAATTGCGACGATACTCACTGCGTCGATGATCATTGTGATACCAACCATTGCGAACAGGATAACTGCGAGGACAACCACTGTGACAGTATTGACCCTCTGTGCTTCGAAAACCACTGCTGCGAGGGTACTGCGACTCAGGACTGCGGCTTTGACGCTCTGTTTGGACTCAATCCCCCACTGTCACCAGAGACAGGCATTTTCCCTTCTGCGGCAATGGGAAATCATTCCCTTGGTCATGCGACAAAAGCCATGCAGCATCCTCATCCTGGTCTTCTGAACCCGTATCAACAGGAAAACTTCCTATCGTCATACCAATCTCATGCTACCCACTGCGAGCAGGAGGTATCCAACCACTTCGAGTGCCATGATTTCCAGAAAGATTGGCAAGGAATGTTCATGGCGCCTCCTGTTCCCACACGGACCGAAGTCAATCCAGCCGAAGTTTTCCACATGCTTGGTATGTGCTCCGACTTTTCAATATGCCAAGATCAACACGTATCTGAGCCGCAGAATGGTCTCGGTGCCTTTGAGAAATCCAAAATCGACACATCTGACGCATACAATTGCTTCCACCCTGAACATCACCATGTTCACGACCATTTCAAAAACCCGAATGATTTTGACGTGCAAACTACACGCAAAGGGCCTCATCGCAACCATCATCGCTGCCGACCTCACACCCATGCTCATTCTCACCCATATTCCCCTTATTCTCGACAGTCTCGCTCAAGCATTAGCTCCCATCTCCATTCTAGCCCAGGAGAGACCCCGCCACCTCTTGAGGGCGATTCCTCATCTGTGCTTACCACTCCGGACTTTTCTCCTGCTGACAGCAAGCTACATATCTGCAAGTGGGCAACGGAGATTCATGGAGTCAAGGCTGCTTGCGGTGCTACATTTGCAGATTGTGGTGCTCTTCAAGAGCATCTCGTTGCCAGTCATATGAACACCATGAATGGTGCCAAGGGCAATGGGTACTACTGCTGCTGGGAAGGCTGTCATCGCCCGGACGAGCCTTTCTCGCAGAAGTCCAAGCTTCAAGGTCATTTCCTCACACACAGTAACTGTACGGCATATTTATCGCCACGCTATTTATTAATGGCAGGACAGATGTACTAACATGAATGGCATCTTTACAGACAAGAATTTTTCGTGCTCAGTGTGTGGCAAGGCATTTGCTAGACAAGCGACATTAGACCGACACGAGCGTAGTCATCGCGGCGACAAACCATACAAATGCAAACACTGCAATAAATCATTCACAGATAGCAGCGAATTGAGTACGTCGTGCTCGAGTTTCATTTTGAATCCACTGCTAACTAAGTCAGAAACACATTCACGAACCCACACCGGCGAAAAGCCCTTTAAATGCACCTGGCCAGGATGCAGCTTTACCACGGGCGACGTGAGTTTCCCTTTCTCTGTCAAATTTGCCGGCCCATATTCTAACGTCAGCTCAGTCTTCGAATATGTCTAGTCATAGACTAAGTATGTTATTTCCTCCATTTCAGATATTAACTTATTTTACTGACCTCAACCAGCCCACGGAGAGCGAAGACATAAATGCCTTTTCCCAGGGTGCACTAAGAGCTTCACACGTCCTGGTATGTTCTACTAGTCGAGCTTGTTTCAATGGTCTAGATGCTAACATCAATTCTTGGTAGACCAATTAAAACGCCACCAGAGAACGACTCATAAACAAGACTCTTGCCTGTCACTCCCATCACCGAACCCCGACCAATTCGCCATGACCCCCTTCACTTTGGTCTGAGGAACCACATCTTTTCACACATTAATGTATGCGATTGTCATGTCTTACGACCCAACAGATTACGGCGCTATTTGCGGCCGGGCGTACTATGGATGGTTGGGATATACTTTTGTGTCTGGCGTTTTGCGGATTTTGGAGACCACCAACAAAACTTGATACCACCTGGCATTGATGCTGCTAGGACTTTTCACCACTGATATAATTGAGATATTGTCTTAGATCATGAACTGATGACCAATTGATGGCCCTGGTTCATCACTTTCCTCGGTAGTCTTATTACATTGTCCTTTGCTTTCACGTACTTCTATGCCAGGAATGATATTTCGCCTGGGAAAATAGATATTGTAGACTGAACATGCACAATGCCTTTCTTTGTTTTGCTGGTATGGACCAAAATACCCAAAGGTACCAGTTAGACCTTCATATACACGATTGCCACGTCCACATCATCACTGCACTTCAAAAGGGACGACCCGAGTTCAAACAACCATGCAACAAAAATGCGCTTAATCTTCTGTAGCCCTCTGCTCAAGCGCCTCAACAGCATTCCTCAACTCCCGAATCCGATGTCCAACCCGTCGACGCACCTCGTCTTTAACACCCTGGGGGACCTCTGCTGGATTGTACTGTGTCTCGACAATAGCACTCTCTCCCGCCTCCTCTCCCGCAATCAACGATTCATCCGTCTCATTCTCAACTTCCCCAGGACGAGCAGTGTAGAGGGCGTACACACTGGACAGCTGGTTTAGGGCATCGCGAGCAGACTCGCGGTCCGATGCAGCGTATATAGTAGATGAGTCGGTGCTCTCAGTGGCAATTTCAAACTCGTCCTTCGCGACTTCGTACAGCTCTTGTAGCTCCTCGACTAGGAGGTCGGCTTCGGCTTTGCCGGTGGATCCTTTTCGGTCGCCGTAGGTTCTAGCTGTGGGTTTGGCAAATGACGGACGAAGAGAGAATGACGATTGAATTGAGATTGGGCCGGTACGTGTTTTGCGAGGAATGGGCAGGCTGTGCAAAGAGCGAGAGACGGGACCCAGTCGTTGTATGGACGGTTGCGTGATGTGGTGCGATTGAAGACTTCCAATGCGGAGGAGTGAGGGGCCACGTAGAGAGCGGGTGTAAGGTATAGCAGACATTTTGAAAATGTGTATGCAGGAAAGGAAGCAAAGCAATTTGTGAACAATTCTCGACGTCGAAGATGAGCGGTCATAAGAGGCCAACAGTCGGTGATGACGTCGCCGGCGGTGATATCGTATCACGTGGTGATAAGGACTTGCTCAGTCACGGGTAGAACCTTCCAACCTTGGTCGCAAAGCCCGTGAATGGGCCCGCACCCCGGGTCCAAAGCCTAGCCCAACCCATAGCCCATTTGTATGGGCCTACAAGGGCCCCATTATAGTCTACTTTAGGGGGCTCAAATAGCATCTTGGAATCGCTGTATTATGACTTCTCTACTGATTCCATAAAATATGTCCTTGTTTCAAATGAAATTCGACCAGTAGAAGTCGAAAAAAGGCTAATATATATTCTAGTATTCGATATAAGCTTGCGATCTACATAAGAATACCACCACTTTTGACTGAACGTCTTTAATTTTGAATTTACCTAAATAACGTGTTCTTTCTCGTGTGTAAGAAGAATGGATAAATTTGACTCTATTCCAGTTAATAGCAACACCCTTTCAGCGAGCTTCGAGTCTTGGGGGTCGGCTCCCTTGACCGGCTTCCCCTTGAACTCTTATTTGATATCCTATGCCATCTGGACATACACTCTTTGTTCACTTTTCGACAAATTAATCTCCAATCAAGACAAATAGTAGATTCTCTCAACCAGTACCAAAGTGTAGTCTTTTACGGACTAAACCTCTTCTTTGCTCTTTTACGAACACGACTTACCGTTGATATCTCTTTACTCGACTTTCACAACGTACTCTATACCAAGTTATATAGTTTTTGCGGTGGATTCGGCGGGTTTATATCCCTCCTACCCTAGAAACGGTGTCGCTCTAAATGCCTCTAGTGATCCTCGGAAACATAAGTACGGACTCTCGCCTTAGTCCGAAAGTAATTCTATATAACCAAACGTGAATCCGATCAACTAAGAACATTTTAGACCTTACCGGGTGTATACTCGATGAATGAATCGGTATATAAGTCCCGTATCACGATCACGTCTCTCTATTAGGCTACTTTAGCTTCTAGACAGAAACCATATTGACCTTTGTAAGCCCAACCGGCGGGCTTAGACCGAAATCGAAAATTCAACTCTATAGGGTCATGTGCACTTCCGTATTCTTGGTATTGAAAAAGGTATCATTGGCACTAGTGGTACAAGATAGCTTCCCAGAGCATTTTCGGTGGTGTGAGTAGGCCCAGATTTTATGGAAATCGAGTGGCGAGGGTCAAAATCGGCCACCTGAACTACCAGTGTCTGCTCGAACAGGGGGCCACTTTCGAAGAAGAGAATGACTGCGAAGCCGTATAGCTATCAGCGCATATGGGGTTGCCTTCAAATACCCGAGTCTCATTTTGCTAGTGAATCAATATCATAGGGTATGGGACCCTTGGCTAGCAAGTCTATAAGCGGTCAGTAGTGTGATACTAGTATCTGGAATCGATAGCGATAACCGATCATATACCCTTTGATAACCATTCGATAATCCGTGGATTCTAAGAATACTGTGATCAGAGCCGCTATAAAGGGTGAGCATCCTTTATAACCGGAGGGCCCACTTAGGTGCCCTGGAAACCTCGATACTCAAGAATCTCTTTGGCAATTGTACTTTTATGATTGATAACAAGTTATCATTACAAATGTTCAACAAAGATTCACGGAAAACTAATGAAAATCATTCTTGTACTAAGCATAGTTTAAGAGAGTATCCGAGTATCTACACCACATTGTCTCACCTTCATAGCTCATTTGCCTAATCAATAGGTTCTGACCTAATAAATATTTGTTCTTTATCTTTGAAGCCACTATCACCCCGAGGTAGGGTTACCTCTTCCTAATTCAAAGAGACATCGGAATCTCCTCGGCGTACCTAATCCTAGTCATTCTTATCTTCCGCAAATTGAAAGTAGACTAAATTACGGAGTAGGTACGGAGTACGGAGTAAGCTAACCACTCGTGCGTTCTAACACGAGATAACGATATTTGAGAATGCAACTGGGCTTAGAGCCTTGCTCTTGATACACTCATGCCCTATTACAAGCAACTTATATGGTATAGGCCATTTATACCTCCCCCATCAAGGGCAGAAAGACACATCAGGCACAAAATTGGGGGTTCAACTGGGGTATCCGCCTATCTTAAGCTAGATCCTGCACAATCTCCACTAGAAGATCAACCCTCGGAATGCCTTATCTCTCCTGTTTCCCCGCGGTCATAGCCAATTAAATTCAGAATTGAAAAGGGTTCCTTGTGCGTGTCACCCACATTTCTTTCTCTTATTTCTATCAAGCAATGCCATGAGACTGTGCCAAGATCTACACCATGTCCTCCAAGGAATTAGATATCGACACCATCAAACCCGTGCTCATCGGAGCGGATGAAGAGGTCGTCGAAGGTGGCTTGGACAAAATCGAGCTGGAAAAAGATGAGATTATCAATGAAGAGTTCAGCTATGAATCGCACCGCTCTCCATTTCCTGAAGGCGTGTACCTAATTCACACTATAGACGAATATTCTTGGACTAATAGTGACTATAGTTAGGGCTGTCGTTCCCGAGACGGACGATCCCGATATGCCGGTTAATACGGTGCGGATGTGGCTCCTAGGCATTGTGTTCACTATGCTTGGATCCGGGATCAACCAGTTCTTTTCGTTGCGTTATCCGTCAGTTCATATTGTGGCCCTAGTAGCAGAATTACTTGCCTATCCGATCGGAGTGTTCCTGGCCAAGACCCTCCCTCTCACATCTGTCCGACTCGGGCCTTTGGGTACATTCGTTGTCAACCCGGACAGGTCGTTTAATATCAAAGAGCACGCGCTGATCGTTATCATGAGCAATGTGTCTTTCGGATATGCTTCAGCGGACGCGACAAACATTATCCAAGCTGCCAGCAAAAACTTCTACAATTTCAATCTCAAACCCGGCTTCTACGTGCTCATTGTTCTCGTTGCCCAACTTCTCGGATTTGGTGTCGCAGGTCTCGCAGCTCCATGGCTCGTCGAACCCGCTCGCATCATCTGGCCCGGTGTGTTATCCAACTGTGCCATGCTCGAAACATTGCATTCGCGAGCGAACACTGTCGCAAACGGATGGCGCATAACCCGTCTCCGATTCTTCATGTATGTTATGACCGGTGCCTTTGTCTGGTACTTTTTCCCAGGTCTTATATTCACCGCACTTTCCTATTTCACTTGGGTCTGCTGGATCGCACCGAAAAACGTCATCGTCAATCATCTCTTCGGTATGCAGACGGGTCTCGGTCTGAGTCCAATTACCTTCGACTGGAGCCAGATTGCCTATAACACCAACCCGCTCCTGTCGCCATCATGGGCTGCGTTGAATGTCTTCGCCGGCTTCGCATTCTTCTACTGGATTGTCACGCCTGCCCTATACTACACCAATACTTGGTTCACGGCTTATCTCCCACTCATGACAGCCGACGTTTATGACAATACCGGTGCCCCTTACGATACAGCTCGAGTCATTTCTGCAGATAATACTCTAGATCAGGCCGCTTATCGAAATTACTCGCCTCCCTACCTGAGTGCGACGTTTGCATTCGTCTATGGACTTTCATTCGCTGCCATCACCTCAGTGCTATCGCACATCGCTATTTGGCATAGCCGAGACTTGTGGGCTGCTATGAAGGGTCGGAATAAGCTGGATATTCACGCCCGCCTCATCCGTGCCTCGTATCGCCGAACACCCTGGTACTGGTACGCTGGCATCATCGTGGTTATCATGGCAATGGCCATTGCGCTAGTCGAAGTCTATCACACTAAGCTTCCAGTTTACGGAGTCTTTCTAGCCTTGATCATCCCGGTTGTATACATGGTCCCATGCGGTATTGTGCAGGGCATTACAAACGTGGATGCAAATCAGCTGAACGTTCTGGCTGAGTTCATTGGTGGATATATGTTCGAAGGAAAGCCACTCGCCAATATGATTTTCAAGATCATTTCCACCGATGTCGTCGGACAGGGGGTTTACTTCGCTATGGACATGAAACTAGCTCACTATTTGAAAGTGCCGCCGCGTACTTGTTTCGTAGCGCAGTTTGTTGCCACTATCCTAGGCGCACTCACTCAGGCGGGTGTGACGCTTTGGATGCTTGGTAATATTTCGGGGATTTGCGAGTCTGACCAAGCGGATGGATTTACTTGTCCAAATGGCCGGACTGTCTACTCTTCATCCGTGATTTGGGGTCTTGTCGGGCCTCGCCGGCTCTACTCTGTGGGCGAAATCTATTCTCCTCTGTTGCACTTTTTCTGGATCGGTGCTATCGCTCCAGTTGTGACTTTCCTTCTGTATCGTTATACTAGACGCCAGTTTTGGAAGTACATCAACTGGCCACTGATATTTGTTGGAACTTACAACGTCCCACCTGGTATGTACCGCAACTTGCTCGTGTTCTTTTCTCTTTCAATCGCTGACTTGAAGTCCTTTAGCCACTGGAATCAATTATTCAAGCTGGGCACTGGTCAACTTTGCCTTCAACTACTTCATTAAACGGAAGTTCTTTGCTTGGTGGACCAAGTACAATTATATCTTGGCAGCCGCACTCGATACAGGGCTTGCCATTAGTGGCATTGTTATTTTCTTTTGCATCTCATACCCTGGTGCCACTTTCCCTGACTGGTGGGGGAATAATGTGTACCTCAATACTGCTGATGCCCAGGGTGTAGCGTACAAGTCGATGCCAGATGTTGGGTACTTTGGGCCTCCTAATGGGACGTGGACTTGAGGTGCGTCACGACACTGCGGCAGTATATGGCAGTCTTCAGCCGCCATTCCGCTGTACTAGATCTTGGCTGGTTGTATATTTGGTAGTTTGATCCTCTGATACATCTAAATACACTAATATCACATCCTACGTTATACAAAGGAATGCGTCTTTGCAGTTCAAGGTTTCCTTTTTCCCGCCGCCCACCTAAAAAGACGAGAAAGGAAAGGGAGCAAGTAGATAGAAAGCACCACTGGAAGACTATACAATGCAGAACAAGCGGCCGACTATCCTTGTCTCTACGAAAGCTCAAGATCGAATTCTTGACATTTGAAGCCTTGATTATTGCATCCTCTGTGCTTGGATTCCTTATTTTCAAATTGGGCATTAGGTAGCTCTGTTAAATCCGTACAGCTAGTGCGTAATTGATCCCTGGCCCTGTAACCGTATATATTCTTTCCCAGATTGTATTCATAATTCATGCTTTATGCTTCGCTCATACCACGGCGAAAATGGTTCCGCGATCCTGGAGACTTCCTCTTGAAGGCTTCGTCAATCTCCCCAAAGGTCCGACCTTGAGTCTCATGCATGAAGATGATTCCAACAGCGACCGTGATAACACAGCATCCACCGAACAAAAAGTACGCACCGAAGCTACTTTTCGCAAGAAGAACAGGTGTTGTCAAAGCCACCAAGAAGTTGCAGACCCAGTTGCTTGAATGAGCCAATGTGGTAGCCGACGCTCGTGTTCTCTGGGGCTGAATCTCGGCGGCATAGACTTTGACAGAGATACCCCAGGTAACAGAGTACAGAGCGGAGAAAAGATAGATACAGACAATCACGACCCAGCGACCGGGGCCAGTTGTCTGATGGACAGCATTTCCAGCATATAGACCTCCCATCAAAAACATCAAGACCCCCATTACAACACCACCATATATAATGCTGGCTCGACGACCCCATTTATCGGCGTAGATCAAACCCGGTATGGTGACAGCAAAAATCACCAGCGCTGATACACCAGAGGCGAGAAAGCTTGCTTCCGAGGAGGCAAGGCCAGCCTTTTGGAATAGCTGTGGAGCATACTATTGAGTTCAAGTCAGCGAGTGTCAGTTGTAAGGCGGGTTGGATAGGACTCGAACGTACATAAAGGACACCGTCAATACCACTCATCTGTTGCATGCCCATCAAAAAGACTGCCAGGATGGTCCGGCCCAACACATCTTTGGAGAAAATAGCAAGAAGCTTATCCATGGTTCCATCTTTGACCTGCTCACCAGAGTCAAGCTCTTGTGCCCGCACTTGCAGCACAACCTTTTCACGCTCTGCACGGCCGACACCCAGCTTATCCCACGCCGCTTCAGCCATCTCATAGCGACCATGGAGACCTAGCCACTGAGGCGACTCGGGTAGATAAAGGAGTGAGAGACCACACAGGATCATGGAGAAGGCGGCAAGCAGGATAAACGGCATACGCCATGAGAGCGAGGAGTGAAGACCTGAAGTTCCATAACTGATAAAGTACCCCATGACCAGACCAACGGTAGTAGCCAGTTGCGGACCAGTTGTCAGGGCGCCTCTAGTGCTCGTGGGCGAGATTTCACAAATCAGAACGACAAGATTTCCGAGGAAGAGTCCTTCTCCAAGGCCTTCCACGATGCGGCCAACAATGAACATGGATAGAGCGACGGCTCCAGCTTCTATTGCGGCTCCAACGCCGAAGATGAAAACTCCGATGGAGATGCCCTTTGGGCGACCAAGCCGATCGGCAACATAGCCAGCGAAGAAAGAAGAGAGGGCTGCTGGAATCAGGATACATGAGACGATGAGGCCGTGGATCGTGGAGTTTTGACTACCGAATGAGACCTTGAAGTCTTTCATGTCGGTAACGGGGCCGATAATACCCGTATCCATACCGAAGAGGGTACCACTAGCTGAGCATAGAATGCATGCTAGGACATATTTCGGCGGGGTTTTGAACTGGAACGGAATCAAGCCCATGACTTTGGCTTCGAGGGGCTTTGTCGACAGGTTTGAAAAGCTATGTATCAGGGCCCAGGACGACGAAAGTGTGAAGAGTTTACATACAAAATGAACAGGAAGGAAAGAAAACTCTTACCCCTCTGGAGACCTTATTTTCTAATGCCCAGACCCACGTAGGGCAGACATACAACGTAATGTTCTATAATAATGCTTCACTCCAACACATCACATGCACCATATCCTTATCCTTCCCTGTACCTATTCATATTCAACCACAACCCTTGCTCGCTCTAACATGACTCAGTCTTGTACTTGCAAAATTTCTGGGCTATAGAGACTAAGAGCCATATTTTACATATAAAACTCTGTGCCAGACTGGAGTTCGGAGAAGGGTCCTCCGACGACATGAGCGTCCGGGCTATTCACGGTCCGCATCGACTTGTGAGAGGAACAAGCGCCGAAGGATTTGTGGGCCCTCTCTCCATTGTGTGCTACCTCGGGGAATCCGGCGGTTTCCCCCTCGTTTCTGAATTTTTTTATGGGGCTTCCGGGGTTTGGCCGGTGATATTTATGGGGCTCGTGAAAGTTGGAGATGTCGGGACTCGAAGCCCTAAACCGGATGCCAAGCCGGGCCGGATAATTTGGTCAGCAGATCATATCCGTGGAAGTAATGTCTGACTCTGTACATGGTGATGTAAAGAGGCCTAGAATAGAGGGCTTGTACATAACAAAGGGAAATAACAATGCTTGAAGTAGGGAGAGGTTGTGAGTGTTATCGAGGCAAATTCTCTCTGGTAAGATGGACTTCTAGATAGGCCTTTCATATTTGCTAAGATTTCTTGAAGGATATCTGGACTCTGATATCGAAATGCCGCCATCTACCAGATTGTTGAGGACCGTACTGGTCGCTATTTTATTCCATGCCACTACTTGTTTCTCTTGATGAACGCTTTTACGACTGAGGTCATAGTTTGTCTTCAATACTTCATTTCAAGGCTTGAAATTGAATGCGACGCTCAGAATCATGTTTACGAGAGTAGAAATAATGTCTGTGAGAGACGATTTAACCAATGTAATCATCTGAATATATAGTCCCTTTGTTATGGTGAGTCTTTATTCATTGCACGGCAAGGTTAGCAATCATTTTGCATAGAATACGAAAATACCCATTGTCCTTTATTCCGGTTCTTGAATTTAGGCGGTAATTTAGTTCATACTACTATAAATATCTTCGTATGTCCCCGCATATCGTAATTGGGCGAAAGTTCATCTTTCCTTTCTCGTCGTACCTATCATTGCCCCTACAATATTGCTAAGAGCTCAAACATTCCGATTGTTTCTAGAAGAACGAGAGCCGGTGTCGCTTTGTCATAGCCAGTCTTTGTTACTCGCGAGATCAATGACACCTCCTTTCATAGACAGGAACAATAGTCTTTCTCCCAGGGGTTCTGCTTTAAATAGAATCGAACAAGTTCCGACTCGTATGGCATAAATACTGTTGATGCTCCCTTCTCGAGTTCTCACTAAGCAAACATTTGAATCGTCAAAAGCAACTTCAATATCATCCAAATGCTTCAATCTGCCCTTTACCGGATGCTGCGGATTTTCTTGGTCACCCTTGATTTCTGGTTTAACACCGATCTCCCCCAAGCCAAGTCCAGAGGAGCGGTAAGCCCTCACAATCTATTTTACTTGATAATCTGACCCCTCCGTCCAGTGACCAACAACCCGAAATGTCGTATCCTGACCTGGCCGATTTGGAAAGCTGGGAAGTAATCTACAAAGAGGAGTGCTTGAGCTTTAAGGCAGGTCTAGAGACACAAGCCGAGATTCTGAGAAATGACCCAGAAGGCCAAGGTATCAATCGTATCAAGGACGTCCGCAAAGAGCTCATCTCTCTTTCCCGTCAGGCAGGGCGGATCAAGGAGGCTGCTTTTGAGATGGTCCATCAAACCCCAGACAGTGTCTATGTCCGCAACGCGACCCCCGATTGGCTCTCCTCTCGATTCGAAGATCCACAGCTAGAGCGAGTGTGTATTAGCATGGAATACAGCTTAGACCGACTAGCGTTTGAACTTAGATCTGACCCATCAATGGACCTTATGGTTGCGGGACATCTTGAGCAAATGACGGATGATATCGAGATGGACTTTCTTTAGATAGTGATAATGCATTGATTCATCTGTTTGTAAGTTTGGTAGGTCTTTGAAATTGTAATATTGTTGACCGTAACATGGCCACTTTGGTTGGCTTGCGATCGGCTCCCGGATCACAGGGTAAGCAAGGATTGGTAATTTTTCTCTGGGGACAGTATGGACCTCCGTTGACAGCAGATAGTATTCTAATACAACTCCCTAGATTGCAACGAGAAAAGCCGCTGTTCTATGCGGTGAGTATAGGACATAGTGTATTAATGATCGAAAATAGGAAAGCGATGATGTACGCCTATTTAGCCACCAAAGAAATGAAAGCCCGAAGCCAAATGATCAAAAGAACAAAAATGATTAAATGCGACATATGGCAAGAAAAGAATATGTACAGTCAGTGCGGCCAGAATTGACAGGAAAATTTTCATGATATATATATAGTGATGAGAGTCCGCCGTGAATCATCACGCCAATATACTTTGACTCAATAAAAGTCAGGGGCAGCCTGTTCCATCCAAAACTTTGTGCGAAATTAGTTCTGGGTGAACGGTTGGTATTCCAAATTTTGGAAGATTTCATCAGCTAGTTTCTCATGAGAACAGCCTTTGTTTGCGGAGAAGGCTCGCCGAAGTGCACATGCTAGGGCTTTCATGACGCCAACTCAGCAGGTCGAACCTTCCGTTCTGCTGGTAGCTCTGAAACGCTTTGGTAGCTCTGCTCAGTGGCCTGGTTACTACCACTCAGCTCCGACGCAGGGGCTGGGAAAAAGGAGGTAGGTTGGGTAGATTGAACAGGTTGGACGGGTTGGGTATCTTGAGAGTTCTTTCTTCGACGACGTAATAAAAACCAGGCAAGCGCAATCAAGATGCCGACGCCAGCTACACCACCAACGACGCCACCCGCGATTGCCCCGGTATTAGAGTGGGAAGAACCACTATTCGCACTATCCGAGGTCGGAGTTGAGCCAATACCCCCCCCGAGGTCTGAGTTGGGCCAATACCCCCCGAGGTCGACGAGGAGGTAGAAGTTGTGGTGCTTGCGCCTGAGGTTGACGAAGAGAGTGTTGTACGTGTAGCGATATCTATGAGAGGATGCGTTAGCTTGTGAGACGAGATTGATAAATCATATCCAATGTGTGGATCTTTGACAAGCATCAGGGCCAAGGCTTACCTGAACTTGTAGATGGCAGATAAGATTGCACGACTGGTTCCATTCTCACCACTTTCACACCGAGAGCCTTCACGCCGTCTTCTGTTGCGCAGATCGCATACTGTTTGGAGACTGTATAAAACCCCCGAGTATCATTTGGGCAGCAGTGATACCCATCAGTTTGGTCGGTAAAGTATAGATCTGCTGTCGGGTCTGCGCAGCGCGGTTTATCATAAAACGCGGCGAGGCAGTTTCTTGATGTCGGGCAGCATATCCCTTTCTCGTCTTTTCCACTTGGGCATTGGGTTCTTCCTGGACAACATCTTCGGAATGGGCTCCAGCCCACGCCGCAATTCTCCTCGTCGCTCGCACATGTGCCGTTTCGGCGCAAGGCGAAGCCCATGAGATCCTCATCGTCTGTGGCCATTGTACCCAGAAATTAATCGTGTGAGACCTGAGAAAATGGGAAGGAAGAGAGGGGAATAAGTCTGGAATGGATCGGCGGGTTTAGCTGGGAGCGAGAACTTGTTCAGGGAGTAATCTTCGAAGGATCAATGCGCCAAATTTCCACACTGGCCCGCTGCGTGTGGGGGCCACACTAGCGGCTCAAATGGATTTCTACCGTTACAAAAGGGGACAAGGAAAGAAGAACTGTAATGCAAGTACGGACTATGAATTACGGAGTAAAAATATGTTATAACATGTATCCGATCTTGGAGCGCTTGAAGACATTTATCTTGGGGCGCACGGAATCGCCAGAATTGTGAAATACGAGAGACCCTGAGTGCCAAGCTTCCAAGCTTCACTAGTTTCAACGTGGATTAGTTCTGATGCCGCTCATGTCAGCTGATAGCATTAGCACTGTCTGCACAATCTGGCTGTTTGGGATCTCTATCTCATTACTTGATTGACTCAAGGCATTCATTGCTATCCAATTGCGGCTCAATTGAGATTCAGTAGAACGTCCGCCCACGGTCAGTTCTTGAGCTTCACCAAGTGGGCACCAGGAAGACCCACCGGGCATGGTAAGAAGAACTCCGCATTCTCGATTAAATTGTTTGATCAAAGTAGAGCAATCAATTTTTGAGGAAAAAGGCACCTTCAGGATGCATCCGAGCCAAAGCTTAGAAGATAAGAGTGTCTCTGACTGAAACCACGGAGGTTGAACCATCCAGCATAGCCACTTGGAGCAGCGATCAATTCGCATGTAAAGTAAGCAATAGTTGACCGCTTATGCTTTTGCGAAGATAACAGCCCTTTGAGAGCCGTCGCTCCTGCATCATGATCTACAGCAGATAATAGTAGATGAGATCTTCCAACCGCCCCCTATTATCTCCTATATCTTCTGTATACTCCGTACTTGTACACTTCCTTCTATACTGAGGCCCCACAATGGCAACGCGTGAGCCAATCAGACACGGCAGAACCTCAGCCCCGGAATGCTGGGGGCTTTGGAGTGGAGCCAATCACACACTTCCCCTTCAGCCACCCGATCAGCCGTGACCGGCAAATGGCAACGGGGCAGTGACAGCGCACACGACCACGTCGGCCAACGAGTCCACTCTCCAATCAGAGGTCTCAATGCCAACCACTTCGAGATTCCAACCAGAATACGAAGGGCTAAGATATCTGAACAGTGCAAATATACGTTCCACACCAGCCAGACAAACGTCCAGCCTTCCAAAGTTGACGCAAGTCATAATCTCAAACGTGCCGCGTCGACTGAAATACAACTCCAAGAACTCCCCATACTGCTTTTCGAGTTGACTTCTACATTAGCACAACTCCGACTAGGCTACTGACTCAATGGCAGTGTATCCTGACTAGTTAAAGGCCATCATAACTACAACAGATGGTGACAATGGTCTCGTACCGTCGCTACTTGATGGTATCTCCCGGCTGACGAGAATAACTAGGAACCCATTTAGCAGGCCGGAAGATAGTGAGCAAAGCCGAATTTGGATTCGACGAAATTATGAACAGGTTTCGGGAAAGGGGAAATACCACAAATCTTGTCGCCAGACTTGGAATTGACTATACTTCTAGTGCCAGAGCTTGAAAAATGCAAACATGTCTCCAAGTCAAGTTTATATGAAATTTTGATATCAGATCGTACCTATTGTTCACCACTCTTCATGATCATTTCCGGTGATCTCAATAGTCGTAAATCTAATCATTAAGGAGCGTATATAGTTCGTGTTCTCATGCAAACCATGCCTTGCATTCAACAAGGGCGGTTTTCAATGCAATATCCTTTCCTCCAATTCCAGAACCAATCCGAGTCCATTCCAACCACCAAAAGCCTCCAAGCTCATACATTTGAGCTCAACCCATTCCGGATCTAGCAAAAAGTATGAGATTTACTCTTGCTGACCAGTGATAGCCTTGGTATCCTTGTTTTGGGCCTGATTCTGTCCATTGACGGGGTAGTTCTGGTAAGAACCATAGTTCTTGTAGTTACCATAGCTCTGGTAGCGGTCGTTTGCAGAGCTGGGAGTAACCTGGGCGTTGTTGGCTTTGTTGTTGCCAGCTTCGTTCAGACGGTCATTCTGAGCGGTGGCTGGGTTTGCCTGAGCGGGGATAGCCTGGCGCTTCTGGTTTGCGTGCCACTGGCCGTTGGCATCGGTCCAGCCATTCTGGTTGTTTTGGTTGTCTTGGTTATTGGCGTGCCACTGGCCCTTCTCATCAGTCCAGCCATTCTGATTGTTCTGATTGATTTGGTTGTTGGCGTGCCACTGGCCCTTCTCATCAGTCCAGCCGCTTTGTCCATTCTGACCGCTCTGACCAGTCTGAACGTTTTGGTTATTCGTGTGCCATTGGCCGTTGGCATCGGTCCAACCATTTTGGTCTGGGTTGTATTGACCATTCTGGTTGTTGTTGTTGTTGTTGTTGTTGTTGTGCCACTGGTCATTTTGGTTCTCGCCATTGTTGGCAACGAACACGCCATGCTGCCACTGACCCTTTCGGTACTGTCCACTGGGATCCCACTGACCGGCCACATCATTGGGGTCCACGGGAAGCGCGAGGGCAGATAGAGGGGAGACAGCCAGAAGAAGAAGGCTACCGATGAAGGAGGTGCGCATTTTGAATGGAGATGAGTTCGAAGGCTTTTAGATAAATGGTAGTCGATTCAGTTATTTGAGCGGTATCTTTGTGATTGTGAGGTTTCCGAGATCGTTTTGCTCTGAGAATGATGATTGAAGCCCGGCTGCACGGCCTGTATTTATATCCCAGAAACCACTCTACCTCCAGGCTCAAGGACTATGTAGCTCAAGCTTGCTTGCTACTCAATGGCGTTGGAAGCCTTCGACAAAAATGTCTGAGGTTGGATCTCGTCATTCTTCGGTGAGGGTTGGTGAGTATTGGCGCTGCAAGGGACACTGGGGAAACGTGTGGCCGATAACCATGTTGCCTTGTGGGGGATGAGCGAGCGGACGCGCCATGATCTCAGTCAATCTTAAGAGAGGGCGGAGCACACGTAAGATTAGGTAAAGTTATATACATTAAACCTTTCGGGGCGAATGTTGGAAGAGTTGCACCATGAACCTCGCGTGAATCTGCACAACAGCTGTAGATCTTGTCCGTAAGGGGAGTAATCACATTCCTTGAAGATCGCTGCGGTCCTAGCTCTATGTGCAAGTTGTGGCTACCTAGCTCAATGCATATGCCCAGGTAGTCTGTGGATGTCGTCTTCTGTGTATGTATTTACGTACTACATCTATGTAGTCCGCAAACCTTCAGTGAATTCAGACTTTGTCCATACATACACCACGCGTCGAACGACTCACGGAATGGCAAAACGTGCGAGACATGCAGGGACACGTTGCTTCGATCAGCAATATCTACGAGCTTCGAGATGTGATGTCAGTATCGAAGCGGGGGAAAATCCCCTTCGTCAAGTTGCGGTCTGCAGTCAGCATTTGCGCGTTGGAAATCAAAGCTGTTCCGGTGCCCCTTGAATGATTGGAAATCTATTGCTTGTGGTTCACCTTCGCAACTCGTTTGGAAAGATACTCCTCAAAGCGCGATCATGAAGATGAGCTTGTATGACAAAGCTCCCCATTCAGAAGATTCCACGTATGAATCCAGCGAACGACTTCTCGCAGAGGAAGAAGGCACCCTTTGGAGTGGAAATGAACCATCAGTACCCACATGTAGCAGCTTTGCCGTGTGTCTTTTCCGAGCGAGTGCACTCGTCCTGGTATTCTTAGTCGGGGCTCTGTTTGGCTTCCAGTGGCGTGGTGACTTGGACGGCCTTTGCAGTCGACATGTCTCTCAATATTGTGGGTTCCAAGCTGCCTCCATGCATATCATTAATCTTATTCAAATATAGCAACTGTCGTGAGAGAAGTTGGCGTTCAATATAGTCTCCAAGAGTTCAATGGCTCTCTGCTGAAAGAGAACATTTTCCGACAGGACGCCGGCCCCGATGTTGATGCAGCGTGGGAATCCTTAGGCGTCAACTGTATGTCTCTCAACTGATTGACTAGTCTCTAGCATGAGCTAACTGCATGCTTCTTCCTAGACCGCAGTGTTCGTATACCCCTAGAGGACGCCGAACAATCTGGACTTGCTGCCGACCAAGTGAAGATCAACGCAAAGTATGGCGGAGGTTTTCCTGCAAATGTCGAAGGGCTACACCACCTTCACTGCTTGGTAAGTGGTCTATACATCAATTATATGATGCAATTAAAGTATACTAACATCGACAAGAATCTGCTGCGTCAGTCACTGTACTATAACTACGACTACTACCACGCGAAGGGGGAAGGGCCCTTCACAAACAATGACTATATAGTCCGCCTCCACGTGTGTATGTTCTGCTCATTCTCTACTCGTGATATGGCTCAGGACTGACCATTTTTCTCATCACAGCACATTGCCTCGATATTATTCGCCAAGAGCTCATGTGCACGGTCGACAGTGGAGTCCTCGGTCAAGTGTGGATTTACCCCGAGAATCCAGAGCCTTATGTCGATTTCAACACTAAACATCGATGTAAAAACTTCGATGCTGTCCGTCGCTGGGCTGAGAAGAACCAACTACCTCAGGACCCACCGGCGGACTTTTTACAGCCTCCATCAGAGGGAGACCGAATCTACAGCCGAATGCCCTGAGAGATGAGTGAGATTGAATGCTAAGCCTTGCTAAGCTTGAGGCTAATCTAGCATAAAATGGTACGGATTTACTGGAAAATAATAGAATGCTCCATGAACAATATTTCGCTCGTTTCAGTCCAAATCATAAACACTCAGGTCCTCGCTCATCCCTGGCAAAGCATAGACAGCATTATCCTCCCCTCCAAAAACCTTCAAAGGCCTGATCCCTCTAAACTCCATCCCAATTTTTTCCAAAGCGCCCCGACTCCGCTGATTTGTAGGCGAACAGAATCCAAACACGGCATCAACCCCGAGATTTTTATTCGCATAGTCCAAAAGGCCCCTCGCTGCCTCGGTCGCATACCCCTTCCGGCCTTCCTCTGGTAATATGGCGAACCCGATATCCGGGGCGAGATAGCCCGGGCCGGGTGGGATGCCCCTCATAAGTGATACCGTGCCGATCGGCTTCAAGCCTTCATCAGTCTGTCGCGAGACTAGGAACATGCCGTAGCCATGATAGGCATAGTGTGCTGAAACTCTGCCTTGGAGGAATGCAGATGCCTTTTCTGTTGTGGTAATTCCGGTTTTCCCGCATGAGCTGATGAAATCATCTGTATTCCAAAGCTTGACTAAGAAGGCGCTGTGGGCTGGGTCGGTTGGGTTGAAGGGGCTGATTTGGAGACGTGGGGTGGCAATCGTGAAGCCCGGGGGAAAGGTAAAGTCAGGCATGGTTTGGTTCTGGAGTGGACAGCTATTTCCAATCTTTGGGTATTCTCTTTGTTTTATCTTTTATCTTATGACCCGGGTAGAATTGTCAATGACTCACAATTCAAACGCTTAGAAGCTTAGGGCTGACAGGCGCTGTTGGGGCCAAAAGACTTTGCCTATTTAGGCGTGGCGTGTTCACGATCAGCCGAAACCATGAGGATAAAAGAAGGTGTAAGCCAAATTCAGGGAGAAAGCTGCGATGACCTGAAGTCCCCGTGAGGACTCGAAATGATATTTCTGAATGTCCCCTCATGATGTTGTCTCTAACACTGGCCCAGTATAAACATTTCTTGCGCGTACCACGTAGTATATCTGAGAATACTGGTTTTACAAGAAGCAGTATATGCTCTGGAAAACTGTATTGAGATGCGTAGAGAAGGGAGAAAGCTATCTACGTATGAGGACTATGATATGCTGGGAGCAATCAGAGGTCACGTGATCTTTGACAATATCACAGCCAGGATCACAGTTCCCATTGTTCCAACAACGCTCCAGTTCATAGTCGTGACAGTAGGCGACATGTGCGAAGGCCAAAAGCTAAAAAATATAACAATGATGATGTAAATGAGGGCATATGTATTGACCAATGCACCCAATACGCCCGGAATATGGAAGGGTCCCCAAACCAACTTGGCACCTGGAACATTGATCGCACCATCACTATCGTTGTGTCGGTAGATATCACCCTTGCAACGGCGATATAGTAGTAGTGCAATGACAACGAGGTAGGACAGGTAGACACCAGACACTGCCATTGAGAGAATATCATCGAGGGCCACTTTGGAGCCAATGTTGATCAGTCCCAGTAGCCAGCAGACTGTAAGTGTCAGTATCAGCGAGTCGAGGAATATGATCTCCTTAGGCCCGCTGTTGGGTTCGATCGGCTGGGATAAGTCCCCGATGCCGTAGGTGTTTCAGATGGATTGCATAGGATCTGGGTGACTCTGACCTCTGGCGGTAGCAGAAAGCCCCCTTTGATTCTAACGCGATCGGCGTATTGTGGTGCACCACGATGGTCGTCTTTCAGCAGCTCTCGCGAATATAGAGGGGACTCAAAGTTCTGGAAACAAACCGCTAGACAAGTTTTGTCTTGCAGTTGTCCGAGGCATAGCGCTGATCCCGAAAGGCCTCCTAGCGGGTCTTCATCATTTTCAGTCCGCCATAGGATCGAAACATTCTGCGATAGTACTTCTCTGTCCCAGAGATACTGCGAGCCTTCTGTGAGCGCTACCTGTGCTTCCCTTGATATCCCGCTTCCTGATCTCACAATGGTATTGCCTGTGGGAATATTGAGGCCTGTCACAAAGACTGGTTTTCCATCAAGAAGGTCTGTATAACTACCCCAACCAACCACACATGGTGTTCGATCAGGGGATGTAACTTCCGGTAGTTCCTGGGAATTTGTGATCAATGATAGATCATGCACAAACCCAGTTGGGAAACGAAGGGGCCTTGCTGAAATCGGATCGTAGGTAAAAGAGATGGTCCCGATCTATTCTCGGTAAGTTGTTAGACAGCCACAGACGATAGCAGAGCAAGCATACCTGTTTTGAATCTCCAGCGAGGAACACTTGCTGACCAAGTGGCGAATTACCCATTGGATGACGCCGAGTAGACCCAATCGCTCGCATAGAGAACCCACTTTTGATAGGGGAATATCGAGCCAGTTTCATCTTAATGTGACCATACCAGTCTGCAATTCGAAGGAGAGGAGCTGATCGGATATATCGGAGAGTAATAAATGCATGCGTGGGGACGGTTATCGCCTCTTGGCCTCCCGGGAAACGAATCTTCAGCCCAAGCGCAGCGTATGCCTCGACGCAGTCTGGCCTTGCAGCAATTGCAGCGCCTTTTGAAACCATTGTCCGGGTCGGTGTGTCCTCAAGAATATCGTATCTTAGTCTTAAGGTGCCAAAGGTGCTTGCCGGTCCATCTTGCAGCCAGGAATTCTCCATGTCGGCACGGCTCTTAAACAGAATCACGATGAAACCACTTATAAAAACTCTTGCGCCGAGCGAAGTTGGGAACATTTCTCGTAATAGGTGAAGGTGATGTCGAGACAAAAACTTCCGAGGATTGAGAATAGCAGGGATAGGGTCCGATTGGTACTTTGGCCACATCGTAGTTGTCCTTTCCATGAGCCCAGTTGGTTTGAGGTGAATCTCGAGACCCCCGGCATAAGCGCCAATCGACCTGGTCTCATCAAATCCTGGCGACACCACCCATATCCACTTGTGCTCCGATTCTTCCACCAGATATACTGAGTCAAGTTGGCTAAGAGATGGGTGGTGCGTTCGAAGTAATCGTTGATTTGTGTCTGTCACTTTGGGCTCGATCGAGGCACGCTTAGCTGCAGCCGCTTTGTCGCCCCACTCAACAGAGTCTGTTGCTACAATAGAGTTAGCTAATCATCATTTTCTCCATCGCCAAGTGGAAATACATACTAGGCACAGGAATCAAATGTCGCAGCTCGTGTAAGGACCCCACCGGTAGATAACCATCCTGATCGTTGTTGACGCAGTCCGCTGGAAGAACAGGGTATGGGAAAATCGAGTCATCTGTGGAGGATACACGTTGCTTCTTCGATACCGGAGAGCTCCGTCCAGGCAACAGAGGCCCTTCTCGAGAAGGCATCGCGGATGGGGTAAACAGGTTGATTATGATTGGGAGAAAAACAGCCTTGGCAAGTGGGTCAGAATCGCCTGCAAGTTATCCATTGTTCTCGGAGTGGTCACCTTGTAAGAGCGGGTCCTTGGATTCCTCACTTCTGACTGGTCCCTGAGACCCCCGAGCGTCCGCCGCACCGCAACCTTCCCAGCCCGGTATAAAAACCTCAGTGTCACACCCTTGAGCACAGGTCAGGATGAGTTCCTACAGAAATTGAGAACAAACTGAAGGAAATGGACGAAAAACCATACTCTCAGATTGCACGAAGGAGAGAAGCTAAGCTAAGAATAAGTTGTGGGAATATGACCCCTCATTTATCATGTGACCTTTTCGCATCTTATCTCGCCTTTTCATACCCTCTCATTGAATCAAACTTGCCACGTCAAGAATACAGCCATGGGAGAGAGCGAACCTATCAAGCACGACGATTCTGCAAAAATGTCCAACAATATCATCGGTAGACTGCGGCACGATCCGCAATATCCGCGGATATCCGCAATCCATATCCGCAGCCTTAAGGATTTGGATATAGACCTTATATCCATTGGATATATACGGATATCCAATGGATATCAAACAATATAAACATACCTAGACTCGTGACCTCAAGGGGTATATATTATTATTATATATTCCTATATATTTTTCGTGTAATACCTAGTACTCGAGGTTATTAAATATCACTAGGTAAGTATAATTTCTGACTGAGGTCAGAAATTATAGGTAGAAGGTTAAGTACTACTCTACTCATAGTAGTATATAATTAGAAATTCTAACTAAGGTTAGAAATTATAGGTAGATAGTTAAGCACTACTCTACTTAGACCTAGCAGTGACCCGCGGGTGACCCTCACGACCCTCGAACCGCCCCGCCACTAGGGCGGTTCGAGGGTCTAACCTTCCGACCCTAAGGGTCGTCTACCTAGAGGTTAGACCCTCGGAGGGTCACCTATAGGTAACCCTAAGGGTCGTTAAATAAGATAAATAGGTAAATCTTATAATATATATAATTTATATAGATTTACCCTATATTTTTAAGTATCCTAATTATATATCTAAAGTTCTTTAATGTTAATTTTTAGTAATATATTATTATAAAAACTTATATTATATTCTTAAATCTATTTCCTATCTACTAGACTACTATATATCTATTAAACCTTTTTAAAACCTTCTAAACTCTTCTAGAGGATTAAGAGAGAGGAATTTTACCCTCTTTATCTATACTATCCTTAGTACTAGATTATATCTTATTACCTTTACTTAGTAAGCTACTTCTTTATCTCCTCCTAAGTATAATATTAGGTAATAGTTATAAAGTAGATAGTAACTAACTTTCTTTAACTATATCTTCCTTAGTATTACTAATTAGTTTAAATAAGGTAGTAACTATACTATTTACCTCTATTAAAGCTATAATCTCCTAGGAAGATAGGTACTCCTAGAGAATAAGCTACTAACTCTTCTATAGATTAAACCTTATTATATATATAAATATTATAATATCCTAGATTATCTTTAGCTTTAGTAAGCCTTACTAGTAATAATATGTGAGTACTTTAGCAGAAATAATATTATAGCCTAATAGTAGGTTATAATATTTTGTAGGGGAAGGTATATTAGGTAAGCTTTATCTTATATAATACAATATTATATAAGATATAGAAAGGTTTATACTTAGCTTAAGTAGATAATAATAGGTGCGAGGTAAGAAAAGTTGTATTGAATAAAATTGTTTTCTAGCTAGGAATCCTCCATTCCTTATATAGGCAAGCTCTAGCAGTATAGAATATCATAGAAGGTCATTAATAATATAATGACTTCATTATGATATCCTAGATTTATGGCGATATATTGTGAGTCATAATATAGTTTACCGTAGATAATATATCTAAGGTTCTCTTAGATACTACCGGTAAAATATATATCTTATACTCTCACACCATAGTATATATCTTACAATTACTATTATGCTTACATAATAAATATTATATATAGAGTTAAATAGTTACTCTATATCTATACTAGTAGCTAGGATAGATATAATATTATAGGTAATACTTATAAGAATTAGCTATTTATATTAGTTTTCTTTCTAGAATATATAAGGTAATAAATACTATAAGGCTATATATTTATTAATATTAGTTAGATATAAAGGATAAGGATAGATTATTAGACTTACTAGAATTAAGATATTAAGTTAGCTTATCCTTCTATAGAGTGATAGACTACTAGGAGTTATTTAACTCTAATATATATTTAAGCTTAGATATTCTAACCCTAGATAATAGA